ATTTTACTAAAATATAAGGGCCTTACTATATATTAAGAATTTAATTAACGCTAGTGCTTATATTATTAATATAGCCTAATAACCTAGCTTATAAGAGTATAGCCTTTACGTTTTAAAGTAGTTCTAAATAGTAGTTTAGTATAGTAAATTATACCTAACTAAGAATCTTATTTTCTAAAGTAATAATATAAAAAGTACACTAGGTAATTAAATATATATATACTAGATTTAATAGATTAGCTATAAGTTTTATTATAAAGGTAACTAAGTTAATAATACTATATATAATACTTTAGGAATATATCTTAAGGACGTCTGTAGTTAATATAGAAATATTTATATAAAGGTATTAGTAGGTACTAAATTAGACTATATAATTATTAAGAAGCTATATATAAGGCTAGGCTTTATAGCGTTAATTAAATAAAGTATACTAACTAATCTTTAGATCTTTAGCCTATATTATTATTAATTAGTTACTAGCTAGAGATAGTACTTACTACTTAGACTATTACTAGGCTTTATACCTTAAAACCTACCTAATTAGTCTGCCTTAGTAATAAACACTATTAAAAGAGGGTCTAATTTTAAGTATACTCCTATAAGCCTTACGCCTCTTAGTTAAATATTACTAGTTACTTTATAACTAATCCCCTAGACGCTTAACATAACGCTATAATTAGAGAGACTTATATATTTACTTATAAACCTATATTTACCTCCTACCTTATCTAGGTTAACTTTATTATTAGTTACTAGAACTAGGCCTTTAGCTTAGGTTTTACTTAAAATTAAAGATATTATAAAGGAGAACCCTCTAAATTAGGTTTAACTACTCTAGAAACCCCTATTAATTAAGTAATATAAAGGCTTATAGCTAAAAAAGATAACTTCTTAAGATCTAAACTTATAGTTAAGATAAGTAAATTATAAGTTAATACTTAGTAAGTTAAAGCTTAATTAGTAAAAAGCTAGTAAGTTACTTTAATAAAAAGCTATAAATTACTATTATTAACTACTACGCTACTAAAATAAGCTTTCTAAGAAACTAGTAATTAATAAGTATATATAAGAGGAATAAGTTAATTAATATAATAACCTAATTAATAAGTTAGCTTATATAACCCCTATATATACGCCTTAGGTACTACTATTATTAAGCTAGGATTAGGAGGGCTAGGATTATAAGGATATAGGGCTTTAATAGGATTACGTAAAAGAGGTACACAAGCAGGAGGCAGAGGCTAAGAAGAAGAATAAGAAGAAGGGCTAACACTAATTTACTATAAAGGTAGTTACATAAAGGCTAATCTTAAAGATAATTTCTCCTTAAGAGGACTTATAAAAAAAAAATTAGGAGATAATTAAAGTAAGGTAAGGTAATTAGCCTAAAGTAAGGTAGTATACAGACTAATTAGAAGATTCTAATCCTAATTAAGTATAAAGATATAAGTTAGTATTAATAGGTTTAGAGATAGATATATATAATTTATCTTTTATACTTATACCTACCTTCTAATTAAATAAGAACCTCTTTATAATTTACTTTTAATTATAATAACATAAGATAATTAGAAGTAATTACTTACCTAATTAAGGCATAATAATACTTAATCCTATAGTTTAACACTTATAATTAATATTAATTCTAGATAGATTAATATAATTTATGTACTAATTAGTAAGGAATCTTATGTTACTTTTAGTAGTTATAGTGTTCTATATAGTCACTACACCGTAAGAGTCCCTTATACCTTACGCGCTTTTAATATATTATAAAGTATTAATAATATAGAAGCTTATTATTTTTACTAAGACTAAGTAAGCCTTTAAGAAAGCCTAAGCTAAACTTTATAAAGAGTTTATTAATTAATACCTTATCTTTTAGTACCTTTATATAATATACCTACCTTTAAGAGTATAGTAGGCTTACTACTTTATTTAAAAATACTAAAACTTTAGTATTTATATTACCTATAGTATAAAGTTAAGTAATAATAATATTAAGGGCTATCTCTTAAATAGTCTTAGTTATTTATATTAACTTATTACTATTATATAAAATATAATTAGTAACTAAAAGTTATACTTTAAGTAAGCTTATACTAAAGATAAAGTCTTTAGAAGCTAAAAGTATATAAGGACTTACTTTAAGCTTCTTAGTAAACTTTATATACTACTTTTTTAAAGTGTTTAGTATTAATTAAAAAGTAATACTAGCTAGTAAAAAAAGTAATACCTTTTAGTAAGAGGCTATTCTTAGTCCTTATTAGAAAATATAATTTAGACTATATAGTTTTAACTAAGCTTAGTATTTTATACTACTATAAGATTTTTACTAAAATACTTAATTTAGTAACTTTTAGTAAATAAGAGGTATACCCTTAGTAATGTCTTTAAAAAACGTCTTTTTTTAATTTATACTACTAAATCTTTAACCTAAAGATTATAGTATCTCTTTATAGTAAGCTAAAGAATATAGTATAACTTATTTTATTATAACTAGCCTTACCTTAAGAGGGCTAGTTAGCTAGCTAAACCTATACCTAGAATTATAGCTAAGGCACTAGTAGTAAAAAGTAAGGCTACTTACCTAAAAGTAAGAATAAGTCTATATAAAAATTAAGTTAATTAAGTTAAAGCTAGATTCTAACCTCCTTTTAGTAATAAATAAGAAGCTAGTTAAGTATTTCTAGTAAAAAAAAGACTATAAGGACTTATATAAATAAATAGCTATTATAGTATAGTATTTAAAGAATATAAAGTTAGTAAGAAATAGTTAGTAGTAATAATAAATCCTTATAACTATATTATAAAAAAGTAGCTAAATAGTAAGTACTTTTAATTATATAGCCTTATTTAAGATTTATAAAAGAGAGTAATAAGTAATATACCTTTATAAAACTTAAATAAGAAAAAAGGCGCTTTTTATAGCTATAAGAAATAGGCTTTATAAAAGGTAATCTTTATAGCTATAAAGAGAAGCCCCTTATAAAGCCTATTTTCTATAGCTATAAAGAGGACCCCCTTATAGAGCCTATTTCTTATAGCTATATAGGCTAATTAGATAATAGTGTGTTAGAATAGTAAAAGTGTTAGTAAAATTATTTTTACTACCTTTATAGGGATATACTAATTTTCTAAGCTAATTAAGAAGATAGAAAACAACGCCTCTATAAGGGCGACGCCTCTATATTAATTTATAACGCCCCCCTATTAATTCCTAAATTAAATTAATATAAAAAAAAGAAAAAAAGCTAAAAGACTATAAAAAGTTATTATATAAGCTATAAAAAACTTAATATAAAGAAAACACTAGTATAAGTATAAAAAAAAAGTAACTTACTTTTACTTATTAGTATAACTATAAAAAGTAAAAGTAGTAATTTTAAAAAAGCTATAGTAAATAAGTAAAAGTAATAATATAACTACTTATATAGGCTATAGGGGGTTCTTAAATAGAAACCTAAAAAGAAAAAGCACTATATTAGGAGTAGTTAGGTAGGCTAGCTAAGTAGGCCTACTAGTTATATACCCTAAGAAGTAATACGTATATAAAGCTAAGTACTATAAAGCATATAGGAGTTAGGGCGTATAAGGGGTAAAGTAAAGACGTATAGATATATAAAAAGAATAAGGGGGAAAAAAGAAGAAAAAAGAGAGTAGCTTTTAGTATTAGTAATATTAGTAACCTAACTTTATATTTATAGTGTGTTTACTTACTACTTTTATACCTAACCTAATTACTTATAATAATAGTATTTATTATTTTTATTATTTTATTAATTACTTAGTAATTAGTTAAGGTAAAGGTTATAAAGTAGCTTATTTAGCTTCTTATTAATTAAATTACTAAGGTTAAATACTAAAAGGTATTTAAAGAATATATTATAAGTTACTTACTAAAGAGCTATAAAAGTCTGTCCTTAAGTACGTCTAAGTCTATTTTATATATAAGTCCTAACTATTTCCTAAATAGTTCTTTTAACTAATAGTTATAAAGTAGAATAAGCACTTACTTAGGTATTTACTAAGTGCTTATCTTACTTATAAATAAGTGCTTATTTTTTATCTTATTATACGCTTATATTTATATAACCTATACTATAGTTCTTTTATTCTAAGGAGTTATCTATCTGTTCTAAAATTTCTTATCTATATAAATACTGCTGTTACCTACTATCTGTCTGTTAGGTAGGGCAACATAGCCTGTATCTTGTTAGGTTATAACATATATATCTATTTGTCCCCCCTTCCCGTCCTAAGCTTACTTACGACTTATGTAATACTCACTTACCTCTTGTATTAAAGTAAGCTGCTAGCACACTAATTACGTCTAAACAGCTAAGTTAGCTACTAATAAGGACTCTTGGTATGCCTCAGTACCCCTAGTGTCTAGTTATAAGTGGTGCGTTAATACATAGAGTTAATAGGGGGATAGGCGGGGAATCTGAAAACTCACTTAACATAACCAAAAATGAAACAATGATAACAATGTTGCGATAATGAAAAGATAAGAAGTTTGAGATGAACTAGTATAAGAACCGCTGTAGCCAAAGTTGGGGGCATCAGTGGTAGGTTCTGGTAGAATAAGACCTTGTCCCAAAACGTTCGTTCCCTGGTCCTACCATCAAATAAGTTCACAACATAAACGGCTACCATGGATCCCAACCAGTGTGAATTTCCGCCCATCGGAGATACATCAATTTCTATCCTAGAAAGAGAAAGCTCGCCTTCTACTCGTGCATTATTTTTCCTTGCAAAAGAATCCGCTCAGTTTTGCCCTCCCCCACCACAAATCATTCCATCCTAGCTACTTGCGCAAATCACTTCTTCACTTTCACTACAGATGCCACATTGATGAATACTCTAGACTCTGGGATTAAAAGCATTGAAGCAACATTCTTTCAGATTTCCCGAGGAGATCAAGCACATCACTTGAAAACCTTACAGGATCACCGCTATCATTGCCGACTTCACTATTACCCACAACAAACACAATGACCTCCTTTGGCTTGTTCTACTCTCCTACAGCCACAAATCAAAACGATTTATCACTCACCGATAAGATTGGATTCAAATTGGTCAACGGCCTTCGAGTTCCAACACCTCTTGGCAATTGTGCGCAGAATCAGCAGCATGACACTCAACAACCAGACTTTGCCGGTTATGTGAGCCTCTTTCACTCTCCCACCGCTGAACTGCTGCGAGGCAGGATCGTCCCAAATCACAGACTTGTGAATGGCTATCACGTTCCCAAGAAGATCGGTTGTCGCAACACTACGCCTTTCCCTTTCGAAGAGGAAAAAAATCTCTTTCATTCGCCCACTGCGGCCCTGGTCTCTGACAAAGCTTGGCTGGAAGCCTCAGTCAGATATATCGACAATCTCCGAATTCCACCTCGCATTGGTGGCAATCAACACCAGTCTATCAATTGTCGTCATGACTCTCTCAGATCAACCATTTCTGAGCCTCAGTCTCAATCCCAGAGCTGGCTCTCTTTCAACGAGCCCATCATCTATTCCCCGACAGCTGCTTCCCTGCGAGGTCCAGAAGGTGACTGCCAGCTCCGAACCAACAACGATCTTCGGATTCCTCGTTTCATCAGCCGCCGTCGAAAAACCACCGATGCCATCAGCAGCCACAAGGTCGAAATGAGAGTCGGAAATGCCAAAACCGAAGCCTCTGGTGTCTTTCAGAAGCACCCTTTCAAAATCATGAGCAGACCTATCGACTTCTGCACACACTATAGTTACAAAACCGCAAGTGCAGCTCACGTTATCCACGCTGATCCAAACAATGTGGAAGATGATGGTGACAGACCAGAGGCTAAACAAGCCCAGCTCTGCAGATGTGTCGACCTCGCGATCAGCCAACTCCACGACCCTTTTACCAACGAAGACAGACATGTCCTTCGACAGATTCTCAGCTATCTCGACCAGCGCAGGCATGAACTGTTTGCGCGCCGCATTAGTGTTGACTCGAATGCGCCACAGATCAATGTTCCAGCATCTTGGTTAGAGGTGGCAGACCTCGCCTTTGAGGGGATTCGCACGGTCGACTACCCATACCTCCTTCGCGTCATGCAGGCCATTGACATACTCGCTTGCGGCATCTGGTATGCTGATTCAGAGCAGCAAAAGTATACGCATGAGGAGAACACTTCTCTTGAGTTCATTTAAGTCACAAGTAGACTGGAATGGAGAGCAGGGGTTTCGTGGGAGATAAAACACATGTCAGAGTGTTAGACAGTGAGCTAAGGAGGTGATAAGTGGGACACACTTCAAATAATGCGAATGAAGACATGATGCTTTGTTGCACCGCATTTAGCTGGCATGGAGGCTTTGGAGGCGTTCAGGCAAAGGACGATTGAATAATACCGCCCTAGGCACGATTCCTCAGATACCTTGGGACCCTCTCGCGAATGACACAAATTGTTTGCGAGAAACTTGTCCAGACTATCAATAGATTGTGATGTGAAAACTATGGATATCAACCGAGTTAGTGGATGACATGAAGTTGGAAATAGTGAGACACTAGATATTCAACGGTTCTTCCAAAATGGCAAGCGCGGTGGGTTCCAATGTTTGTTTTGACAGTTGTCGTTGAGAGATAACGTCTCTTTTCACAGGGGCTACCTAAGCGTCAGACCCATGAAGACCCCGCACTAAGCCTGTTCAGGCAAAGATTGCATGTCAAACCAAATTGGCTCTTGTTGTTGTGAGGGAAGTAAGCTTCGCAACCCCGCCAGGGTCTTCCTCCTTGCCCAGCTTCACCCAATTCATCACAACGTTTCTGTCCGTCGAGATTGGGACATTTTGTGTTGTACCACAGCTGTGAAGGCGATCTTGTCTCTACTTGAAACTTACAACAGTAAGTTTGCCCAGTTGCTCAGTTCCCCCATTTTCCCCTCTTATCTCCATGTCTGCTTTGCCCCGCATTGAATCCTACTGACCGCCTCCTCCAACAGGCTGCAAACTCGATCGCAAGATGGCAGACAAGAAGGTCTACCGCGCCAGCACCACGGCGCCCGTCAACATCGCTGTTGTCAAGTACCGTCTTCTCAGTACCTCCCGCTATTGAGGTCGCATCGCTGACGATCATAGGTATTGGGGCAAGCGCGACCCGAAGCTCAACCTCCCCACCAACAGCTCCCTCTCCGTTACTCTCTCCCAGGCCGACCTCCGAACCCTGACGACTGCCTCCTGCTCGGCCTCCTACTCTGAAGGCGACAGCCTCATCCTAAATGGCGAAGCCTCTGATATCTCGGGAGCCCGCACACAAGCATGCTTCCGCGAGTTGCGCACTCGCCGTGCTGCCCTCGAGGAGAAGGACTCCTCCCTGCCGAAGCTGTCCGCGATGCCCCTGAAGATCGTCACCGAGAACAACTTCCCCACCGCTGCGGGCCTCGCCTCCTCTGCGGCTGGATTTGCCGCCCTTGTGCGTGCCATTGCCGACCTCTACGAGCTCCCCGACTCGCCGTCTGAGCTGTCCCTAATCGCGAGGCAGGGCTCGGGCTCGGCTTGCCGCAGCTTGTTTGGTGGTTACGTTGCGTGGAGGATGGGCGACAAAGCGAACGGCACGGACTCCAAGGCCGACCTCGTCGCAGAGGCGTCGCACTGGCCCAACATGCGTGCCCTGATTCTGGTCGTCAGCGCGGCCAAGAAGGGCGTCTCGTCAACGTCGGGCATGCAGCAGACGGTCGCAACGTCGGGCCTGTTCAAGCAGCGCGTCGCCGAGGTGGTGCCGAAGCACATGGCCGAAATGGAGGACGCCATCGCCAGGCGCGACTTTGCACAGTTCGCCGAGGTAACGATGAAGGACTCCAACTCGTTCCACTCTTCATGCTCCGACACGTACCCTCCCATCTTCTACATGAACGATGTGTCGCGGGCCGCCATCCGCGCCGTGGAGCAGATCAATGCCGCTGCCGGCAAGACTGTGGCTGCCTACACGTTCGACGCTGGCCCGAACGCCGTCATCTACTACCTCGAGGAGGACGCTGCCACTGTTGTTGGTGCTTTCTCTCCTGTGCTTGCTTCCGTGAGCGGTTGGAAGGAGGGCGTCGAGAGCCTCAAGTCTTCCGTCGCGCTGGACGAGACCGTGGCAGGGATTCTCAAGAGCGGCGTCAGCCGTGTTATCCGGACTGGTGTTGGCGAGGGCCCGATCAAATCGGACGTCTACCTCGTCGGAGAGAATGGCGAGACGGTCAAGCATTAAGCCACCTAATGTCACCTCTAGAGTGCACTTTCAAACCAAAGAGATGACCAGAGTAGCTCAAAAGCCCCCGCTGTACAGAGAGAAGCTCTTGATTTAAAGAAAAAATATATAGAACAAACTCGTGTATTTGGGATATCAAGAGTCAAGCTGGCTTGACTGAATCTTGACTGCGATCAATTCAAGTGAGGGGGGGGGGGGGGGGGGGGTTGGACCAGAGGAGGGGCTGTCGCTTCCAGGCCAAATCCGTGTCTCCAGTAGCATGCCTCTTTCTTTCATTATCAGTAGCACGCCGCAAAGAAACCTTGAGCGCAGACAACAAAGATGCCAAGGATGCCATGTAGGCAAGTCAAAAATCAAATATTTTAGATCAGATTAGTTAAGTACGGTTACTAGCAGATGTAGTAATGGAAATTCATTGCTGATTGACTTTCAAGTGGACCCACTTTTCTGTCTTGAATACCTACCGACCATCTTTCACTATCCTGCAACATCACTGTTGTCCCTTCCCATCATTCTCCTTGTCAGGAGACAGCAATCAAAATGGAAAGAACGAACGATGGGAACCTTCTCATAGAAGAAATAGATGGAACCGGAAGAGTCATACGCCGGTGGCTACACAATCTTGGATCTCAAAAAATAACTCAAGTTTACACGCCTCACCCCCGCCCTCTCCCTCACATCACCAATACCCCAAGCACCGCCGCAGACTTCCTCACAAAAATGCGTCAAATTATCTACGACGCGTTCCTGCCAATCGGTTACCCGGACTCGGTAACCCCAGATTATCTGGGCTACCAGACTTTCGACTCGCTCCAGGCCTTCTTCTCCACCATCACTGGCCTTCTCTCCAATCGTGCCATCTTGCAGGGCCTCGGTGTCGGCGATCCAAACTCGTCCGCCACATACGCCCTCCTCCTGACCATCCTCAAGGATGGCATCTCCCGCGTCGCCACCATAGTCTTCGCCTATCGCTTCGGCCTGGTCATCGAGCCCGAGTGCAAGAGATACCGCTTTCTCGCTGATATCTTCAACGACAGCGCCTTCTTCCTCAACCTCTTCAGCCCCTACTTTGACCCCTGGACCAAGGTCGGCGCCTTAGTCCTCGCCGAAGCCTTGGGTGCCATGTGTGGCGTCGCCGCCGGCGCAAGCAAGGCCGCCCTCTCGAAGCACTTTGCCCGCCGCAACAACCTCAGCGAGCTCAACGCCAAGGAGGCGTCCCAGGAGACGGCTGTCGGCCTCGTTGGCCTGCTCGTTGGGTCCGTCGTGGTGCGCTTCGTCGAGGGCCGCGAGGCTGTCTTCGCCCTCATGACATTCCTCGTCTTCGTCCACCTCGGCATGAACTATCTCGGCGTCCGCTGCGTCCAGCTCGCCACCCTCAACCAGCAACGCGCCACCATCCTCTTCGAGCACTATGCGCGGACGAAGCAGGTGCTGACCCCTGCGCAGGTCGCCAGTCGCGAGAACATCCTCTTTTGGTCGCCTGTTATCAAAAACCACCGCGGGAAGGTTGTCGCGAATATCAGATTCGCCAAGAGCTATGCCGATGCCATGACTGCCGACGTCAAGAGCGCCGGCATCCGCTACATTACACTCAAGGGCGAGGGCCAGTCGAAGAAGGAGGCAAAGACCGCTGCGGCGAGCTTCGTGCTCTGCCTCTGTGAGCAGCTTGAGGTCACCACTGTCAAGATCCTGTTACTCAGCGACCGCCCACACGACGATACAGATGACCTCAAGACCATCGAGGCGTGGTTTTACGCTACCTTGCTCGCGCGGGATCGCCAGCTGGGCACAAAGACGAGCACGCGCAAGCTGCTTGGGGCTATCCCCGTGGATGAGGTTGAGATTGACGACGAGGATCAGAAGCTGAGTTTTGCGGCGCTTCAGGAAGCTGGCTGGGACGTCAGTGAGGCCAACTTGGATGCCTTTGCTCCACGCATCAGCATGGGATACACGGCCAAGAAGGAGCTGTAGGCGGGATGATGAAAGGACTGTACTGAATGGACACGGCGTTTGGGACGGAAGACACTCATGATGTACAATTTACTAATGATACCAATGGCCCCTTCTGCAGTCGGTGTCTCGCTCTCACCACCAAGCGTCTGTTGCCACTGACGATGCCTTGCACCGGTGTACGGTGACTGACCTGTCTTGCCGAAATCTCGAAGCTACGCTTTGCCACGTGGTGACTGGGAGCGATACTCTGGGGTGGAGGGGGAATATTGCTCACAAGAGCCCATGCTGGGTCGAACGCCAAATGTCGAAACGCTAGTCGATGGGTTCTTGCAGTTTTCGATCTTCCACGTCTGGCTGGGTGAAGAGAAGGAAATGGCAGGTGGGGCCAAGTAGACTATCCGTACATCACGTTGAATACCCTTGAATACCCTGCAACGACCAACGAACCATAGGAAACTAGGGAAGCATAACGGCAAGGGCGTCGTGAGCCCCGACGACCCTCTTCCGTCCCAAGCGAGTGACGTGGTGGCAGCGGTCATGGGCGATGCCGTTGACTTCCACGACCGGGCATGAATTTCCAAACAGGGCACACCGCACATGCCAGCGCGCCAGACAGCAAGGTATCTTCACCTCAGAATGGTTCCCCGTCTGACCCGCGTCACTGCCCGTCGTTACGATCTTCTCATCTCGTCGGTCCGCGAAGTGGCCTCCCAGGTGATGGGTCTTTGCTTGCGTCCCGAGCCAGCTTGCAGATCGTGTGGGAACGAGACGACCCCACCGACTAGAGCCCCCCGCGCCTCGCGTTATGGAGGAGGAGCTTCGGGGTGTGGGATATTTGCTGCAGCCGCGCGAATCGTGGCCGGCTCCCCCACAAAGCCAGACCGCGCGGTGCCGTTATCGGAGCAGACCTATAGTACCTCCATCCTAAGATGTGCTCTTGACCTGCGAAATCAGTCAATAGGGTAGATACTCGGATATCTCCTTGCCATTTCTTCTAAAAGCTTCTATTGTGTTGAGTTTTGGGCATGGTACTTTTACTGTATTTCTATGAGTGTGTATGGCTGATAGTGTTCCTGTGCGGTTTTTAGAGGCTAAACCGCACCGCACCGCTTCCCATCGCCCGGTCCAAATCCCCGTCTACTTACACCGGAGCCGGGATCAGACGCTGCTTCCTTCTCAGTGGCAATCGGCGCGAATCGCGGTCCCGTCGACCGGGCCGGTCGGTTCCTGTAGATGGGGGCAACGTGTTGCGTCTGTCGTGAACGGAGAACAACTGTGTGTGTGTGTGGGGTGGAGACTGCGTCTAGTGGTAGCGTGGTAGCCATGTCACAATTCCACCTGCATCTCAAATCTCGATTTTTTTACCCTTCTTCCTTTTGTGCAAAAGGTCGAATGGTACGGTACAGTTCGGATCCGAGGGACCCCGCAAAAGCGAAACCCCATTCCAGGGCAATTCGAGTCGAAGGGCGGGAACTGCAACAAATGTGCCCGACGGCTTGCTGTCTTACCCGGTCCGGTACACACTGCCTAAGCGGCCATGCCCAACCGGACAAGACAATCCCACCCGAGGGCCACGAGGGGGTGGGCGCTAGCTACTCACGCACGCGCAAGGCCATCTGGTGCAATGCAATGCAAGACCGGGGCCAAGTTCCTCTTGCCCGCCGCCGCCGCCGCCGCCGCCGCCTTCGTCTGTGCCGTGGGGGTTCGTTTCCAAGTGGGTAACAGCAGCAGCAGGGCGGGAAACAGACTCGGTCCCAGCGGTTAACCGCACGCCGTTTACATAGTCCCCAGGTCACCATCACTGTCAATGCCACTGCTGTGCCGTGAATGTAATTGCCCTGGGTGGCAGCGCGGTGCTCCGGACCCAGCCCCACGCCCGCTCTACCTATTCGTGCTGACCAGGGCAGGAATTCACACTCTGTGTTCTGCAATGGGCTGCCTTGAGCGAACTAGGCATAGGCCTTGAAGGAGGGGAGGATGCATTGTGTTGCAGAAGACCAGGAAAGTCATTAACGAGGACACCCTCACCCTCACTGGCTCGCGTGCCCCGATCTCGGCTTGTCCAGTCGCAGGATGAGCTAAGCCAATGGGCGGGCTTGCTCGTCCGGCTGCCCGCACAATCGTTCGATGCAGGCGCACATCTCGGTGGAGGTTATTCTGTGCTTTTGGCGTCTTAGTTTTTGTTTCTCTCTGTGTGTGTGTGTGTGTGTGTGTGTGAGTGTGTGGGAGCGTGTGTTTGTTTGCTGTTGGTGTGGACGGGCCTGGAGAGGTCTACAGAAAAGCAGTGTGTCTTCCTGGGTGCAACGTTGGTCCGCCACTCGTGAACCATTCTCGAAGCCGCCATTGATTGATAATCCTTCAGATGGTGCCATGATGCTGACCTTCGAAGCGGAGGCAAAGCCCTTCCCACCTTCCTCCCTCCCTCCCTCCTCCATGCTTAAAAGTGCCGAACGCCGACCAGTAACCGGCGGCGCCTTGTCGTGTTAATTACGGATGCCCTGGGAATGGCTGAGTTTGCGTGACATCTTGCGAGTCCGGGGAACAAGGGTGGGAGGTCACTGGAGAGCTGCTGCGCGGGGTTTCGCACGCGTAAAAGGTCGGACGAGATGTCTTGGCGCAGAGCTTGTTGTCCCAAGATTGCATCCGAATCCTCGCCCACCACCCGACCAGAGACCGGGTTGAGGATGCTTGTGCACTACCTACCACTACTCATATACAGGTACGTAGTACGGATAGCACGACAAAATATGTTGGAAAAAGCGGGACAGCTGGAGAGTCAAACCGGGTTAGAAGCGACTGAGCTGTACGCAGTCAATGAAGACTTAATAAAAACCAGACAATGTTGGCCTAACATGTAGAGTAGTAGGTGTGGTGTGCGTTGACACGCGCCCTCAAGAATAGCCCGCCGGATTCACCATCTCGTATCTTGCCCACCGTCGGACTGTTCTTGAGGATGCGTGCTGATTCAAACGTCATCCGGCTGCTGTTTTGTGTGGGTGGTCCTCCTGCATCTCCGTCTCTGTCCGATGGAGATGGTTGTATGGAGATGGAGTCCAAAATATTGGAGATGGTACGAGGTCACGCCATGACGTGGGAGATCAGAGATAAGGCAGAATTCACGTGTAAAATCCATTTGTCCCGCTGTTCCGTCAGTGGCTGTCACTGAGACTGCGTTGCGGTCCCATCCAAGGGCGGAGAACGCTAGAGAGACGGCGGCGGGAGAGCGGAGGGCGGGCAAGGGAAGGGGAAGAGAGGGGTCGTTTGGTACCATTTTGGTAGGTGCCCATGAATAATGGACAGTACGATTGCTGTGGCAGGTTTCTGGGAAAGGCGTGGTCGGTCGAGCGTTGGGGGCGTTTGGGGTGGTGGAGACCCCTGAGACCGAGAGAAAGGAGCTCCCAACTTCGGACTTTAGAGAGTATGAGCTTAACAACAAATGGAGAGGATAGGACCGGACTTGAGATGGCGGACTTGCCTTTGTCGGATGGGGTCGGCGTCGGTTGGCAGAGACATTGGCAACCGCGAGAGTCTGGCTGTCTTGGACCTGTGGAACGCCTTCGGTTCTCTGCTTCCATCCCTATATGATGTGGTGAGTGAGTTGGTGGACCACCCACAAAAGCCCGGAGCACATCGCATCGCATCGAGAACCGAACCGACGAAAGTTGCCTCGGGGCTTCAACTGACTTGTGAGCATTGTCTCCGGAGACAGCTTGACGGGCCCAAACCTTTCTCTCCAGCGGCCTCGGGTCGGCCTCGGGGCTGGCGCGCTAAGACAGTGATTGGCAAACCTCGCAGCGCACATCAACCTTGTCTCGTCCCCTGTCCCCCGTCGGCCGTTCCCCCTCCTTGTCCTCGTCCTCCTCCACCATCCTGGTCCTGGTCTTGCCCGAAGTCTGCCTGCAGAGCCTGCAGAGCGCGAGAGAGTCAACGATAGTGTACGGATACGTATAGGCGCCAGCAAAACAGCTAGTGGGCGACACCCAACCCAGCAAACCCACCACAAAAGAGGATGCGCCATCGAGAAATCCAACCCCCAACCGAGCGTTACGCACACTGCGGCACAGCGCACTTTAGGACAGGGGGGTTAGAGGAGAAGTGTTGGTGGTACAAACCCGACCGCTGAGCAAATGGGGCACGGCCGGCAGCGTGCGCGGTGTCTCGGCTTGTGAAGAAAATTCCCCGTTCCTTCCCAGCCTGGATGAATATTAAGAACGTGCCTTCCTTTTTCTCCCGCCTAGGCTCTTCCTTGACTTTCCTCTCTCTTCCCACCTTCTTCCCTCCTTCAAACCACCAAACACAAACCTTGGACACGCTCTCCTCCCTGCTGCTAAAGGCTTCCGCTTGCATCGACAAAACCAAAATACAAAAAGATAAATTCAATTAAGCCTATCGGACTATACGGTGTTTCCTGTCGTAGTACCTACCTAGATAGATACCCGCCGCCGGCGCAAACTCAAAACTCAGCTTTAGTATCCCAGGCAAGGAGGAGAGTCGACCACAGCCAAACTTTCTCTCTTCTCTCTTACACGAATTTTCTTCTCCATATACCCCTTCGAACGAGCTTCGTCTACTTTCAGTCCCCCTACGCTTCTTCGGATTTCCTTCGACTCGTACATACCATTACAATGTTCGCGACCAGAATCCTCCGCCAGGCCGCTGCCCACGCCGAGCGTACCCCGAGCATCAAGTTCCTCGGCCGCCGCACCATTCCCTGTACGTCCTCCTTCCTCAGGCCTCGTTCTCTTGTTAGTCCGTAATACTCATTGTCTCACTTGCAGCTTCCATTGATCACACCCCCGCTCCTCACCCCGCCTCGCCCACCGGCAAGCTGCCCGCGAATTTCGGCAACGGCTCTGCTACCCCCAAGCACACCAACTTCAGCTCCTACCGCGACCACGCCCAGCAACACGGTCCCCTCCAGCGCTCCATCAGCGCCGGCATTGGCGGTACCTCCGGCCACAACATGGGCCCCGTCGTCCCCCCCTCGGGAGTCTATTTCGATCGCTCGGAGCTGCCCGCCCGCTTCCGCCGCCAACCCCTTGACCTGGACGAGATCGAGGCTGTCGAGTCTGGCGGTGCTGCCCACTTCGGCTGAGTTTAGTTGCCTCGAGGCAACAGAACAGCCACCACGGAACATGTCTTGACCTCTATGAATGACTGAAAAGATGGACATAACCATGATAAGAATCCGCGGGCAGGAAATGAAACGAGAGACGACGGAGGGGCATGTGTGCATTGAGGACGAGAGGCTGCGGTGGACAGAGACCTCCGTACATCACCAAATAGCCCCCGGCATTGGGACTTTCGGCAGGATATGGAAAATTCGGCGACATCACCTGATGTCATACACTCGTAACCGGGAGGCAGGTAAAAGTTACAGCAGAGAAGAGCGGGACCGGCCGCTTGGTGCTTTTTTACGGCATGCTAAAAGCGTTTGCTAGAGTGTAACCAGATCGACTACCGGAAGTTCCGCTGGTCCCGCGGGAGTTTGCGAGGCTGTTCAACGTTTAAACAACGCAGGGACACAAGGTGTCAGTCGGCCTAGCCCTGGCTCCTTGGTTTTCATTTTCCTTTATACTCACATCGACTGTTCTCGATGATTTATCCTGTACCGCTAGTCTATGCTCGTCACACAAACCAATCTCAGTGCATGCACATATGTCCCAACCAAAACCCGAGTCCCCGTACGCATCGCTCGGAACATCGTTGACATGTGCCTGCAGTTCCACTTTGGCATCATGTGGAGTTCTCTGCACGCCTCTGAATTCTATGGCGACCATCTTTCGGGACTGCAAACCAATGCTAGCGGAAGCTAGGCGACGCATGTGACAGCTTCCTGCAGCTTGTCGAACCGCCTGCGTCCGTAGCTCCGGGACGTTGGGAAAACCGTGCTCTTGGCCATTCGGGGAAGCATTGACGTTTCCTTAACCCAAGCTCTCCATCCTTCCATCCGATTGTTTCCATGCCCCGTTCCCCGCTTCCGTCATTTCCCGAGGTGGTCGGCTTGATGTCAGTTAGCAAAACCCGAGAGAGCCCCAGCCACAGAACTGGCCCCAAGGCTGGTGACCGCTCAAGCCACACGCGGCGACTGATCGCCGGCATATCCTGTTATATTTTGGCTGCTGACACACCACCAAGCAGAAAGTATTCTAAGCTCAATCCTGCACGATTGTCCGGCGTCATCTGAACCATCCGACGTCGACCTCAAAAAAGCGCCACCCAATCAAACAGCTTCAATCACATCATGCAAAAATAAAACTCCCAGAGCAACGGCCGCGTCTCCACTTAAAAAGTTGTTGCATCGAGGGAATCCTATTTCATACGGTTCGTCACCCTGCCAAGCTGCCCCAGCGCCAGAGATCCAATGCAATTGCTGTCGCATATCCCTACGACATAATAGAGATTGATTAAGCCAAACAAACAAAGAAAGAAGCATCGTTGCACCCCTATTCCCCAGAAACTGGTCTCCCGGTAGACCCCCCGCTCCGCAGATCTACTTCATCCGGGGTGTAGATAAATCCCTAACATCTGCAAGACCACCCGCATCTCCGGTCTTCAACTGGTATGAACATTACGCCCCTGCTCACAACTACAATCACTCCAAAATGAACAACGACCTCGTGGACCTCATCTTCCTAACCCGCTTGCAACCTCCAGCTGCGACCCCATCCTCCTACTTGTATCCATCATCTTCCTCCGCCATCGAGTACGAGAACCACATAATGACGGATCCCAAGAACGACTCCGCGCCCGAGGTGTGCCCCGTTGACCACAAGGCCCGCGAGGCCTGGCTGCAGCACGCCCGCGCCGCGAACCCGAGCGACACGCACCCTCACCCACCGCAACCCGTTGTCACGCCGGCCGACGTCCCGCCCCCCCAATCACAGTCGCAGTCCTGGACGCAGTCCCTGCTGTCCCTGACGCCTTTCTCGTCATCCTCCTCTTCCTCGAACGGCCCCGCGACGTCGCCTTCTGCCTCTTCTGCCAATGCTGAGGCCTGCCCCGTAGACCATAAGTCCCGCGAAGCATGGCTCGCTCAAGCCCGCGCCGCGAACGCCGCAGCGAATCCTCACAGCTCCCCCACGGCAAAACAAGACTCCCACCAACCCCTTCACCAGGCGCCACCACAGTCCTCGCAATCCTGGACGAAATCACTCAAATCGTACATCCCCTTCACATCTTCCTCCCCAACAGCAGGAGACACGCCAAACCCCCCGCGCTCGGCGAACGTAAAACCGGGCCTCGATACTGATCGCGAGGTCTCGACGATTCCCCGGACAGCAACTTCGGCGTACCCGGGCAACAGCCGGCCCTCGAACCATGAGCAAGAGACGGGCGCGGACGAGGCGACTGGGAACTGGATCTACCCCTCCCAGAAGATGTTCTTCGATGCCATGAAGCGCAAGGGCCACGACGCCCGCGCCACGGACATGGCGACTGTGGTGCCGATTCACAATGCCGTCAACGAGAGGGCATGGAAAGAAATCAAAGAGTGGGAGAAGCCGTATCTTGAAGGCTCAGCGTAAGCATCTACCTATCCCGATTCCCGGATTCCTTGACTCTATTCAGCCAAGGAGTGGCTGGGAGCTGAAGAGAAAGACCGCTGACGAGCTAAACAGCTGTGAAGGTCCCAAACTCCACTCCTTCCTCGGCCTCAGCACAAATATGTCCCCCAAGGCGCGCATCAATACCCTGCTAGGCTACACCCCACCCTTTGACCGGCACGACTGGATCATCGACCGCTGCGGCGTGCAGGTTGAATATGTCATTGATTTCTACGCCGGCCGCCCCGACGCCAATGGCAAGCCCAGCTTCTACCTCGACGTTCGGCCGAAGCTAAACAGCTGGGAGGGCGTCAAGATGCGCGCGCTGAGGGGCGTCGGGCTAGGTTGAGCAAGTATTGTTGGGCCGAACCCCCACAACCGTAGAATACTGTCACATGTTCTGGTGCAGGGCAGGGATGTACAAAATGTATAGGTGTGGTTTGATATTGTATAAATACTAACAGCATTGGAGCCAGCGCAGATATCCCAAGGGAGGGATGGATATCTTTGGAGGGAGCTAGTTCTTGCTTATTCAGACGGGCTATAGTGGACTTCGTATTAGGGACGAACCGCATCCCACTCAATTCAACATTTTGACAACTTTTACATACGACAAGCCTGTGCTTTTTTCGATCTTTCCAAGTTACATCTTGGATATGAGGAACAGCAGACCATCAAATCCCAAGTCTCAAGAGTGCTGGCAATAGCAGTCTTCCCAGCTACCTACATATCCTACCCAGATCTATTATGGGGCCCAAAGTATCAATACTTGACTGCAATATCGATCAAGTGATATTTGAACTCGCCTAAACATGAGTGGAACCATTACGCGGCTGGACGCATGCCGATTGTCTTGACATCCAAGTGTAAGCGCTTGGCTTGCAGATCTGATGTGGTTTTCTTCGCTGCGGTCAGCTGAGGAGAAACAACTTGTATTGTGGTAGGTCAATGGCCGCGCATCGCGAAGTTACACTACATTTCCACAAACTGTATTATCACATGCGGATCACTGGGCACATGCGTATGGGGCCACCACTTATGCTGCAGCTTATTCTCCCGTAGGTCTCTCATGTGGAAGATGAGGGGTTAGGTGTTGTCAGGTATCCGAATAAATCCATTCTCCGCACTCTTGCTCGACGCAAGCTGCCCGGTCACTTCATCCAATATGTGCAATGAATGATATATGATTGGCCGTTAGTGGGAGGGGGGGGTACATGCCTGGCACAAGCGATGAATTTAGAACAAGGTTATTGTGAAGGGCGGTCACTCGCTGGCTATTGGCTGAAGTTATGTTTATAACAGTTGTTTGCCGCCCCTGCACCTGTTGACCAAGTTCTATGTGCCGAGCTTGTTCTGCACGTCGCTTGGTAACTTACAGCATTCACGGACATTTTTACTCGAACGAGCTCACAATATGGAATACACATTTCTTATCCCGCTGGCAGTTGTTGCCATAGCTGTTTATCAGCTGCAAAACGTTGGCAGACGCCCCAAGGGGTATCCTCCGGGCCCTCCTACACTGCCTTTGATCGGTAATCTTCACCAGATCCCGGTAACAAAGCCGCATATACAGTTCAAGAAGTGGGCAGAGGAGTATGGGTATGTAGAGCAAGACACCGATCCATAGGATGGTAAGGATGAGCAGCGTGCCGACATTGACGTTGTCCACAGCCCCGTGTACTCCCTAATTGTTGGCACCAAAGTCATGATTATACTTTCATCAGGTCGGGCGGTGAAGGACCTTTTGGACAAACGGAGCGCCATTTACTCATCACGCCCCGATGTATACCTCGGAAACGTAGCGAGTGGAAACCTTCGCGTTGTGATCATGGTATGCCTCCTTGCAGCTAAAGCCGAGCAGCGCGTGTTCCTTGATTAGACTCGTGGCGCTGAAATAGAGTGCAGAAATATGGTGAAACATGGCGAATGATCCGAAAGATATTCCACCAGGCCTTGCATATCAGTGCGGCCAGGGCCTATGTCCCGTACCAGGACCTCGAGAGCAAACAGATGCTGACCGGGTTCCTGGACGAGCCACAACACTTTGCCGACCACATCCGCCGTTACACCAACTCGCTCACGACACAGATTGTGTTCGGATTCCGCATTGCGGGCATTCACGATGAGAAGCTGAAGAAGCTGTACCACTGTATCGATACATGGAGTGAGGTCATGGGGTCCTTCGCGGCGGCGCTCCTAGACGCGTACCCGGTGCTCAGAAACCTCGGCCCCCTGTCGCCTGGAAAACGGTATGCTGAAAGGCTACAAAAGGACACGGATACTCTTTATGTCGGACATTGGATGGACGCGAAGAAGCGCGTTGTGGAGGGCACATCAAAGGCGGGTATCCCAATATCCGCCTCAGCTGAGTGAACGTCGGAAGGCTGACCAAGACCAGCCATGTTTCTGCATAAGTATTGCCGAGAACCAGAAGTCGCTCGGGTTCTCTGATGATTTGGCCGGGTATATCTCCGGATCTGCTCTCGAAGCCGGCTCGGACACGACCGCAAGTACACTACACAGCTTCGTCCAGGCCATGCTTCTGTACCCCTCCGTACAGAAGCAAGCCTGGGAAGAATTGGATCGTGTCTGTGGCACAGAAAGACTACCAAGCATGGACGACTGGGACTCCATGCCATACATACGGGCATGCGTCAAGGAAACCCTGCGGTGGCTGCCAACCGGAATCCTCGGACTGCCTCACGCTGTACTCAAGGATGACGATTATATGGGCTACAATATCCCCAAAGGGGCCGCCGTCATGGTTAATGTATGGGCCATCAACATGGACGAGGACCGGTGGAAGGACCCCCGAGCCTTCGACCCGTCCCGCTACGCGGGCGATGACCAGAACTCGTTCGAGTCGGCGTCAAACGCGGACCCGTCCAAGCGGGACCACTACGGGTTCGGTGCTGGTCGGCGTCTTTGCCAAGGCACGCATGTCGCCGAGCGGTCCCTCTTTCTGGGCATCGCGCGGCTGCTGTGGGCGTTCCGTTTCGAGCGGGCCATCGACAGCCGCGGGGCAGAGATCGTTCCGGGTGCGGACGACATCACGAGCGGGGTTTTAGTACAGCCGCGGCCGTTCCTGTCGAAGATCACGGCGAGAAGCGAAGCTCACGCGCGGATCGTCCGCAAGGAGTGGGAGACGAGCCGGGAGCTTCTGGACGAAGACGACCAGTGGAAGGAGATTCCGCGCGGAATGGTGTTCGAGTCTCTGGTATCGTCGAATGGAAAGGACTGAGCCACCCGGGGCAAGAAGAAGTGCTCGTATGTAGCTTGGTTGAAGATACATGAGAGGGACCATGATATTCCCCTCTGTGATGGCGCTGGAAGATGCCTATATATCAGGGCGAGGTGTTGATGGAAATCTGTGGTACACGGTCCCCGTGTGACCAGAGATTCATGTATTTGTTTTTAAAAACGACAATTCTGTTTACTGCTGAGGCTGTTTCTCAACAATGGTTCAAGTAATAATACCACACTGAGTCTGTAGGTCTCTTAGTAAAAGTCGAACAACAACGGCGACATAGCCTTCAGCACATGCCACCACCATGAAATCACATTCTGAGCAGTGCTTTGCGGTCTTTTGAGTTGGCGTAACTTCACAATGAGGTTATGGAGGGCTTTTCATAAGCAAAAGACGGGACTCCGGCTCCTCGAAAACGATGCTCTGGTAGCAGCCTTGCGTCGTGGTGGGGTCCATATTCTAGTGAGACATGCTTTAAGGATGGCATGATCTTGAGGCCACGGGTGGCCTCCCGTGTACGTTCTCGTCGACCGTGGTGGCAGTCCACAGATTTGGCAATATCCTGGCATGAACCTTTACGCGGATACTGCTTGACTAGATAGGGGCCACTCAAGCATTCATCTTGGAACAATTTATCAAAGTTTCTAGTGTTTTCAGGGCGTATCTAATCCCTATCTTTTAACCAACTCCAGCTAGGATGAAAAGCCCATAGCGTCCCCAATAAGCTGCATTTCCCACAATGGTGCAATGATGGGCCGATAAACGCTGGTATATAATGATACATAACTTGACATGGCTCACGCTTTGAACTTTTCGGGAGCCCTCTCCTCGCTCGCATCCTGAGGAACAGCCTTTGCTTTCCCTCGTCCAGGCGCCGTCTCGAATTTCTCGGCCCACTTGCCCTCCTGCTTGAACATGGAAAGACACTGGATCGCTGACGGTGTGCCGTACTCTGGGTCAGCACCCCCTTCCAAGAGAACCTATCCAAGCCGGTTAGCAACGAGATCTAAGGTTTTGGTATCGGCGTACAGCCATGCGGCCTGCCAGACCAACGATGGCGTCTTGTTCACTTGCCTCAATAACAGAATCCAACCCCTTAAAGACAGCACCTGCGAGAGGGCTCTGGCGCTTATCATTCAGTCTGTTGGGGTCTGCTCCATGTTCTATGAGGAGCTTGACAAGGTCCGCGTGGCCGTAGTAAGCCGCCAACATCAGCTGTTTTGAATGTTAGTCACAATGTGACCGAGGACCAATAACTCAACCCACAGATTGAGACCAGACGTGAAAAGCCCTCATCTACAAGCGTTGCCACTCACCAATGTGTCGCCCTTTTCATTCGTCAAATTCGGCGGTAGCCCATCGAGGAGAGCCTCCTTAAGAACAGCCTTGTTACCCTCGCGGGCTGCATTGTACATGCTAGCCGCCAGCTTGATGGCTTCCAGTGACGGCGAAAACGCCGTAGCGGAAGTCAGGCTTGTCCCACTCATGATGTCCGAAGAGAGAATGCGTGTAATTGATTTCGTATAAACTAGTGAGGTTACTTAGTAATGCCGGCAATGATCGTGGTTGCTCTCGGCGGGAGACAAGATAAAATTGGTGCTGGAAGCGGGGTCATAAGTAAGGTATGCCAGGTAGTTAGTGCTCGCGCTCTAGGGATTCGGGCGGGCGAGGTCTCCGGAATCCCAAGTCACGGGTGCGGGGCACGAGTACCTAAAAGGTTGGGGGAATATTCGAGAAAACATTACTAAGCCAAGACATCATTGGCTCGTACCATAACTAGTTGGTGTTATGCTCAAAGGTGAAGCTGTAAAAATCGACAAATAATAAAACCAATAAACTGAAGCGTTATAAAGTCGTAATAACATATAACCTACAGAGCTCTTGGACAGGTGGCTATCTCTAAGAGAGTCCCACGGCTCGGGAAGTAGGTACACAGGACTTCTAGCATGGCATATCGCTTGAGTCTTCAACCACGGAAACATATTAGGTTTAGCAACGCTGCAGAGGTTCCACCTATGTGGGATGATTAACGACGCCAAGAAGCTTTGGGAGAGGAAAGCGTCAATGAGCGTGAATATGGTGACTGTGTTCTGCCCACTGAAGGAATTTGGCGTCCAAAGTTATAGGAAGGGCTGAAAAGGGGTATGCACACGGAACTGTTGAGTATGAATGTTTAGCCCACTATGCGCGCAAACGCTGCATGGTCCGCAAAGCTAGGTTTCGCTAATTATTGGCCGCGTCCTACGCGAATCTGATACCTGCGGATTTGAGGCATGTCGCATTCCGCCACTCCTGTGGAGTGTCGTCATTGAGAACGCGGACTTGTCCTGGCTTCGCTGTAGTTAGCAAAGTTTAGATGTCTAGGTAAAAGTCCGCAACATGCGTGGTGGACGTCGAGGAGATGTCTGCCCTTTTTCAATACACACACAATCGACAATCTCGAGAGGCTGTGCCCTCCAGCAACGGACTTGGCGAGCTGTTGACAGCCGTAATCCCACCCAGTGACGCAGATCTCTCATATCGACATTCCGAGAGCGATGTGCACAATACGGCGCCAGATTTTGTGTACGAGCAATGCAGACATGCAAATGGTGGACGTGTGAGACGGAGCCAAGGGACAAAAGCTGCCCAACCTGAGAATAGGAATGATGCAATTGGACAACAAACGGACACCTCCCGACCGCAGTCACCGCAGTCAGGGTGGGCTTAGGCCGCAAACGGCGTAAAAGTGTAAGCCCTATTACGTGGCTCTAGGGCCGTCACATGGCTTAAGCGCCGCATTTTCGGGGGGCTTCAAGTCCCCGACTCGGCGACGGACTGAGGTGACCGCCCAAACTCCGCCGGACCGCCGTTCATGTCCGCTCATAGTAGTGGAAATACGTGCTGTCAGCATGCAACTCAGGCGCGACGAAAAGAGGTTCATGTTGTAAGCTGACATGATATCTTTCTCATTAATCTGAGGTCAGGGGCTTCGCCCAGACCACGAACTACAGAGTGACGTCTTTGTCTCTGGTCGGCCGGTAGGCGGGAGCTCCGCAAACTCCGCAAATATTCAAGCTGGTTCGGCCGCCTCAACACGCGCACGTACCAAAGTATGGGCCTAATACCTTGGCTGATATACCAAGAGCTTGGTTATGTCCGCAAGCGTATACGCCTGATAAGTTCTCACTGTTGCTGTTTCATATAATATATTCGCCCAAGACTTTCAGCATTCTTCTTCTGCTCCCAGTATTCCTTGAATAATAGAATCTTTGAACGCCTTGTTAGTTACACATAGACTGTCTATATAACTTTGCTTCCATAATTCCACAACCAATTGGATCTTATTTGCAACCTCACACCATCACCGACTCAATCGAGCTGAGCCCATGGATAACACACACGAACCCATGGAAGACGGAACAGTAGCCAGAGGCAGCCACGGCACCTTAACTACAAGGATCACAGCAACATCATCGCTCACCATAACCAGGGAACAGAGGATCTTATCAGAGAAAGAGACGCACGCGCACACCGAAAGCATCGCGCCAACCAACGCGGAGAAGAATGGCGAGTCATCTGGAGAGGAATCCGAGGCCGAAGCTATGACTAGCCCAGCGAGGGATGCCCAAGGCGATGCAATGATGATCGATGAGGAGGATAGAAGAGAACTGCAAAGGATCGCAACAACACTTTCAAGGCACCAAAGCGCGGTTACCCCCGGTCGCTCCCTTTCGACTCACGTCTCCTATGGTCAGGGGCTTGCCACGCCGGATGACCCTGCATTGGATCCTTCCAGCAAGTATTTCGATCTTTCCAAATGGCTCCAAAATTTCATGCGGGAAATGCAAAACGAAGATATCGCTGTCAAGAACGCTGGGGTTGCTTACAAGAACTTGAGCGTTTCCGGCTCAGGGGCCGCTTTGCAGCTCCAGCAAACTGTTGGTGATTTCCTCAAGGCCCCGATGAGGATCGGTGAGCATTTCAGCTTTGCCAAAAAGAAACCCAGGAGAATCCTCAACAACTTCGATGGCATCCTGAACAGCGGAGAGCTTTTGATCGTTCTTGGCCGCCCTGGCTCTGGGTGCAGCACTCTTTTGAAGACCCTGACTGGTGAACTCCAGGGTCTTACCTTGGGAGAGGAGTCCGTCATTCACTACAATGGCATCCCCCAGAAGAAGATGATGAAGGAGTTTAAAGGAGAAACGGTCTACAACCAAGAGGTAAGGGAAGTCGGGATCGTGGTATTTTGCCTCTGATTATGGCCGACTTTGGCTGATGCGTAATATCTAGGTTGACAAGCACTTCCCTCATCTGACTGTTGGTCAAACACTCGAATTTGCTGCAGCCGTTCGCACGCCATCGCGGAGAATACACGGCATAACACGCGAGGAACACCATAAGAAGGCCGCACAAGTTGTTATGGCAGTTTGCGGTCTTAGCCATACTTTCAACACTAAGGTCGGCAACGACTTCGTCCGCGGCGTCTCTGGTGGTGAGAGAAAGCGTGTTAGCATCGCCGAGATGATGCTTTCTGGTTCGCCGATGTGCGCGTGGGACAACAGCACGCGCGGTCTGGACTCTGCGACTGCCCTCAAGTTTGTGCAATCGCTGCGCCTCGCGTCCGACTTCTCAGGCAGTGCCCACGCCGTTGCCATCTACCAGGCAAGTCAAGCCATCTATGACCTCTTCGACAAAGCCGTAGTTTTGTACGAGGGTCGTCAGATCTATTTCGGCCCTGCTCGTGCCGCCAAGTCATACTTCGAGCGTATGGGCTGGGAGTGCCCTCAGCGCCAGACAACCGGCGACTTTTTGACTTCGATCACCAACCCCTCCGAGCGCAAGGCTCGCCCCGGCCTGGAGAACCAGGTGCCTCGAACCCCGGAGGACTTCGAAGACTATTGGCACCGGTCTCCAGAATCCCAAGCTCTTCGCCAGGATATTTACCAGCACACGGAAGACCACCCGATTGATCCCCGCGGCCGGGCCCTCAGTGAGCTCCGCCAACTCAAGAATGACAGACAGGCGAAGCACGTTCGCCCAAAATCTCCCTACACCATCAGCATAGCAATGCAGATCCGGCTCACGACTAAACGTGCATACCAGCGCATGTGGAACGACATCTCAGCCACTGCTACAGCGGCTGCTCTCAACATCATCTTGGCTCTTGTGATCGGCTCGGTCTTCTACGGTACTCCCGATGCAACCGCTGGTTTCTTTTCCAAGGGATCTGTTCTTTTCTAGGCTGTTCTCATGAACGCTCTCACCGCCATCTCTGAAATCAGTAGTTTGTATGACCAGCGACCCATTGTAGAAAAGCACGCCTCGTATGCCTTTTACCACCCAGCCTCGGAAGCCATCGCCGGTGTTGTAGCAGATATTCCAATCAAGTTCGTCACGGCCACCTGCTTCAATCTTACACTCTACTTCCTTGCAGGGCTTCGCCGTGAGCCAGGCCAGTTTTTCCTTTACTTCCTGGTCATTTACATCGCGACCTTTGTCATGAGCGCTGTCTTCCGAACCATGGCCGCCATTACGAAGACCATATCTCAAGCAATGACGTTAGCCGGTGTCATGGTCTTGGCCCTTGTGATATACACTGGGTTTGCAGTCAGAATTCCCCAGATGGTCGTCTGGTTTGGATGGATCAGATTTTTGAATCCGATCTTTTACGCCTTTGAGATCCTCATCGCCAACGAGTTTCACGGCCGTGAGTTCGTCTGCTCCGAAATCATCCCTTCTTACACACCTTTGGTTGGAGACTCCTGGATTTGCTCGACAGTCGGTGCCGTCGCCGGCCAGCGCACTGTTAGTGGTGATGCTTTTATCGAGACAAACTACCAGTACTACTACTCTCACGTCTGGCGGAACTTCGGCATCCTGCTTGCCTTCCTGTTCTTCTTCATGATCATCTACTTTGCTGCAACCGAGCTCAACTCTTCCACCACCAGCACGGCTGAGGTCCTTGTTTTCCGACGTGGCTACGTTCCTTCCCATCTCCAGGGAGATGTCAACCGGAGCGTGGTCAATGAGGAAATGGCTGTGGCTTCCAAGGAGCAAGAGTCCGACGGCAACGTCAAGTCTATCCCCCCTCAGAAGGATATCTTCACTTGGAGAGACATCGTATACGATATTGAGATAAAGGGCGAACCCCGCCGGCTGTTAGACAACGTCTCTGGCTGGGTAAAGCCTGGTACCCTCACCGCTCTTATGGGTGTTTCTGGCGCCGGAAAGACGACTCTTCTCGATGTTCTTGCCCAAAGGACCACTATGGGGGTTATCACCGGGGATATGCTTGTCAATGGCAAGCCCTTGGACGCCAGCTTCCAGCGAAAGACTGGATATGTACAACAGCAAGGTTAGCATTCCCCTTTAACACTCAAGCAGCTAGCTTACTGTTTCTAGATCTTCACATGTCCACGGCAACCGTTCGTGAGAGCTTGCGCTTCAGTGCCATGCTCCGCCAGCCCGAATCTGTTAGCAGAGAAGAAAAGTACGCTTTCGTCGAAGACGTCATTGACATGCTCAACATGCGTGATTTTGCCGATGCCGTCGTCGGTATCCCCGGCGAGGGTCTCAACGTCGAGCAGCGCAAGCTACTCACCATTGGCGTCGAACTTGCCGCCAAACCTAAGCTTCTTCTGTTCCTCGATGAGCCCACCAGTGGTCTTGACTCCCAAAGCTCGTGGGCTATTTGCGCCTTCCTCCGCAAGCTCGCTGATTCAGGCCAAGCTGTTCTCTGCACCGTCCATCAGCCCAGTGCTATCCTGTTCCAACAGTTCGACCGCCTTCTCTTCCTCGCTCGCGGAGGTAAAACCGTCTACTTTGGTGATATCGGCGAGGACTCTCGCACCCTTCTCAACTACTTTGAGTCACATGGTGCTCGGAGATGCGACGATGAAGAGAACCCCGCCGAGTACATGCTCGAGATCGTCAACAACGGCACCAACTCCAAAGGCGAAGATTGGCACACTGTTTGGAAGTCGAGCAATCAAAGGCATAATGTCGAGGCGGAGATCGAGCGTATCCATCTGGAAAAGGAGCACGAGGAGGTCGCAGGCAGCGATGACGCCGGTGCCCGCTCAGAGTTCGCCATGCCCTTCACCGTACAACTCATGGAGGTCACTACACGAATCTTTCAACAGTACTGGCGTACGCCCAGCTATATTTTTGCCAAGTTCTTTCTCGGTATCTTCGCTGGTCTCTTCATTGGGTTCTCCTTCTGGGAGGCAGGCGGAACTCTGGCTGGTATGCAAAATGTCATATTCGGCGTCTTCATGGTCATCACCATCTTTAGTACGATTGTACAACAAGCCCAGTCGGTTTTCGTCACCCAGCGAGCTCTTTACGAGGTCCGCGAGCGCCCAAGTAAGGCCTACTCGTGGAAGGCTTTCATGTTCGCCAGCATCATGGTCGAAATCCCATACCAGATCATCACAGGTATCCTCATCTGGGCTTGCTTCTACTACCCCATCATTGGCGTCCAAACCTCTGTAAGACAGGTCTTGGTCCTCCTGTACTCTATTCAACTCTTCATCTACGCCGGCTCGTTCGCCCACATGACCATTGCTGCCCTCCCGGACGCCCAGACCGCCTCCGGGTTAGTCACCCTCTTGGTACTTATGAGCTTGACCTTCTGCGGTGTCTTGCAATCTCCATCAGCACTCCCTGGTTTCTGGATATTCATGTACCGCGTCTCTCCCTTTACCTACTGGGTAGCCGGCATCGTCAGTACCCAACTGCACGGCCGGCCCATTACCTGCTCAGCTTCCGAGACATCCACTTTTAACCCGCCTATGAATCAGACATGCGGCGAGTATCTCTCGGATTATCTCCGAGATGCCCCTGGTCAGCTGCAGAACCCGGATGCCACTGAACAGTGCAGATACTGCTCGCTAAGTAACGCAGACCAGTACATGGCCAGCACTAGCATCTTCTATGATGAGAGATGGCGTAATTATGGAATTGTCTGGGCTTTCATTTTCTTCAACATATTTATCGCTGTTATTTCGTATTATCTGGTTCGTGTCAAGAAATGGAACACTGGCGCATCAAAGAAGGCTAAGAAGGAGTCAAAGGGAAAGATGCCTAGGACCCAATAAATTGGCTGGTAGTATAGATACCTTATCAAAGACAGCATAAAATAGTAATAGTTATAGATTAGATAGCGAGCGCTTTTTCATAGATGAAGAGAATATCAATGTTTTGGAACTGTGAACAACAAGTTGCTGTTGCGGAAGCTGCAAAATCCAATTGCTCGAGCGTCATGTTGTCCAAGACACGAGTTTGACTAATTACGTAGGAACAGCACTCAACGTGAAGGCAAGATCTCTAATGAGTGACAGAAAAAAGGGAAACAGAAAGCACACAAGGCTCCCCAGTATGTAATCCAGGTGCTGGGGATTTCCAACATATTGGCCCTAATGGTATTCACCAAGTCATCGTGATTGAATCCCTCCCTTAATGCCCTACTTGGGGATCTCCCCGAAGAAGATCTTCGGCAGTTAAACGTCTTCTCTTTGCCTTATACTGGAGAAGCAGCTCTGTAATTGCCAGCTTGGGGGCGTTGGGGATGGGGAAGAGCCCCTCATGTTAGAGCAGACTACGATAGAGGAGGCTTCTGATGAAGCCGCTCCGAAAATTGACCACAGAGAATGCTTGAGCCGTTATAGAAACAGATTCAACGAACTTTGCGATACGATCCCAAGGAGAGACCTTCACCGGTGGCGCTTCTGCTCGACCCTTGGTTCCAAGGTGTCGTAGTTTAAGTTGGGGGGTTTCGTAACGCATAGAGTAGCGGTGGAATACAGTTGTACTAAATCTTTCTCCTTTCCACTTTCACCTTAACAAGTTTTGCGATAAGGGTTTCCTTCCGTCACTACGAGTGTTTGATGCCCTAAGTGATCGCCAAGACTGTAAAGGTGCAGCCCAGTGAGATTATGGAACCATTGCCGAAGCCGAGAATTGCTATAAGTTCTTATGCAACTCGTCTCACATAGAGTGTAAAGTTTTCACATGGAAAACCTGGACACGTTCTGTTATGGTCTATAATTGGGCTGTATTTTGTTTACAGCAAGCCAGCCAACTTAGACAGGTTGATCACTCAATGTTGTGGCTTGAATGATTTAATCAATGAGCAAGATTACATTCGACAATCTGTTTCTCAGAGAAGGGTGAGCGCCACGGTCGCTATGTCCGCTCTTGTCTTGCTGGAGTAGAAATACCACTCGGAGAGCTGATGCTATTTTGAACATTGATTAAAGGATTGACACCAGCCAGCAGCCCCAAGTCAAGGAGAGATTTGATGAAATGCAATGCAGGCCAAGACCCCCCAAGTATTCATGATACATAATATATAAACAATGAAAACATGTTCTAGTTAAGGGCTCTAGTAACCCGAAAATACTACAACTTCATGTTCAACGTCGAGTTGATTTCTCCGTAGCGGATGTTGCTAAAAGTCACCTCGGGATTGGACACAATTTTTCTAGCCACCACTGGGTTACCCTCAGTAACATTGCAGGGTCCGTTGTTTCCCACATCGAGCCACTGCATGAACGTAACCTTGTCCCACCACACACTCAATGCCAAAACCATGCCGCGGGTCATAGCATCACCCATGACTTCCATACCACCTAGGCGAGAGAATTCCGTAGCTCCGGTAGCTTGGCAATAATCGTCATTCATGAAGTCGATCTTCGGAGGCCCCTCGATGTTGACAACATTGTTCTGGATGACCTTCCCATCCTGAACATACATGCGGCGGAGCTCCTTGAGCTTGCCATTCTCGGAGGGAAATTGTGTGACGACAGTGAAGTTGCGGGTCGTGTCTACATTGAAGTTGTCGCCTGTGCCATAATAGTGGGTGGCGTTTATGACGTTCGGATTCCAAGAGCAACCGGCCTTGTCGCACACGCCTGCCTTTTCGCATTCCTCGCCGACGCACTCGTAGAGCCCTGGCTGGCTGCAAGGATGAGGTGCGATGTGTGTCGCACGAGCGTTGGCCTCCCAAATGTCGAGTTCGTTGCAGCAAGAGCCCTTTCCATCGAAGTTACCCTTGAAACAATGTTAGATTCTGCTAGGATGGTTATCATCTTAACTTACAACTCCGTTAATGAATGAGGTCTTGAAGCACTGTGCATCACAGTAACCAGTACCCCAGGCTGGGCCAAGCTTGTTGAGACTGTTACTGCTCTTTCCGCCATCGGGCGGCATCTCGGACAGGTAGAGCGCAGCATTCAAACCGCAGGGCAGCTTTGTCATGTCGACATCGAAAGTAAATTCGGCGCCGGTCAGATAGATCATCTCGTACCGCTCCTTGTTTTCTTCCAACAGGTAGACTCGTGGCTTAATCTCTGTGCCGCTATCGTTGAATATCTTCATACGGATGTCGGTGCCGCTTGTGGTGACAGCAACGGCGTTGTAGTCAGAGATCGCATTGATTACACAGTTGCTTGCACAATCTTCCGGAGTTGTGCATGCGGTGGAGTTAGGCGGGTTGTCACCGGTATCACAGCTCACTCCGCTGGACGTTGTGATTTCATGCTGGCTTGAGTCAGCTACAATGTAGTTCGTCTTCTTCTGGCACCCATTGTCGACGGTGCATCTAAAAGTCTCAAGCTTGGGGTGGTTGTCTGCCCCCTTACCAGGTGCCTGGCCTGATACGAGGTTGAAGAGGAGAAGAGAAATAGAAATGATGGAAAGTGCCATGCTAGCAAGTTGTGAATATCGGTTTAATCGACGAAATGCTAACGAGGCAAACGAAGGGCAGGAAGTACGAAGATTATCTATTAAGAAGCATCCGATTCTTGGCAGAAGTTAGGCAGAGCTAAATATCTTTGACGAACGACATGGCCACCCCATACGAAACCGCATAAGCTTCCATGGTTAAATCGTTTCAATGACTGATGCATCAGGCGTTGTCTATGGCAGGGCGTTCCCCTCATTGGCCAACGGTCTGTGGGAGAGAAGGACCCCCCGGCTACTTGCAACCGGCCACCGGTTTAACGGCGTTGAAAGCAAAACATCGTTTCTTTATTAGACTTTGATCGTACGTCGTCTTACGGAAGAACGGGATGAGAAACATCCATAGAGCAAAAGTACCATGGCAGGTCCTGAGGGTTTTTATCAAGTCTGGACGATAAAGAGGAAACTGATTGGGGGCCATGACACTCGAATGATTGCCAATGAACACCTTGCTTGCACGTTGGGTAATCGGGATGGGAGCCCGTCCGTTTCATGATACCCCGAGGGCAATGTAAGTTGGTTGTGCCAAGCACCTGTTTCCCTCCCATGGGTTCTCATTGAAGCATGATTCAAAGTTCTTACGAGGTGGTCCCAAAAGTTTATTGCCAACGAAACACTGGAAGCAGGGTCCTTTGGTTTTATAGACTTAGGTCAAATCGGGCCGGACAGCCGTAGATGAACAGTCAAGAGCATTGGCCGCCAAGCTTTTCATGACCTTGCCAAGCGCACATTCGGGGTTACCCAATTTTCGTTTCATGTCGCAAATTAACAAATCACCTGCGTAGGATATAGCCACTGCCTCGCTTATATAGAGGGCCGTTCGCCGCGGAATAAATTGAATTATACGAGCCGTTTTCCACCGCCTTCACGCAGGCTTTGCTGTATAAGTGTAAATCTTTATTGGTGGTGTGCTACGGTATGAGATGAAATATGTCAAAGGGTATGTGAACGTTACAACGTTACACGAGAATCAGGGATCTCGTTGACAAGACCAAATTTATGTTTATCTTGTGATTAGCCGATATGCTGAATCTGCGCTTGCCGACCCTTAGCCTTACATTCAGCTTCACTATCCGGATTCAGTCCGTAGGTTGGATAAGAGCTCCAGCGGAAGACTCTCTCTGCGTTTTTACAGCCTGAATCATGGTCAAGAACGAAGCCTGGGAATTATCAAACCGAAGCAGACCTGCATGCTGATCAGTCGAGTCAGTCCCCAACCACCCAAAAGTCGCTGCTGGAGTACTTTTATCTAGAATCAGAATGTTTGTGACTCAGTAGAAGAGCAGTGTGAGTCAAAGGGGTGACGGTAGTTCTTTGACTTTCTCTGACTATGCGCTCTCGTTCCTTGAATTGAGTCTTCCATCCGCGCGTTATCCTTGTTCCGAGATGCCGCTTGCCAGATGTTAGGTCAACACGCGGTGTCAAATGCATTTTCTTATAAACTACACAGAGCTATGGATATTATTCTCCGTGTTCTTCTACAGACCACTGCAGACTTCGAGTTCGACGACTTTGGGCGTTTCTCGAACCCCGGAGTTGAGTATCGTCAGTTACCCGACCAGGTTGATTCAATGAGCATTTGAAAGTATGATCGAGCGTGAATTTCAACTGTCCTATACACAAGTGTATAGGTTTAATGAGTGTGTTTCTAACTGAGGTAATGATCATTCAAACATCAGGCGATCACACTCCAGAGGATCGACCGTAGATTGGATAGTATTTGCTTCCCTGCTGCATATGTAAGGGGCTTTCCAAATTCATTACGTTTCTTAAGTGTACTACTGAGGAGAAGAAGACTTGATGTATGAAGCCATGTTTTCTCTCATAAAAGATCTCCCTCGGACTCATGGCTGTCGAAGCAGTCATGTGGTTACCACCACGGGATCACAAACACCGTTGAGCGGGGTAAGCAGGGTGGCATGATTATTCGTTAATAATTGCCTATCCAGCTAGCCTAGTGCCATACAGGTGTCCACATAGGCAGGTCCTGTATTCACACAAGCAAATAAGGAGTTCGGGCTTAGTAATACCAAACCCGGCTGCGGCTATGTCTTTCAGCTCTTTTTCTACTTTTCCCTTCCTAAAGTAGATCTTATAAAAGACTAGATTGCCCATGCATCTCAAATCACTGCCGGGGTCATTGCTAGCGACGCGCATGTCATTTTCATACCAATCATCATCGGACCATGGGGGAATCCAAATTTCAAACAACATTCAAATACACGCGTCTGCCCACGGATACTCACATACGCCTCCTGGAGATTTTGAGACGAAGTGGAGAAAATGGTACACAGGAGTCGGTATATCGAATCGTCACTAAGGATATTGCGGCAGATAACGACAAACCGTTTGAGTTCGAAGCCGTGTCTTATACTTGGGGCAACCCAACTATCGTTTCCTCTCTCCCTATCGAAGGCTGTTGCGGCACCATTGGCCTCACAGAGAGCCTTACACAAGCGCTGCCGCATCTGGAAAAACACTCCACAACCGGTTACCTCTGGATCGACCAGCTCTGCATCGACCAAAGCAGCGGTAGTGATAAGGCACACCAAGTTGGACGCATGGCCCAGATATATAGTGCGGCAAAACGAGTACTTGCATGGCTCGGTCCCGAGGACGAACATAGTCGTGTCTGTAAAGCATGGCTGAGCGAGGTAGATAAGATGTTGCGAAGTCAGCCATACTCCCATGTTGTACTCCCTGATTCTTCCACCTTCAATCAAGACGTCAGGTTCCTTGTAGTACGTAGTACGTTCGACAAAAAGGACACAGATACCGTATACCTCCCGGCGATTCGGCAGTTCTGGGAACGTCCATGGTTCAAGAGGGGGTGGATTGTTCAAGAGGTCCTACGTGCGGCAGAGATCTTATTCCTTACCAGCCGGGTAACATACAACATGCAGGACTTTGCTGATCTTCAGTCTATCCCGAGCGAGAAACCTCTCGAGTACGACGGTGACAAAAACATAGCCTACGATATCCTCTTGGATCTTAAGGCTGCTCCATATAGCGAAGACCAGCCTATCCGATTCTTGCGTCTTATAGCTCGGGTAGCCGGGGTGTTCATCACGTCAGAGTTGGCAGATAACTTATACGCCTTTCTGGGCATGATCGACGGGTCTGGGTTTACGCCTGACTACGAAGTCTCTATCAAGCAGAACTTCAGTGCTTTTGCTGTGGCGCTGGCTCGGAACTTTGGCTCGTTGGACTTTCTGTCACTATGGTCCGCGAACCTTGATGCACTGCTACCAAGCACCCCAGAGGAGCTGAGGAACTTCTCATCATGGGTTCCGTCATACTCTGGCATCCCTCTCATAGCACCATACCGACTCGCCGCGGGTGGCATGGGAACCTCCCGCACCACTGTCAACTGGAACGCAGCTAATGGAAGACGACACGTATATGATCAACCTGAAGACGCCATCACTACTGGCCGCCTCCGAGTTCATGGTAGAATCATCGATCATATCCATACTATGAGCACTACGAAAACAGCAAGTTACTGGGTAATGAACAGGCCCTATCTTGACTCCCTCGTACATCAAATACGCAAGGACCTCCCCATTTCACCATTCCAGGATTGGACTCTCATCTCTCTCGTATCCTTTCTCGGCAACATTGCTGCAAACGGAAACACTCCCGCAGAAACATCTGAAGTAGTGCTAGGTTTGCAACCTAGGGGGTTTGCAAATGAGCTTGCAGACATGAATGGGAACAACAGCAGTCTTGCCCCGCGTTTAGCTATGGCCAGGGGGAGAAAGTTTGCCACCACAGAAAGAGGGAGGATTGGGATGGTACCATGGATCGGAAGCAAGGAGCAGAGTAATGAGCAGAAGGGGAGTATTATTGTGGTGCTGCATGGATGTTGCGTGCCAATCGTGTTGGATCATATTGGCGGGAATGAGTACAAAGTTGTCGGTGAATGCTATATAGAGGGTGTAATGCATGGGGAGGCGGTGGACTGGGAGGAAGAGGAAGCTGATACTTTTGTTCTCATTTGAGGATGACGGTCTTCTATTGCAACGGGGACTGTTGATGCAAGTTGAGATTAAACATTTGGGCGAGGACTTCTAAAGTTCTGATGCGAAGGTGTATGGTTACATAGAGCTTTGCTGCTTACCCTCACGCCATCATATTGGGTGTACTTATGATGCAAGAGTTTGAGTAGTCCCATCACGCGGGGTCCGCTACGTGCTCTTCCGGGTCTTGACCCCATGCCGAACTTTAAAAACGCCGATGACGGATGATAATGTCAACGCAAATAGTTGGATGAATGCATAATCCCGGCTCGTCGTTTGCGAGCAATACAGAGGGCTTGACCATGTTCGGCGTGGTTTGACTCTCGTCTTCACGGAATATAGCAGCAGAAAGATTTACTATAGTCTATTAGGTCCGAGACGGAACATAAGTCAGGTATGTCACGGCTATCATATCTGTCTATCCGGAGGAGGTGTATGAGGGACGTAGTTCCGGCTCTTCCGGTATTCTTCTCCATTGGGAGACCTTTGCTCTCACAGAGCCGTTCAACGCGCTGTAAAGCTACCCAGAGCCTCGATATGGACCAGGAGAAAGGACGGGCTTCCGTAGTCAAAGGAGCGACTAAGCATGAAGCAGGGAGATTAGTATATATTCGCGCTTTGTGTACGGGAGGACGGGGGAAGTAACTGGGCCGAGAGATCGTGATGGTCGTTGACTTGGCCCAAGTTCCCACGCGTATTTCGATACATCATGGGGCATTTTCTACCCATGATAGTACATAGTAGTGCTCATGAAAATTGATGTTGTCTGTGAAGTAGTCTTATGTGTATTAGTAAGATAGGACTGGGAGCTGATGCTGTAGCGACTGAGCTACCTCGTTACTGCCCAATATCAGGCGAGGCTTCTGGGAATGGCACCCAGCGGCCAAACAGTGCATCTACTGCTTATCGTGTCCATATCTGTAAACGTTTATCACCTCCACGCCCCTTCCAGTACTCATGCGGTGCACTACAAGACGTACGAGATGAGAGGACTAGAAAAGAGGAAGGAAAGGAAAACTGGACAGCAACAGCAAACCTAAACGTAGTGATTCTAAGCATGCGATCCCAGCAAACGTATCAATACAGCGATGGCGCTTACTCATGACCACAACCCCCCTTGCCTCCCCCTGGATATCCGTGCCGCTGTCTCGGAGAATAGTACACGGGAGGGAATTCCAGCTTGGTAAGCCACCAGCCCTAGCACGCACAGAGACGACCCGGGGGCTCAGAAACAAACAGCTTCCACCCCCTACCCCCTCCCTCTCCACCGGGAAAGACTCCGAGGGCCCGACCCGAGCCAAGGGACCCAAGCTTATTCCTGCATTCCCGCACTTCCGTGCGGATCTCAGACCCTTCCTCCTGCCGCGCTACCCGTCGGCTCGGAGGCCAGCGTTCTCTCCTCTACTGACCAGGGTCTTCTGGATCAAGATCCCCTGCCCCCCGGCTTAAGGCTGGCCTCGAGCATGCACCGGCCTATCTGTACGGGGAAGGACTGCGTTGACGGGCCACGGGGCGGCTCAGAATCTGAGTGGCGTACCTGCAGACTCGAAACCGTCACACCCAGGGGGTAGGGTTTGAGATACTGGGGTACAAGCTCTGGAAGATCCCCAATGGCAGGGGGGTTCGTCTCCGGGAGAGTCGGAAAGACATTGACGTCTCGTCTGGAGCATCACGAAAAGTGCCCTCCTCCGTCAGAACCCCAAAGGACCAGCAATCGGCTGCTTGGCCACCTCTATATCTACCATTCACATTCAAGAGTCCCTTGAAACACGCGATAAAAGGCCCAGATGTGGAAAGGTGGAAGAGAAATTTGACTTTTGTCTAATCTATTACAATCATAACGCCGGAACAATGCATTCGTATATGCCCTCTTTTAATGCAGAGCGCTCTCGCCCGTCTCGGCCATATACTTCTGGCAGCCGAGCAGGGTGCGGAGCTGGTCGCTGACCTCCTCGAGGCGGCCGATGACCTTCTTGTTTCCGTTAACGAAACCCAGGATGGAATAGGGGATCTCCGTGTCGCGGCAAAAGTCCTTGACAAAGACCTGGGCCTTGCGGAGGTTGTGGCGGGGGAGGCGGGGAAAGAGGTGGTGGACGGCCTGGAACTGGAGGCCGCCGTGGATGAAGTCGAGCCAGGCGGGGCAGTCGACGTCCATGGTGGTGCGGAGCTGGCGCTGGGGGAAAGATTCGGACTCGCCGAGGTCCGAGGTCGACATGCCCCAGTGGGACAGGGTGATCTGAACGTGCAGCGGCATGGTGATGATGTGCGAGACGAGGACAAAGGCGACGCGGATGGGCCACGTGGGCAGGGTGCACAGGACCAGGCGGTAACCAAAGATGTACCAGAAGCAGGCCATGAAGGCGATCTCAGTCGGGCGAATCCACCACGCTTTGGAGCTGCCGAGCTGGGAGGACCTGCGCGAAAGGACGTGCAGCCACGAGAGTAGGTACAGGTTGAAGCGGGCGATACCCATGACGGGGTAATAGGTATACGCCTGATACTTGGCGAGGACATCGGCGGCGGCGTCCCAGACGAAGACGAAGCCATCGTAGTAGGTAGACTTGATGGACTTGAAGAACGAGGGGCAGGTTGCGAAGAGAGGGACATTCTGGATATCGGGGTCGTGTTCCTGAAACTTTTGTTAGCCAAGGTTGATTTGAGTCGGCAGGGGAGTTGAGCTTACAGGCATGTTGGTGATAAGGTGGTGAACGTTGTGACTGCTCTTCCACCATCCCATGGACAAGCCGCAGCAGAAATCGGCAATGAAGAGGCCAATGAGGGTGTCCAAGGTGAAGTTGTGGGTGATGGCACCGTGACCGGCGTCGTGGGCGGAGAACATGATCTGATGCCAGAAAAGACCCAAGAAGCAGGCCGAGGTCATGTACCACTCGTGGCGCAGCGCGAACAGGAAGCTGGCGAAAAGGATCGAGTAGCGGCAAATCTCCTTGCCGTAGTCGAGGTAGGGGCAATCATAAAGCCCGGCCTCCTTGACGCGTTCGTGGAGAAGACGGTACTTCATTTGGATGTCAAGCTGGACGGCAGGGTCGAGCGAAGGGTACTCGTCGATATCCTTGTTGACATTCTGCTGGATGGCCCAGTCGGTATATTGCTCGGCCGTCATGCGGCTTCGGCCGGAGAGGAGGGCATCGTCTTCGGTCAGGTTGGTGGAGGCAGCGATGCGTCTGCGGATGCCTGTCTCGGTCGGTGCGGCGAGCTTGGTCCCCTCGACCTCAGCCTCAGCGCTGCTGCACTCGGAAGTCAGGGACGTGCGGGAGCTCCTGGCGGAGACCTCGGAGACGGCATCGTCGGCAGACTCGTCCTCATCGAGATCGGACAAGGGGCATTCTACGGCAGCGTCCGTGGCATCTGGGGTAGTAGAGCCCGATGCAGGCACAGATGCAGATGCAGATGCGGCTGCAGATTTGGTGTAGACGCCGCCCCTAATTGGTGGTGTCATGTTGACCCAAGGACCCGCAGGTTTCCGGCCGATCCGAAAAGCCTTCATGGTGTTGAGAGTAGCAGCCGAATGATAGCTAACAAGGGCGATATGTCAGCACACCAATTCCACTTAACGACAGGCGTGAGAACTAGAAATATTAATTGGTTCTCCCTCCCTCCCTTCCTCGATTTGGGTGTTTGGAGAAACAAGCTTAATCAGACTTCTGATCATTCTCGCAGCTCGGCTTTCACCAGACACATTCGGTCTCGCATTTCTTCCCGATACGCGCGGCGATTTTTTCTTTTTTTCCTTCTTCCGAGCTTGGGAAAAAATGAAGACCGAGATCGTAGGGTCCCAACATGGGGGCCCTTGAAGGGAGGGAAACGCGGCAGCAAAAAGCTAATTGAACACGGACGGGCAAGTCGAGGCTTCTCTTACACTTTGATTTCGTCGGTCGCATCTCTTCCAATCATATGCATGATGGCTAACTTTCCGCCAGGGTGTTTGTCGAGCCAGCCATCGAGGCGCAGCACCATCTCGTCGAGGATGACGACGGTGCGTCCGTCGGCAATCATGCCCTCCACCTCGCGGGGAGTGATGATTCTGGAATCGCGGTCCATGTTTGCGGCTAGTCCAATATTTGTTTGTATTGGAAAAGCAGAATGGCGGGTCAAACAGAGTCGTCGAGAGGGAAGGGGAGCGTCGACGAGTTGGTGATGCGAGGTTGGTGCGACGGTGGGTGGGAGGGTAGTCTCAAGTTGAGAAGGCAGACTCAGTTGTGTGGAATTGGAAGGTGCAGTTAAGGAATAACTGAACACCAAAAGACAAAGTCCGAGTCCAACCAACAGGTCAATGAAGTGGCAGCAGCTCCACCCGGCCGAACAACAATCAACAACGACAGCAACGGACCAACGGTCGAAAGTCTTGGATGGGCTGTAAGAGGGTGATGCGCCGAGGGAAGACAGGGCTGGAGGATGGATGGGCACTGCGGTATTTACGTGTCGACGACTCTGGGGAGCTTCTGCTGGATGGATCCAAGGTGACGACGAAAGCTCCAGAAACCCCTGTCCAAGTGCTGCGGTATGGCAAAAAGGGAGAAGAAGAAAGCAAGCGTGAGCAACAGAGTGATGTTTACGGCAAAGACGAGGAAGCAGTCGAGCGTCGTGCCATTTTCAGACAAGAACAGACGACCATGACCCGGGGAGCAGAACAGGGACGAGGTGGAACAAAGGGAAAGGCGGACGAGACGGGATACCCAGCGGGTAGGGACCGACGGCGAGAGCAAGATCCCAGCATAGGCCAGGCCAGGACAGAACAACACCCCGTGGCTCATTCCGGTCCCCGTACGAGGAAGAGGAGGATGCCAGAAGGGTGACTGGAGGAGAGGTGAAGAACAAAAGATTTGTGGATCATACTTTTCCATCCGCCCACGCCCCCGGGCACCCAGCACAAGGGACTTTGGAGACATGGACAAGTTGTCATCAAGTTAGGCAGGTCGGAACAGGGTGAGAGAGATACTGGGAAAGACGACAGAGACCGAGAGAGAGAGAGGGAGAGAGAGAGAGAGCGCGAGTACCTATGTGTGGGTATGAATGTGAATGTGAGTGGAGTGTGGATGAACTGGGGCGTCACAAGTAGGACAGGGGGGAGGATAGCATAGGTAGTCCAAATGGGCAAATCTCTCTGACCCGCGCTTTCAATCTCGTTGCTACTCCCACTCCGCCAAGCCAAAAGGAACTGATAATGCTTGCAAGGAAGCAGGAAGGCCAGATAAGTTGTAAAGGCCAAGAGGAAGAACCCAGGCAGGTGCGTGCGTGTATGTGTGCGTGTGTGTGGGTAGGTGAGTGGATGGATAGGGGAGAGACAGGACAAGTGAGGGTACCCCTCCCTTGGGGGGTGCTAATCTTGTTTCCCCTGGTCCGGTGCAGGTATTTGGCCATTGACGCAGTTCGCTGGTTTTGGAGGGGGGTGTCGCCTTGCTGATTGCTGCGACGGCTGCAGAGTTTTCCCCTCTGGGTTCTTCGCCTCTTTGGGGGAATAAGACGTGGAAGGGAATGAGAGGAAGCGTGAGGGCGAAGTGAAAACCGGCGGGCTGCAGAATCAAGCGAAGCGAGTTATTAGTTACTAGTCTCGGGAGAGGTCCCGTCCACCCAAACTGTGGGAGGAGAGTGATCAGCTAAAAAGGTCACAGAGGCAAATGAAGAAAGGCAGAGGATGGGGTAAGGGGGATACTGTGCTGGAGCTTATCTGATTGCACTAGGTAGAGGGGTTTTCGAGTGGCCTTGTCCTTGACAGGACCCTGAAAATGCTGAAACCATGAATTTCGGGGTTCTTCCATTCATGTGGTGCGCGGACTTTGATGCCGCGGGTTACGGTGCGCGGACGCCGGTGCCAGGGTCTAGAGGTATGGCCTGGATTTTTATTTTCTTATTTTTTAACTATTATCCCTATCATTATCTAATGAATACGGATACGTGTGGGCAGGTACTCTCGACTGACGCTATTTCATATCTACACCCATGCTTTCTTCCTTCCTTCCTTCTTTCCTCCGCCTGTTTCTCGCTCCTACTCCGGGCCAATGGGAAGGCGGAAGGCGTCGTTTGATTCGCCACCTGCCCTCCCTGCCACCTGTCTTCTCAATAAAGCGGTTGATATATTTTATCGTGATTGCGCCGGCGGAAGTGCGCTAACCCGTGTGGCTCGGTCGTACTTGACCCGTTCCCCAAATCCGTCTTCTTTCTTCTTGGGGGACCCAATTTTGCAGGTTTGCAAGGGAAGGTTCCGGTCTAAGCCAGGACATCGCCGTCCAAGAAGCTGGCAAGAGTCAAGACGCGTGTCAGATGTGACAAAAAGATTGGGGAACAGGCGGGACACGGCACACAGGACCCTTAAACTCAATTTTCAGCGGTGCGCTCGCTCACTGGGCGAACAGAGTCCCGTCGCAGCGGTATACCTGCGCATGTCAGAGGTTTCCAAACTAGCCCGAACCTGAATGACTGATGGAATATCCTGCGCGGGTCAAGTCAACCCAAGTCAGCCAGACTCAAAGAGCGTCAGTTACCCGTTTGGCAGGAATGTGGGAATGTTTCTGGAAATGGGCTCAAGCTCTTCGGAAGAGGGAGGGGGGGCGCGGGGACCTAAACCACACAGATCTAAACAGCTGGGCCTTGGATGGAGCCAAGACACTGGCGTCTCTAACCTCATGTGGGGCTCTTCAGGCCGTTTGTTGCCGACGCGTGATCTTGTTGGATTGCAGAATTGCAATTGTTTGGTTGGGCGGGCTGCATGTTAACTCTCAACTGTGTTCCCAGCGACTTGCATGCATGCATTACACTGCGTTACATGTCATATCGCCGTCCTTCGCCTAACCACTTGCGTCGGCTGCCGCCTTCCTTACCTCCCCCATCGAGGGATTTCGCCGACAACCTTCATTTAGCGAGCCGAGCTGTTGGAGCACCAGACTAAATTGATCCGAGGTTGGTCGTACCAGAGCGTCTGTCAGATGGCGTGAAAGACAGGCGACGATGGTTTGCATTCCAAAGATGGTTCTGGCCACGACGCGAAAACTCGGATAGAACCAATCACCTGTTACCTGAGAGCAGTTTGGAAAGTGAGCTTCCCTCGTTCGCTCCTGCCTCCTCTTCTTGAGCAGGCATTCTTGGCGCCCCGACTGCGCCTCAGAGTGTCTCCACAATATCCCACCCTTTGGGAGGAAGGCAGGCAAGACAGGCAAGAGCTGCCGTCTGTCCGACTGTTTGTGGCGGCCAAGACCCGTCTCATGGACCTGTGGTGGGGCTTGACACGGGACAGGAAAGCCAACGCTTTCGCTCCTTGTGGCAGGCAGGCTATGTAAAAGGTGATGGCTTGGTTGACCGGGGCGTCTGCTGTTGTTGTTGCCGTTGCCCCAAGGCCGTTGGTCACGCACATGCGCGGGCTAGTGGGCGACGTTGCTCGTCGCGGATTAAACTTTTTTGTTCTTCATTTTTTTTTTCCTGCCCTGGCTGTCTGTCCTCTTTCTTGCAAGACAAATTGAGACGAGGTACGGATACGGTATCCTCACACAATCTCACCACACACACCAAACATTGGCATCCAATCTTCTCTGCTTTCAGTTCCTACATAGTAGTTGCAGCCGCTTCCCCACCCACCCTTTTTGTTTGATTCTATAGTCCCAACTTTGCAAAACATCCGCCTTACTCTCTCTTTCTCTTTCTCGGCCTTGGCCAACGCCTGCTGAGTCGTCGTGCCGAACCCGGCTTCCACCGGCCGCTGACGCCATGCTGCAGCAAACGATGCAAGAGAAGGTTGGAATAGCTGTCATGCTTGTCGTCCCAGAATCTCGCACTTTCCCCCTATGGAACCCCACTTAACAGCCGCAAGTAAGGACCGGGGGGTATTTTCCAGGTCAAGTGAAGGGGGTAGGTACGGAGTAACACGGTTCAAAATGCGCACTCGCGTGCCACACCTCGCCCCCCATCGCTACTTACACTAGATGTAGGTACCCGCAGGTCGCGTACGTAATATCCCGTATCTGTTCGAGACCGTTGAGTGGCACTGTGCCACAGTTACAACGCTGGGGCGACGCTGGAGGCGGCCAATGGAAAAATGATGGGAAAGGGGCACAAGACATCAGTGGGCGGCTGTGTCTAACATCCAGTTCTCCCAAGAATAGTACATTGTAGTCTGAGAAAAGTGGTTCGCAACGACGATCTTTCTCGCTCTCTCTCGTTATCTCTATCTCTCTCTCTTCCGCTCTCTCGCGGCATCCCGTCGACTAAACTCCCATGGTGCTGTTCTGCGCTCAGCTCAACACAGCTGTGAAGAATCAAGGGGGAGACACGGCGTTGCTTCCATTTGCCGACTGTCCAGTGCTCGAACTCCTAAAAGCACCTGGGACGACTAAAAGTGAACCATGGTTGTAGCATTCCAAGACGATCCAAATGGGCAGTTTGCAGATGCTGCCAATGCACATGTCCAATAAGTGTGGTACTGCACGTAGAAGAAGGGTGTCGATACGTAATGGCGGATCCGGACTGGCGGAAAGGGGTATGGCTACTTTTCCAGGTAGCTCTGAGATCATCTCCCCGGCGGCGAGTCTCCCTCACAGGTTCTCCTCCTCGCCAAAGTTGATCCCATTCTTGCCGCGTCATATCCAATTCGGCTCGGGGGATGATGGCCAAGTCCAATGGTGCGCTTGCGCCGCCCCGGGGGGTTAGAATTGGTATGCGCGATACGACGCTACTAAACCTTTCCGCCGGATCTGGGCCCATTCGATTGAGATTTGACACCGAGCAGGTCAAGGTCAAGGACCCACCCTGGTGCTCCAGCTGGGGGGACCGTTTGATGGGCTGCCGCCTACCGGTGAGAGCCCCGAAGTTCTTTCTTTGCCAATCGGATGATCGGAGTATCCGGACTTCCAACCTCGGATTAACCCTCGCCCATCGTTGCTATTCGTACCAACGTCATGACTCTCGACTCGCTGACTAAGGTTTCACACTGTTTCGGTCGCCACCGTCACCGCCAATCGCTTTTTACTCACACACAGATACAGTAGGTACATCGTTACGCATTGTCTGCTCTTGGCGACAAGAAGTACCGAAAGGCGGAAAACGAGGCGTGCCATGAAACTCAAACGCTGACTCGGCCCTAGAAGCATTCGTCTGAGTCCGAGTCACGTGAAGTCAGACTTTTGTCATGTCCGTCCCGCGACATTGGACGAAGGGTCCAAGTCAGATCCGGGTTCGGATCAGCCAGACACCACATTGGTTTTGTTTCGCCTCAAAGTAACTCGGCTCACATCTCAACGAGCTGCAAGTGTAAGTGTCTGTCGGAACGGGCTTTACGCGGTCACATCGGCAAACTTTGATCTGGCAAGACGCCAGATGGAGACAGTTTAGCACACATCATCAACTCCCCCTCCCTTCCATACAAAGAACCCTGAATTGCTTGGATCTAGATAGTTGGCTCCGAGTCTCGATATCCGACCGACGGCGACAGGTTGCTTAGAGAAGCCCGACTCGCTCCCCCGACCCCTCCAACTCCCGTGCCGCTGAGCTCAGGGGATCCCTACTCAACACTACCCTCGCAGACTGTGATTACGACCTGATCGACCCGTACACAGCCCTGTCATACGTATGGGGGGCTTCCGAAAAGCCGTGTCATATCTGCCTCGACGGCCATGATGGCAATCAATTTGCCATTACCAGGTCTCTTGATGATGCGCTCCGGGACCTGCACGACGCCACCCGCGTCCGGAGGCTATGGGCCGATGCTGTATGCATCGACCAGTTAAATGTTGCGGAGCGCAACGCGCAGGTAAGCTTGATGGGGCGCATTTATTCCACGGCTCACAGCACCGTCATCCATCTCGGCGATCTCACCCCCGACGTTTCTGGTGTTTTCCCTGCCCCCAGTGCTTCGACATCCGGCGCCTCGGTTGGCAACTCTGGTGGAATCGCCGTTGAGAATGAGCGGAGCGTTCTTGCCAAGTCGTGGTTCAGGCGCGTCTGGGTGCTCCAGGAGCTCGTCCTTTCGAAAGACCCTTGGGTGCAATGTGGCAACCAACGGATACGCTGGAAGGACTTCTGCCGTTACTTTCTCGGCACTGGAGCGGGTAACTCACAACGTCTCCACGACGGTGATGCGGCGTTGCGCGTTTTGTCGGACATGAACTTCAGCCGGACTAACAACGCTCGCCTCCCTCTCCATCGCGCCATCCAAGTACGCCGCGGTCTAGGAGCCACGGACCCACGCGATTTTGTGTACGCCAGCCTCGGCATCATCAGTGATCTCCATGTTGTCAACAAATATCTTCAAGTTGACTATTCAATGTCGTTGACCGAGACGTTTGGCAAAGTTGCCCGGTACATGTTTGACCAGCTTGGCGTCGAAAAAGCGATAGCGCTTACTGACCTCGAGTCCACCCATCCCGTTGCGCCCTTGGAAAACCGTAGACGGTTGGCAAGAGACAGAATCCCATCATGGTCACCGGACTGGACTCGCGATGCGTCGTATACGATCCCCATGTACAAAGACAAGCACCTAAATCACATGAGACTGAAGGGTATGCATCATGTCTTCACGGATGGCGAACTCCCGCTTGTGCTAGGCCATATTGTATACGATGTTGACACGATTGAGAGCCTGCATAGCATGCCTTCCGGCGACAGGTCTTCATACCTCACTGTAGAGTATGAGCAGGCTAAAATAGACCTCCGCAACCTGTACAAGAACACCCACGCGTCCGGAGACAAGTTTGACTCTTATCGGCATGTCCCGCTCAAAGATAGAGAGGCTCGGCACGAGACGCTCTGCAACATCACCGGTAGGACCTGGACCCGGTTCTTCGAGGACCATGTTGAGACAGCTGAACATATTGGTCTTGTTAAATCGTTTGTTCAATGGACATCGGCCCAGGCGACGAAGAAACGCGAGTTCGTTGGTTCGGGCACCAGAGGCCTCATCGAACTCCTGTTCAAGTATCTTGAGGTGCCAAAGGGCCGGTCTGCGCTTGACGGCAGGTGCCTTGTCTTCACTCGAAGCGGGAACCTGGGCGTTGCGCCTCGATCGGCGAAACCGGGCGACCACGTCATGTATCTGGCGGGTAGCGAGACGGCTGTTGTTTTGCGCCCAAGGAGCGGGCTAGGAATGGAAAACATTGAGCGTGCTCTGTTGCAGAAATTACGGCAGCCCGGATACGGAGCGGTTTCCGTGGCGGACCAGAACGGCGAAAACGAGCTTTGGAGAGTGCCCGAGCAAGGTGACGTACCAATCTCGCATTTCGACGTCGTCGGCGAGGGATACCTTGACGACTACACGGGCTGGTCTCTGAAATATCCGCCCAAGGCCTCGGAGATGCGATTGTTCGCATTGCATTGAATGTTACGAGTGTGAGTACCGAGGAGCTTGGTAGCACAGAAGATGATGACTAGTTAAGACTTTTCTTGTTTGTTTCATGGAATCCAGTCGCTCTCGATCCCCGGAAGCGGTCTAGTGCAGTTCACCCCGTACATATATCACAATACTATATTTTTCAACCATCATTATACGCTTGTACAACATTAAGAAGGACCGACTTGCAAACGTACTTCGGTAAACGCCCAATACGCAGCACCTTTGATCTGTGTTATATATTAGTGACTTAATACGGTACAGATACCTGACAACGCACAGCAATCACCGAATGAGACTTCACTTCAAACCACTTCAACAAAGTTATCTCACGAAACTTCTGTTTACTGGACTAGAAAGCGGAAGTGAATAACGTCTTTGTTAAAAGCTTTATAACACCATACGAGGTCATAGCCCTCTTCTTCTTCCTTGCCAAAATTCTTGAAACGATGCTTGATACCATCAACTGCCTTGCTGTAAATCGCAACTAAAGTCCAACAAGGGTATCTCTACGTGTGCAACCGTTTCCCATCCACCGTGGCGACCGACGTCAGTATCGTTCTCATGCATGCAAAAGTCTGAAGTATTCACTCACATAATACTCTTCTCTAGTGGGAGGCGTTTAGCATAAGTGTCATTAGAGACCCGGACAGTACTCCGGCTATCAGGACGGTGATGAACCATCTGAAATAAGTCCACACCATCAGCCTCGGTTCCATGCCTCTCCGATCCCCGTTCACTGCCGACGCCGCGATGATTCGCAGCGAGCTGTACATGCACTCGGCGCGGTTGTCGTAGTGCGGCGCGCTGACGTGCGTGTCGGCGATGTCCCAGAACAGCACGGCGTTGCGCCGCTGGAGGGTGTTGGCGTCCTGCTCGACGCCGCGGAGGAAGACGCGGTTGAGGCGCCAGCTGAGGATTGGGAGGCTGGCCCTGGAACCCGCGAAGCGGTGCGGAACGAGGTCCGACAAGGAGTGGTGTGAGCCGGACACGGCAGACACTACCGGGGCGTCCGGGAGGGACAGGGTCGGCGGACGGCTGAGTAGCCAGGGCCCCCTCCACATCACGGTCCACTCCAGTTCCCAATCCTCGTCAATGATTTTCTGCCAGAGGTACGGTAAGAGGAAGAAGGCTTGCAGGAGCGTCGCGCTGGCGGCAACACAGAGGGTGGCGATGAGAACCTGCGTGGGAGTAAACTTGACCTGCAACTGTACGACCTTCCGTACCACAAGCACTGCAGACGGTAGTGTCAGCAGGGGGGTTGTCGATGTCGACTAGGAACTGTCGAAACCTTGCTCGGCAGGGCGTCGTAGAGGTGCGGGTCGATGGTGTTGTTGCGCAGGGTGTCGGTGACGCGGAACCCGACGGTGGTGGAGCCAGGGAACTCGGCGGCGGCGGCGATGGCCATAGCCCGCTTCATGGTGCGGGAGGATATGGATGTCGAGAATGAGTTTGCAACGTCGTTGGCGTCTGGGCCGGTTGTGGTCTCTCGGCTGCCGCCTTGTGGCGGGGGGTCCATAATGACCCGCCTCCTCGGGCGACGGAGGGATGTGGAGAGGCAGAGGACGGATGCTTGTCGATGTTCCACGCATCAAGAAAGGAGAAAATGGTGGTGATGGCGAAGATGTAGTCATATTGGTGCAGAACGGCTACCATCGTGGCTTGAAGGGCTCAACTGCGCAAAACGGAGGGGGGTTACTGCTGTCTCTTCCGTTTGAATCTTCTTCGGTCTACCTTGCATTGGTATTTGCATTCCAATCCACACCAGTGACTACCACCACAATCTCCAAACCCCTGATTAAGCAGGCTTAGAGTTATAAGGCCAGAACCACTTACCCAATATCAAAATCTGCACCTCGTAGGCTAAGAGGTTATCTTTGACCCAAGGCCCAGATTTTGCTGTTACGTCGTTCGAGATATATTTCAGCTGTACAAACTTTTACCTAGTTGAGCGTCTGCTTCATTCTAGGCGTATTTCAATTCTATATTTGCAATACAGACAGTCACACATCAACACGATGGACACTTTAATAGAACCATCTTACACGATACCTTCTCATGATGACGTATTAGTAATGTTTCAGTCAGACTTCAGGCGCCTGCGCTATTTTAAGCAACTAGACAGAATATCGCAATGACGTTTCTTTCCTTCCGTGTGTCGTTTAATGTATCAGAAAGGGAAAGACATGTTGATAATTCCCTTGTATCTTTCGTATCAAACCTTTGCCTGTTCGATTTCGCGAACATCGTGATCCACGCTCTTTGTGTCTTCTGTCTCCTGATGAGAGGTATGGGCAAGACGATCGCCTTCGTAGCCGCTGCGCGAGAGTATCAGTGCACTTGAACAATAATGAGCCAGACGTAATGGGAGCAGGACATACAAGAGCCTATCCATCTGATCAATCGTGAGGCCTTTTGTCTCTGGCAGGAAGAAGTAGGCCCAGACACTAGCCGTCAGCATCCAGCAAGCAAAGAAGAACCAGACGCCGTAGTTTAGACCGCTGAAAATATACGGGAGGGCCTTCGTGATGATGAATTGAATCATCCATTGAGTAAAAGCTGCGAACGTTCCGGTCAGATTGCGAAGGGCGCCTGGAAAAATCTCGGCAGAGACGATCCAAGGAATACCGTTGAGACCGAATGACCAACTACATGATTCAGTACCGCCCCAACCCTGCCATTGAAAGCAGACTCCCGGGAGTTAAACTTACAAGACAGAGTATATCATTATGGCGGCGGTGGCCGCCCGCCCTCCCGCTTTCGTTGAAGCGGAGAGCTTTCCTCCAGCTGCGATGATCGGTGCCGGATTCGCCACCTTGACATAAGCACCAACATACCATAAACAGAGACAGCAGGCTACGGAAGAGATAATGGTAGGTCTGCGACGGCCCCAGATGTCGATCAGCGCACCGCAGAAGATGATGGATGCAACGGCCTTCACAAGGCCGTAGATGCCGGTATACAAGGCCACGTCAGTGATACCGATGGAGCCGAAGAGCATGGGGGAGTAGTAGTTGATGGCTTTCAACACCGGTTGATTAGTGGTCTGATTCCGTCGAAAAACGAAAATTTGACAGAAAACTCACCAGCTGCACCCGACATGTTCTGCAGGGCGAATGCACAGAACACAAGAAGCAGCCGATTCCACATTCCCTTTCGTGATAGTTCGTGTAAAGATCCTCGGATGTAGGCATAGAACCCGCGGCCGTATATTGCCGCGACGGCTGCTTCTTCAGCCAGCCTGGCCTGGATCATCTCGACTTCCTCCTGCATGTATTGGTGATCCATCGGTAGTCGTCGTATCGCGACAAGAGTTTTCTGTGCCTCCTCCTCTCGACCTTTTCGGTAGAGCCAAAGAGGAGACTCATGCAGCAAGAACCCGCCGAATAGCAAGGCGCCTGACGGAATCAGCTGGATGGCCATTGGTAGACGCCAGGACGCAGAACTCGAGGAGTTCATGTTCTGGTTGATGCCGTAGTTGATCCAGAAGCCTATCAGTGAACCTGCTTGGTACGTGACTTCAAAGAGACCAGTAAGAATACCCCGAATAGAGGGAACGGACAGCTCAGCGATGTAGGAAGGCACTGTTGCAGTGATGACGCCGCAGCCCCAACCCGTCAGAGCTCGACCAACGTACATGGATGTAAGCTTGCTCGTGGCAGCTGTCATGGAGATGGCCCCAGCGAGAAAGACGAGATTGCTGATTATGAGCGCCCACTTGCGGCCGACACGCTCGGTAACTAGGGGGACACCTGTGTCAATCCTGAAATCGGATTCTAGAATGGGGAGAAAGACCAACTTAAAAAGCACATGATCGCGCCGCCCACAGCGCCAGCCTGAAAAGCCGAGGTAATATTGGAAGAGATCTCCTTCGACGTATCCGAGGTGATGCCGAAGTCGTTCACGAAACTCTTGCGCGCAATCGTCGTTCCGATAAAGGCCGAATCATATCCGAAGCTATCGTGGGCTGATCAGTACGCGCAAATTAGACCAACGACCGCATTAATCTCTATCATAAGGCCTGGGCGAGAGCGATCTGACTCACAGCAGTGATCCCATGGCAATGATGGAGGACTCGGTATAGAGGCGCACGTTGTAGACCTCCTTCGGCGTGGACCGGTCCTCGTCCGCACGGATCCCTCCCATCTTTTCTCATTCACGGGCCTTCGTAGTTGACGGAGGTAGTCGAAAGAATGTTACGGGCAGTAAGAGGCTTACAAATGGGATGGAAAGGGGTGTCCGGGGGTCTTGATAACCTGTCAAGAGCCGTGATTTTATTTTTGTGGCCCAAGAGCGAGCTGCCAGCAATGGATCAGAATTAAGAAGGCACATATCTCTAGCTGGAAATGAAGTCCTCTCTTCCCCCGGTTTTCGCTTCCATCCCCGCAAATATCGTCTGCTCCTCCACAGTTTAACAATGGGTGCGGGGATGGAATCCGGAGAAGAATACCGGCTCAGGATATTCAGATGGCTGGGGTAGTAGTCGCCCCAGACTTAACCCCTGGCCTCTCTTAACCCGATGGCCCTACATGTCTACGAGGCAGAGATGCACCAATTAGACCAGCTGGGAGTCGAGAACTCCGAGCAGCTCCGAAGGACGCAGGGGAATAGTAAGGAACCAGCACGGCAATTGGAACACATTGGTCAGCGATAGCGGGGTTATTAAAGATCAGGAGTATCGGAATCGGACAACGAGAACCCCCTTCATTTTCAATTTTCCGAGGCAAGGGCGTGGGGACGTTTTCGTATCTGGATTAAAGCTGCCGATCAACCAAGGAGATTGATGTTGTTGTTGAAGCATCGAGTTGGATGCATCATCTAAAGCACAGCGTATCGAAGGTGCAGGTGTGGGACATCCACGACCTGTGTGAGCGTGGTGGGCTCAGAATTCCTATGTAAATGAGACACAGGAGCAACATCTAACAATGGCTTTCCTACAATTAATTAGACAGAACCAATGAAAAAGATCGCTGTGGTCTGAAGCACCTTTGGCCTTTAGATTGAGCTTCAAAACAAGCTACGAAACAGCTAGTACAAATTACCTCTTTAATCGTTATTGGTCAAATATCAGAAACATCAAGAAAATAGCCCTTTCTACGCACTGTTGCTGAGGTGTGGTACACTGGGGATATTCTGGCTCTTTGCCCACTACGTTTTGAGTTTGGCGGATGGCTTCGTGATCAACGGGTCCCACAATATAATGGGAAGGCTGAGTCAGGATACTTGAAAGATCATTACTGTATGACTGAAAGTATGGTATCAAAGAGAGCTATATCATTGATGATTTGTAGACCCTCCTGCTGGCTTGCTTGTTTACTCCCTTTGTAAGCAAAGGACATCTCCTATCATGACCTTGGACAGTCAGTGCTCGAGCTCATATGTCGAAGTCCTGCTATATATCGAATCAAAATCGATCGATCATCGGTTTGTGTGGCCACCTTCTCCAAGCCGTGATGGATAGAAATCTGGACTTATGTGCAAGTTCAGTCTCACGAACTGAAAGCTAGCACTCCCTTAAATGGAGTTATGATATTACCGGATTGCAAACGTGTCAAGCCGCAATATGTGGGCAGTGGTTGAAGAACTTACACAAAGACAGCTCTAAATCAAGCTACTTACGAATAGGTCCCTACTGTTTTCTACATAACCTTGTTAGGTTACTTGGAAATTGGTTCCACATTGAGTCATTCTGGCATCCTTGGAGCTGTCAACTATGATAGCTCTCCTAGCAGTGTCTAATGCTTGATGCAAGCACAATGTCTCTAGGGAATGTGATGTCTTGCTGATGCTAAAGTCACCACTCCGACCTACTTGCAGGCGGTGGTAGAGAGTTTCGTTGCGAATTGTTGGCGCGGACGAACCTGAACTGTTGTTTTCGACTTCATTTAGCTTCGTAGGTACTCAAGCTCGTAGCTTTTCTCGCTGGTGGGTCTTTGCTGAAAGCAGCATATACCATGGTGCCTGTTTCACATATAGGTTCACATGGTGATCTTTGGTCCATCAACTCAGATACTATGTACAATAATGCACGGATGGCCGCCCACTATAATTAAGGTGTAGCGTTCGGGGTTAGCGAAAGAAGAATGTCGTACCCATTGATTGCTTGCGGGGAAGTCTGGAGAACAAGCTATAGTAGTATAATAGACTAGAGACCGATAATATGCTATTAATTATTTGTAAAGAGGCGATAATAGGAGTAGAAGGAGCCGTAAACATTCGCTCCTGGTCAAGTCACGATGCCATTGTTTAGTCAATGAATGGTGGTTTCTACATCATAGTCGTTTGTATGGTCTCATGATTTCAGCGACTCTTCGTTTAAGCGAGAATAGGAAGACCAAAGGCCTCTTAGAGAGGTCTAGAATACTCTGGATTACCACGCTACCAGTCTCTGTCATTCCACATCCTCCACAACGACCGCAGGGCGAGAGAGCCGTGGCTAGATTTGCCAGACTACCACCCAAACGGCTAACTTTGCGCAAAGGACGGAGTCTCTGGGAGGATCCACGCACGGGCAAGCCCCAAAATGAGACCACCAATTGACCATTGCTGGATTATTACTGGACTATTACGGAGTACTGGACCTAGCTCCCCATATCAGGGCTACAAGGTGCCCCGTTTCCCACGACGGCGGGGTGACGCTGGCGTTACTTTCGGCCATTTAACCTTGTCCTGCCACGCTTGATAACAGCGAGCAAAGTGCCGCCGAAATTACCAATACCCACAGCATCGTCATGTGCCACCGTAGTACGGAGTATTCCCAGCCAAGCCATGGTTGCCACAACTCGTCTCCATATGGGGTGTGGTGCCGAATTGCTTGGCGAATGCACGACTGCGATGCATTGCTACTCTGCCACGGCTTTCTTGATGTCATTGGACCATTCGGCCTAACAACTGAACCAGACAAGCGGGAGAATATGTTAACGGCCACGTGCGAAGGTTTCTACGATACAAAGGGCCATAGTTTAAACCCACGAGACTCTAGGGGCTAATCGGCCGAGGCCGGTCTGTTTGCCCAAGATTGATCGATGTTGAGTTTCAGCGAGCGATGCCGCGGCCAAAAACCCCGCGCCTCCGCATCTCCCGCATTTTGCTCTTGGTATTACCTACTTGAACGCCAATCTACGCCAACCTGCGCTAACCTACTGCTGCCGGGGTTCGTTGGTCTTTGGATTGGCTTTTGCTAACCATGGTCGACCGCCCCGCGTTTACCTACTTCCAACCCCAGTATGCATCCCGGCCATCCCGCGCGACCCTCCGGTTCCGCCCCCATCGTCGACTGGTCAGGTTTTCCTTCGGCCCGCAAAGTCAGTCCAATAGTCATTCCATTGCGTTCCTTTGCTCGCTTGCCTCCTCGTAATCACTGTCCCCACAGAGCCTCAAAAGACTCGTCGCAGGGTGCATGACTAGATGTCCTTGGTATCCCCAAGGATTTTCCTTGGCTCTGACATGGCTGATGTCGGTACGGGAGCCCGGTTGACAGCCCCCGCATCGCGTCCGCCCCGGTTGGTCGCTCAGTATATAAGATGAACTCGCTGCGTTCCTATGCTCGGTGGTTTCCGGATCTCAAGCGGCACCAGTATACAACAGACAACATGGCGCTTCTCAAGGGTGGCCCCGTCTTCACGGCGATTGCTTCTCTCGCGGCTATCGCAGTCCCTGTGGCCGCAGATGTTCCGGCGACCATCACTCCAGAATCTTTCGCGACGACAGGCAACAGCTCCCTCTTCACTCGATGGAGGCCTCGTTCCCATTTCATCGCGCCACACAGCTGGATGAACGACCCTTGCGGTGCGGTCTACGACCCGGCCACCTCAACCTACCACTTGCACTACCAGTTCCACCCCAACCACGTGAACTGGGGCAATATTTCCTGGGGACATGCGGTTTCAAAGGACTTGTTCCACTGGACTGATGTCGGCGACTGGGCAAACGACTCATCTGTTTCCCTCGCTGCTGACAAGTACCCTGCCGCTCCCCTTTCGGTGTTTACCGGCACAACCATGCCGGTTAACGTTGAGGGCGTTAATGACGGTACTCTCCTGACTTTCTCTACTGGTATCCAGGCTCTGCCTACGAACTGGAAGAAGCCGTACATCCCCGGTACTGAAGTGCAGGCCCTGTACACCTCTACAGATGGAGGTTTGACATGGAATGAAATCAGCACTGTCCTTTCCAGCCCTCCTGAGGGTTGGAACGTCACTGGATGGAGAGACCCTCACTTCTTTCCCTCCGAGAAACTTGACGATCTCCTCCAGGTCAGCGAGCCCCACTACTATATGGTTCTTGGCTCCGGTCTCAAGTCCGACGACGTCCCTGCTACGTTCCCTAACGCCGCACGCCCTGGCTTTATCGGACCTCGTATCCCGCTCTACTCTGCACCTGCGTCCAACCTAACCCAGTGGACTTTCCTTGGGGCCCTATGGGAGCCTGCCGCTAACACGTCGTTGGGCCACCCCGATGTTACCGGATCTTATGGTTACAACTTTGAGGTCAGCAGCTTCTTTGACCTCCCCGTTGGCGAGACTGGGGAGAAGGCCTGGTTCGTTACCATGGGTGCTGAGGGCGGCAACACCACCCAGCACTGGAAGGAATCGTGGTCTCTCTGGAACCGTGGAGACGTTGCCCGCCGTGATAACGGCTCCGTCGAGTTTACACCTAACTCGGGTGCCGCACTGGACTGGGGTCTTACTTATGCTCAAGCCACCTGGGCTGACTCTCGGAACAACAACCGACGCATCGTGTGGGGATGGGTCAACGAAGACATGTTGTCTGATTATCAGCTTGAGACTGCCACGAAGTTCGGATATCAGGGAGCTATCAACTTGCCCACAGAGCTGTACGTCCAGGAGACCAAGGGCGTCCAGAACTGCGGTACTCAGCAAGATGGCACCTACTGCATCGAGAGCTGGGACGGCGCCACTGCGCAAACACTTGGCATCCGTCCCCTTCCTGACGTTATGGAGATTCTCCGTCAAGGCGCTGAGGTCCAGGAGTTCCAGGTTGGCGGGCTCACTGACGCCGCTAAGTCTGTGTCCGCAAACATTGGCAGCTCTTACGAGTTGACCGCGACACTGAGCAGCTGCAACGGTCCGGCTGGCATTACTATTGGCCAGAGCCCTGACAACGCCGAGTACACTACCATTGTCTTCGACCCTGCCATATCGCAGATTAGCGTCGTGCGTGAACACAGCAGTCTGCTCCCCAACTTTAACAACGCCACCATTGTCGGCCACTTCGAGCCCTATGAGATTCATAACGCCAGCAGCAACACCACTGCCACCGAAGATATCAACTTCCACGTTGTTCTTGACGGCTCTCTGCTCGAGATTTGGGTGAACGAGCGCTTCGCGTTGACGGCCCGCATCTACCCCTCGCGCAACGACAGCACCGGTCTTGGCTTTTTCGCTGGTGACGCGGCGGCGCCCGCTGGTGGCAAGGCGACGTGGAAGGATATTAAGGCTTGGGTCGGCCTTGCCAAGGCGTGGCCGGAGAGACCAGAGGATACTAGCGTTCCCTTGGTTTGGGATACGCCTGAGGAAACGAATAACTACCAGTGGTGGGACGGATACTAATCTCAAACATCGATTTGGCGACGAAATAACGCGTAACTTTTAAACAGAGTAAAAATTATGTTTTTAATGCTAATAAAAATAAGTCACACACAAAGATAACTTTTACTTGATCAAATCTACTGCCAATAGATATCATGACATAATTACATGCGCTGACAAATGCAAAATGAAAGGGACGAGACTCGAACTCGCGCGGGTTGCCCCACCAGGAAACAGATGTTAAGCTGACCTTAACCTGGCGCCATAACCAACTCGGCCACCCTTCCGACGGAGATCATGAGATCCTTGTTGTTAAAACGGGTTGATGACAAGGTAATTATAACGCCTTAGGTGACGGAGAAGATGCTTCGGTGCGAAATTTTTTCAAGTGGGTAGGGACGCTAACAAGTTCCGTTACCAACCAGCCATGAAGTGGACCAGGAGAAGCGGAAGTGGCTTCATTGGGTTAAGAGATAGATTGGCGATTTGAGAACCTAGGTCCTTGTGATTAGGTTCGGCTTTAGGGCGCGATCTCTGTCAGAAACAGCCAAACGGAAAACCGGGAGGCTGTCCCTGGAAAATGGCGCAATATTAACTTTGTTCCTCATTCGTCTTGACTGCTGGGGTTCGCCAGAGTTCCGCGAACCCGCCTAAAGTTTAAAGCTTCAAACGAAGTCTGAGTTGAGGGATGGAAAAGGTTGGATAAACGGCAATTCTGTCAGATATGAGTGAGGTACGCGGCTCTGGGTGAAATACGTAGCGGAACAGATTCGAGCTCAAAGGTTTTTGATATGAGCCCAGACCACCGCGTAAACCAACGTGAGACAACATGAGAGAAACAGGATATCGATTGACCAATGATCGACCTTTCTTCACCTTGGGCGGCGATCGACAGACTCACTGACCAACGAGCCCGGATCGCATCCTCCCTTACATAAGAAAACTAGGCAATTCGTGGTCGAAGCGTCTCAGATGCCACATAACCACCCAATCACCCGATAAACAGCTGTCATTGCTATCCGCCTAGCTCATCCCTGTGGTCTTCCTCGGATGATCATTGCGATCATGCTGGTGTGCATCCAATTAGTGCATCAACGGCGCGTGACGTCACGCTTTTATTGCCTGATGCGGCAAGCAAGATGTAGTTGACGTCGGCGGCGGCAGCTTCTCCAGCCCCGGAAATCTCCAAGCTTCCAAGGGACGGGAAATAATTACGACTTCCATGCCCTAACTATAGCGCTTCACGTAAACCTCCAAAGTCCTCATAGCTAACGAGTTCCCCGCTCCTGAAGGTCAACCAACTTCCAGTCGCCAAGGTTTTGTCCCTCATTGGCATGCACACCAATGACCGCAATCATGTTTAAGGGGAGACCTAGCGATAATACGGACGACACTTCTCCACAGCCGCCGACAATACTGCCTCCGACAGCAGCACCATCTCCGCCGCCGCCTCCTGCTTCAGATCCTGGTTCAAACACCCCCCCGAGCCAGTCCAGTTATGGCTACTCTAGCCAATCGACGATGGGCCAAGAGCCCGAAGTAGTGGAGGCACACGAAGAAGAAAGGCCGACAGATAGCCATTACCTGGCGGATATGGCCACCAAGCAGAAGCCTCTAGAGGAAAAAGGGCATGCCGAGCTTAATCATGGAGATGTGGAGGTCAAGAACTTGGGATGGAACAACCCCCCAAGCATGGTCTCTCAGCCCATGGTCGGAGGATTGACGAATGAGGAGCTTTGGATCCTGGTTCGTCGATTTGATAAAGTAAGCCTTGCACAGTGACTCGACATTGCAGAACAAAATCCCATCTATGGTAGATACTCATAATCCCTCTAGCAAATATTTCATGTCAAGTCAATAGCTGAACCACCAGTAAGCGTTCTCATGCCTTCTTCGTATACACCCGTCTTACAATCATACAGCTCGCCAATCTGGATATGAACATAGCAGATGAAGAGGAGTTTTCACCAGATAAACTCCGCGCTCATGTTGAACGCTTGTACATGACTGTAATAGTTGGGCTCTTCTCCTTCTGGAAACAAATCGTCCGCCTTCGTTCATGGCGTGAGTCGAGACGCACATCGACCTTTCTTGCCGTCTACTCCGTCGCCTGGGCATTCGACTTCGTAGTCCCCGTCCTTATTAGCTTTCTAATGGTTCTTGTTCTCGCACCCGAAGCACGAGACTTTTGTTTTCCTCCCGCCCCACCCTCTCTCATCGATAGTAAAACAGGCGGCGTCAAGAAGCCGGCATCAGGCGTCCTTGCGTCGGACGACTCTATCACAGGTGCCCCCGAGAAGCATGCCGGAGAGGCGGTGGAACAAGAAGCTCACAGCTTCGTCAACAGTATTTCCTCGCTGATCATTAGCACGGCGGCGGGGAAACATCCTCAAGGCGATCCCCACGATGATAACGCTTCCCCCGACCCTACTAACGTTGCCCAAGATATCGTCGATGCTAAAGACAAGACGGGCGGTAACGAGCCCAGCGGTCATCACGACAAGACCAAGAAACCTGTTCACGAATCAGTCTGGGTAAAAGCCAGGCCTGTTATGCACGGAATTGCGGACGTGAGTCATCTAGAATCTAACGTTTATCCAGTACATTGCTAACATATATAGCTTGTGGACACTTGGGAACGCTTCGGCAACGCGCTTAGCCCAACACCGCCATTCCCACAACAGCGGCCTCGATTTATCCTCGCTAGCATTTTGTTGCCGATTCTCCTTGGATCTTTCTTCATGACATCGTATATGCTGGTTAAGGGTACCGGGTTCATCGTTGGATTCACCTTCTTTGGAGACCCGATCATCCAAAGAGGCATGGTGTTTATCAACCGGTCAGTGTTTCTTTCAACGTTAATTACTCGCACATCTAAAGTATGTTTAGCACCTACCCTCGTTGGCAGAAGTATGTTGAATTGCGAAACAATATTCTCAAGGGCATTCCAACCAATGCTCAGCTTACGATTACGCTTCTACGTATTGGCGAGAGAAACAAGGCGCCGATTCCGCCTCCTCCTACGTCCTCCGAGCCACCTCCAGATTTGCCTCACGCGACTGCAGGTCAAGGTCTAGAGCATCTCGGTAAGTTCCATGATGTTTCCTTCATCTTTCGTCATTCACTCACAAACTCACAAGGCGTCGATCAAGACGAAATAGACCTCGCCGTTCAACCCGATCAGAGTGCTCTTGCCCCCGCTGAGTCTCAGACCGAAGAGCACAAACAGAAGAAGGGTCATAGGATCATGAACTTCATCAAGAGCACTGCAAAGGGCGGTGTCAACACCTCTTTGGCTGCAGACAAACTGAAAGCCAAGGTAGGCGCCAAACACGCCAAAGACAGGCTTGGCGTGGTCAAAACAGAGCCTGATCCTGAAAAAGGACCGATATCCTTCCCTGCACGGTGGAAGGGTAAGAAAGGTTGTGCTTACATTACAACAACGGCGACTACACCTGCTCTGAGCTGGACAACCGACTCTGATAACCTGAATCCGACATGGACTATTACCATCGGGGATATTGATGTATGTTCCTGCAAACCCTTACTGCCTACACTTTACTCCGTACGGAAACTGATTTTGCTACAGCAAATCCGTAAGATGGGCGGACTCGGATGGAAGTCCAAAATATTCGTGGGTTGGGCCACAAATCGTGAGATCGCAGATGGGCTCATTGTGACAGATGGCACAGGCAAGGAGTATCATCTCACTGCAATCATTTCTAGAGATGAGCTTTTCAACCGCCTGGTTGCTATGGGATCGCAAATGTGGGAAGCCTGGTAATGACATCATGATAAACAGCATTGAATCAGCTCTTACAGCATAATTAGTATTAGGGAAACAGTAGCATATAGGTAACTAGCATATTTCTCATGAAATGGGAAACAGCAAACGTGTAGACAGGTAAACCGAAGTGAACTGGTCCTCTTTGCAGAATCGAACACAAGTAAAACAAGGTTGAATGAGCAAGTAAGAATGTTACGTGGAAAACATATATCCAATGCTCGGTAACAGCAGGAAGTCATGCTAAAGACAGAAATAAAGAAATAAAACACGTTCCAACACTAGAACTTCCGCAATCGCGCGCGGCAGCTGTGTCTTTAGTTATGATACCCATCTAGAAGACATTGACAAATTGATTGACCATCAGGGGAAATTGGCTGATAATGGGGATACTTTCAAGTTGTATATACCATTACGAAGATTGCCTAATAGATTAACTGGATCGTAAAATACCGCTCGAAATAAACAGTAGTGTGCGCCGGGTACTCATGCGATACTCACTCGCAGAAGAATTGTAGAAAAGCTGAATCGAGGAGGGTCTTGCTATCAGCATGGATATGGCCAGTTCTCATGATATAAGGCCAGAACTGACTCACAATCACTTCATAAAAACAAATATTGCTAAGGATCACTCCGTGCTCAACGCTTAACGGATGTGATGTACACCATCTAGTCTTCATGCATAATTCGGGGTATGTGATCCATCAAGTCTACAGCAATTACCACGCTGTGTGTCCACCGTCAATGACCATATTGCTGCCCGTCATAAACGTGCTAGCGTTGCTCATCAAGAAAAGAGCCGCGCCCTTGAATTCTCTTGGCTCCGCCAGTCGACCAAACATATTGTGGCTCTCCCACTCTTCTTTCAAGCCAGGGACCTCTTGAAAGTTCTTCTCCACCATCGGCGTAATAATATGCCCTGGACTGATGCAGTTTACTCGGACTCCGCCAGTTCCTTCCTTTGTGATAGGGGTCCACTCCATTGCAAGATTTCGCGCCAGTTGAATAACTGCAGCCTTGGAAGAGTTGTAGACTGGGGAAAGCAGACCGTGATTCGCAATCAAGCCAGACATGCTGGCGATGAAGCAAATACTGCCGCGCTTCTTGTACTTGAACATTTGACGTGCAACGGATGTTGCGGTCATGAAGACGCCGGTGTAGTTGACGGCCATCATCATGTTCAAGTCGTCGACCTTGTAATCGGTGGCCGGTGTGATTTGCTGAATTCCTGCAGCGGCCACGCATCCATCAATTCCTTGGTTTTCGTGGGCGATTTCAGCAATCGTCTTGTCAAGATGTTCGGTATCCACCACGTCGGCTCTCTTGTACTGAAGAGAACCTCCCCATTCCGGCACAACACGGGTCAATGCTTCGGCGTACTCCGCGTGTGGCTTTTCTTGTCTATCCAAACAGTAAACTAGGCAAATATCAGCATCATTTCCTTCACAAATTATGAAAGAGATATGATCAATTTACCTCTACCCCCCGCTTCTGCCAAAGCCTCTGCTATGCTTAAACCAAGCCCCTGAGCGCCACCTGTGACGATAAAGGAGCGGCCCTTCAAGTTGAAGTCGGCAAACTGCGCCTTGCCGAAGTTGGTTTCTCTAGGCGGAAGCATTTCGTCGGCAGGGTTCTTTCTCGGATCAATGGTGGTTGGCTTTTCCTCAACATTTTGTCGATGCGTGCAGTGGAACGGCCGGGCGGAAAGTCGTTTGCATAACACCCGCACAGCGGCCGGCGCAGAGGTTGCGTGTGACGGCCTTGCTTGAAAGGGCAAGACGCCACGCATGGCTCTATGCGCAAGAGACATTCTGGTTGCGGGAGCGGAATGGCTGTAATGTTTTCTGTTTCATGAACACAAGATTGGTGTATTGGGTATGAAAGGGTTATTGTGCAGTCGAGATGGCTTTCTTTGCAAAGAAAAAAGAGGAGCAAGAAGTCTCTAGGTGCAGTCAATCATTCAAATTACTTTGGGGTAGTACGAGTGCTCTATGCTGCGTATGTCGCATTTCGGTGTGCGGCATGCAAGGCTTCTAAATACCATTAACACTTTCAGGTGCCGCGTGTGTGCTTGTGGGGACATAAATGGGGGTTCCAGAATAAAGATGTCAATATGGACCATTTAGATAAATTGCTGACCTCAGAATGAACCCAAGAACGTCCTTTTGCTAGGACTGACGTCTCGCTGGCGTCATCTCGAATCCTGAAACTGAAGGGACCAACAGTCAGCGCAACAGGTTTTGCTTTTAGCGGGAGCACTTCTAGCTCGCCGCTCCGTGGAGGACCCGATAGGTTCTGGGGCTGCTGAAGCAGCAAGGAGCATCTGCTCCGGCTTACCGCATTTTGATGCCAATGGAGGACAAGAGAATGAAATCATTCTGGCACCGAAGATCTGCATTCAAACAGCGTTGAAAAGGGGGTTCGACCACAAGATACCGAGCCACAAGCACTATCTTAAATTGAGCCATAGCCGGAGGATGAGACAACGTTGCCGCCTTCATCTGCAGCTAGCGAACACTTCCACCGGGCACTAAATGTTAGCGTGATGGATTGATTTATAAAACCACAAAAAGGTTGCTTTACTTGAGATTTAGAGAAGGATACCTCTTAAGTAGTGTGTATCTCTAAATTGTCTTTATTCAGATACAAAAGTACTTACTCTTACCAGATATTGAGTAGAAATAGATTGTGCCTATGCATATGAGTTACTATGTGTGTACGGAGATAATATTTAGACAGACTACAAAGCTCATCAAACTATTTAGAACACTTCATTCTCGGATCTGAGTTAATATAACTGCTCCTTTTTTAATATATAATAGTTGAGATGCTACCTCTCGATCTAAAGGTAAAGATCTAGAAGTAAATCCTTTTACTAGAGATAGCTTTAGTGTTGCAGGTGTAAGAATGTGTTTAGACGTTCATCTAGTGTATTCAAACCATGAAGGATGTAAAAACCTGTATATGGATAGTTGGTAGGGCAGGTGAAATAAGTAGTGGAAGTGATGATAATGGTGGTGATGATCTGGGAGATGAAGTAGGCCACCCGGAGGCCACCGTCAGACCGAAAAGTTACAAAGCAAACAAGTAATCAGTGCTGCGCCGGGACCACGGCTTGTTGGCCATGAACCTAAGTTTCACTTCTCGCCCGGGTGACGACAGGAGATAGTCGACGACCCCCCGAGCTATGTTCATAGGTAGTTTAGGTAGGTATTACGGGAAAGTTCTACAGAACGCCATGCTTGCGAGGTGTCGTGCACAAGCCAACAATCTGGCTGGTTACCACATGGATCTAATAATATGCGGCCAATGATTGACATGATATCGCCGTAACGCCCGCAGTTCAACAGAAACTCCTGTGCAGGTTGCATTCCCTTCCACCTCATCCCAAAACCATCGTCTTCCATCTTCATCGAGGTGGCTGCCAATGCCTCATATGCACTGAAGTGACACCAAGGCGCCTTTAAACTTCCAAAAGGAGATGATAAGGGCCGACCAAAGTCTTGTGGCGGCAATAGGTAGCATTTATATTAATTGCTGATATTTAGCTGAGCGATTCGTAAACTACGTTGAAGTTTAAATAGACTACCTTCAATGATCACTCAACTACATGAATGTATAAATTCTGTAGGATCAATTGAGCAAAGACGATCTGGATCACAAGTCATGCCATTGAACTGAAACTTTTCTATTGCCATGGATCGAAGGAACATAGACCACAAACACCATCACGGTGTCCTATTACCTTCCGGAGAAGCAACCTAGACCACAAACACCATCACGGTATCCTACTACCTTCCGGAGATAGATCATAGATTTCTAATCGGAGAAAGATCATAAGTTTCCAATCGGAGATATCTCTGAAAATACCTTTATTTCTCCCCCTAGGCCCCCCCAGAGACCAGACTTCCTCCAGAATTAACATCATCCATTCACAACAAGCTTCTACTACTTCTTTTACTAATTCAATTCCGAAAGCCATCATCCATCAATCATCTTCCTCAACGAGCTCTTACTGCTCTCATCACTCCATCAATTCAACAAGGATTGCCTTCATCTTCGAACAAGCGGCATATTCAGCTACAATTACAAGACAAAATGGGTTCTTCTCACTCTGTCACCTCTAAGCCTGACGGCTACTACGGCCTCCAGGCCATCAGCGCCCACGCAGTTCGCCTCTGTGGCCCGTCATACTATCCTGAAGACGTCCTTGATCTTGCGCAGGGCCAGCAAGACCGATTCCACGGCATCTTCGACGAAGAAGACGAGGCTCGCTACGCCATAGAGCGTGGTTGGGAGATGGAGAAGTACAAGGCAACGCAAACACTTACCGGTCGAGAATTGCGCCATTCCCTCCGCGATATGGATCGTGAGATGGCCCACCAGCTCCGAGTCAGTTTGAACAAGTTCCGCCGCCGCAAGCAACGCGCACTTGACCAGTTCAAGTATGAATGGAAGCAGGATGATGAAGCCAGAAGTTATCCTTACTGGGGCAAGGGTCTTTACTGCTAATCGTCAGATTAGTTAGCATTGAAACAAAGGGGTTAAGGTCTCAAAAGTATTGTCACATATGACATTGATAAGAGACAGGTTTACTAGTTTCTCCTGAGGAATAGTGTAAATACGCAATACAGTATATTCACCTTTATAATTGTGCTCACCTAAAAATTGTTACATCGTCTTCATTGTCTTGAAGTAAGGAGAGAGAAATCTCATACCTATGTCTGTGTTGAAACTGTTTGTTATGGCATTCATGATGGATATATTAACGTGCTTCTTCTATATACTGTTCTCTAAGTTTCTCTTAAGTACCATATCATCTTAACATCAACCTGATATGTTATGTTAGGGCAGGTAGCGTAAGTACTAAATTTCGTTTAACTTTTAAACCTGTTAGATTATACAAGCTGTATGTCCTAAGGAGGGTTATATAGCTAATTATATAACCTATGTTAGAGTAATCTACCTCTACTAGTACCTATACACTTCCTATAGGCTACTTAACTACCCGTCTCAAGCGTTTGCTAATGCTTTCGTGTAGCCGTATCAAAGAGACTTCCGGTTTTTCCTGACACTAACACCACCGCCGTGCTGTTTGCCGAGAAAGCAGCTACGCTGGTACGAGGATTATATAGGCAACGCTGTAGGGGAAACCTTAAGTATCTACTATTGAGCTCCTATAGGTGCATTCCAAAGCTGCATTGTCTTTTCTTCTAACGCAAATGCCACCCCGCGTGAAGTCAGTAACATATCGACATTTCGCGCAAAAGTTTATAGTCCTGCACCCTAAGCCATAATACAGGATCCCAGTAGAATAATGCTCGGCGATCGAAACGCTGACTGAGCAACCGGATGAATATGATCGCCATTAGAGCGCCGAGTAAGTACACTGGATTGAGGCGTCCAAGCCCTATTTGTGTTGGGCTGACAGAAGTCTGAATACGTTGGTATCAATCGCGACAATCACGTCAGGAAATAGACATTTTTGATTCCCATGCAATTTGATGCCATCAAGAAAAGCAAGGTAAACCTCTGTACGCCTGTTTTCTTGACATGACCTTCCTATTGTTGTCATTTTTCACACTGAACTACAGAAAATACAACAGCACCAACCAATGGGTTGAAGTCAGACAAAAGAAGCCCTTAGAAGCTGCCTCGAGACTCTGAGTCAACGGCTTCGGGGTGGGCGTGTCGCAGCACTGGCAAACCGCATTACTTGTACTCACTCATAAAGTCTTCCGCCACGCTGAAAGATAAAAATAAAAAATACAATAGATCACCGGCACATTATACACTGCATTGTGAGGAAGAGCATGAACCTCGATACTTGTAGGCTTGGATGGGCGACTTTACTCGAGCTTCTGGGCTTCACTATTCCTGCGATACAGTGACCCGGGGATCGTTTAATCCGCGTTCAACAATCCTGCAACCATTCACTGCTTGCATACCGTCGAGGCCAGACATCTAAGGTCTAGTTTCCACGGTACGATACTAATTTCATTCGCGATATGAAGACTTTACTTTCGTGACTGTGCCGGAGCTCGTATTCGATACAGTCATGATTCGTTGTAAGATAAGGCTACCGGATTATTCACAAAAAGAATGCATCTTGTCTCCTTGGGAACGGAGGGAGAAAGTCACCAGAGACTTCTATCTGGAAGGAGCAAGCAGTCTGCTTGAACTCAAAAGGATAGCTATCATAACCTAGCATTGAGAACCCACCTGTTCAGCTGATATAAGTGACAGGAGATATCATTTGATACACCGGCTGTGGATTGCTGTCAAACCCTAGCCTCACTCTTGCTAGCATTGGCCTACAGGGGCAATGTCCTCGCTTTCATGTGAGCCTTCATATCAGCAAAGCACTCTCCCATTAGCATTGAGACTGTGGGAAAACTTCGGCATTGAGCCCTTACAAGTGGCTTACGCGTAGTGTCGGGCCTTCTTCTCTAGCTCTGACGAGAGGCACACCCCTGTACCGATCTCATAATGTGCGCGGGGAAAAATCAATAGATTCCGAAATTGGGCGGTGGCTAATACTGCATAAGAGCGGCGGCGGGTAAGCGGAAGAAGAATGGCCCTTATTTTCCGATGAATCAGTGGGGTTTCGTGAATCACGTATATCATGTAACGACATACGCTATGGATCTTATGATGATGTGCTCCCCGGGTGGGTGCTATACATCACTATATCATCTTATTAAGATCACTGTAATCGCCGCGATTCCTTGCGTATGGATGCCTGTATAAACCAAATGCCTGTTGTCATTCGGTATCATTGTTTGGTTAAGTGGTCGTCGTGCTTGCTCATCGCTGCGATGATGGTTAGCAGCGATGAAACTCGAACGACAGGAAACGCAGTGTGCTCAGAACCAAGCGCAAGAAGTTTATTATACAGCTCTCGAGTCCCTACTTATTGAAATTAATCTGCATCCTTTTCAAATGCACTTGGACTGGAGTTGCGGCATATAAGAAAGGTTGCAATCATCTCCGTCTATTCACCCGATTAGTCGACTATGTGGCCACCAATGTGCCGGCCTCGCCGCCCTGAGCTTGACAGCTCGCCCACTACAGAATAGACTGGGGAATTTCGTTTGATTCCGAGTCATTGTTTCGGATTGTCTCGCTCACCTACTCTCAAAGCAGGCTCGTTCAGTGAAACATGACCACCACACGACGGGTGTTTGGTGATGACATTGGAGTATCTGTCATCTTCGGCCGGTGGACCCGCTTTTCTGATACGTGCAAGATCAAATCTTGAAAACCAGTGTTGCAATATTGCTACTAATATGCTTGCAGAATGCCGCCCATCTTTCCTAGGTACCCCATGCTGGGGTCGAACATAGGAGTTTGGCCATACTAGTAGTATTATAACGCAGGCGGATGATCATTTCGCAGGTGATAAACAACCAGGGTTGCCTAGCTCGGATACCATATCATTTCAGATGTCATCCCCCACACAACGAATGAGTGCTCGCCTACATCATTCATCCCCATGGTTTCTTCCTATTCTCGTATTTATTTTACCTTGATGGCACCCGTCTGTCGTGCTTTGCCTTGTTGTTCTGACATCATTTCTGCCCTTTAACCCGTCATCACGACAGTGGCTGGTCTCTTCACTCTCTTGTTCTTCTTCACATCTGGTTCATTACTCGGGTTCTACGAGATGTCACATATAACTGGTCAAATGGCTCCGCAAGATGACTATGGCCCAACCGTTCTCGCAGTGATATGGTCCCAGATTGGACTTGCGTCCTGCTTCCTAAGCTTGAGGCTGTATTGCAAGTTCAGAAAGCACAGTGGGCTTTGGTGGGACGATTACGTACTCATAGCATCATGGGTATGTTCATAAATCTGCCTGTCATACTGGCTCAAACTCCTTAACTGACACTCACTGAGACCTGCCTGTTGATCTCAGTGGCACTAACCACATACATCATTTCTCTCGGCTTCGGCAAGCATATTTACGTGGTGCCCCCCATGAATCTTCCAATGATCAGCCTCACCGGCAATATTATCACTACGACATCGATTACTGCGGCGGTATGGAGCAAGACTTCCTTTGCGATGACGCTTTTGCGAATCAAGGAACAAGGCTGGACGAGGTATGTCATCTGGGCAGCCATTATCTCCATGAACGTCCTTATGGGTCTCAACGCCTTGGCTTCTTGGGTTCAATGTACTCCGATTGAGAAGTTTTGGATGCGGCAGACGCCGGGGTCATGCTGGGATCCTAGAGTTGCCACGTACTACGATATCTTTGCTTCAGGTTTGCGATTCTCTCCACCATTGTGAAAGGCTTCTTTTGCTGACATTCGTCTATAGGCTATTCTGCGTTGATGGATATCCTGCTCGCGATGCTGCCTTGGCCGATGATCTTGGGACTTCAGATGAAAATCCAGGAGAAGATTGGCGTAGGAATTGCTATGAGCATGGGTCTTCTGTAAGTACGGTTCGATCTAAATATTGATGTGGAAGCTGTGATTAATATGCCACTATAGTGCTGGATCAACTGCAATTATCAAGTGCACAACTTTACCAAGTCTTCTCTCTGGAGACTTTACCTGTACGCAGCCGACGGCCATTTGACCTTTGAATTGACCATGCTAACTTATTCGTTAATAAGACGATGGAGGCCAGCTCGCAATTTGGGGAACATGTGAAACGAGCGTCACCATCATGGCCGCTTCCATCCCTGTCCTTCGTGTCCTCGTTCGGGACGTTGCGTCTTCTGCCCGCAGGTACTATGGTTCTTCGGGCTCTCGTACCGTCAAATCTCGAATTGGCCATGGACCCAGCCCCCGGCGGACCAACACAGTGACAATAACGACATCACCACAGAAGGGCTCATTTAGAAGAAAGTGGGACAGGTTGGCTGACGATCGGAGCGACAAGAGCACAGTGGGAGCCGAGCTGGACATAGACTTCGGCAAGATCATCCGGACAAATGAAATCGTAGTGCAATACGACACGAGAAGTGAGATTGAAGGGAGGAACAACGATTATGAGTTGCATCAGATGGGACCTAAGAACCCTAGCAACATGGTCTAGCAACCTCATGTAGAGTATATTGAATACTACCGTTTTCCAAGTACAAAATGCCCACTATTGCGGACCTTTCTCGTCGTGTTTCGGCATGGCCATGATTTCTCTTCGTCACAAACCGAGTTGGTTCGAGCTTTTGCGATCTTCTACGTAGTTTGACCTTCGACGATCCGTCAGGGTTAGGATACTATTCTTCAATGTCGTTTCTTGAGGCATGCGTATTCTAATCCATCAAGGGGACGCTTGAGTAAGGTACCTTACGATTGGCCCCAAAGTACAGCCATATTGCGGGCGGTACTACAGTCTACGTCTATACAGCTATCATCAAATATGACTAGGCGCGTCCGCACTAGGAGTGTAAAGATGTGACTTTGTGGTTTGGACAGAAAGGGTTCCGATTCTCGCAATTAGAACCCAGAACCGCAGATGCGACGCGCTGGCACCTGAGAGGATATTCCCGATCCTTTGGAATCACATTTCAGGATGGTAATGCTTTGAGAGAACCTTCACACACGTACTTGCGAAAGCCTTGAACAGTAACAACCTGTTAGCCGGTGCGATCGGTCATCTGGGCAGGTTTCCGCCTTGCTTCGGTACCAGGGTTTATCCTTGAGCGCAAGCGTTTGACGGCAATCAATTCATTTTCCTCCGACGTATCCCTCCAAGCCGCAACTGACTCTGAAACGTGAATGGCTGTGCAAATACCTTGAAACCCACCTGCGATAGCTACCATATAATTACATGGACCATTTAAGAAAAGTTGAGCTGCTCACCTTATGACAATTGTTTCTTGTGGCCTCACGAGCTGGGTATATGTTTCCTGCGTTTGTTTCTCAACAAGCACTTGAATACGGTCAAGATAACAACGAAAAGGCCATCGTCAGAGACGTGAAACACATTGCGGGCGTAGTGGGGTGCTTGCCATACGTTTATCAGCCCTGCGGCATCCATCAATGCTTCCCGAAACCCGTGCTTGGAGACCTACACCGAGGGGTTATAGATTGTATGTCTGGACATGCATCAGTTTAGGTCACAAGGAACTGTTCTTATTCATTGTTGAGCTTACAAGGTGGCAGTGCTGTTGATTTGTAACTGGTCTCGTTGGGCCATCGCAGTCGAACAGCTGCGGCACAGAACAGCTGCGTATTGACTCGACGTTCGGCTCGGCTACTAATGCCTAACAACACAGCCTGAAAATTTGGAACTCGGGCCTTCAATGTGTCCAAAACCTCAAATAAAGCTTCAAGGCCGGTAAATCAATGTTTGAGGGTTCCCTCTGGACAGTTATGCCGGGCTCCGACAGGGGAGTAAGTATCTGACTGAAATAGAGTGTCCGGAATAAAGGTTGTCCACCTCCGGCTATGATTTTCCTACAGACTAAACATCATCCAATGGCATGTAAATATAACCTAGTCACTCATTATAACGTGTTTGTCTTTCGTCAATAATCATGACTCTGTCCTGTTGTGGTCTACTCCATATAAAGGAGCCTTCGTTGGCGGGGCCGCTTTCACTCTAGACAGAAACCGTAGTAGCGACGACCGTATCAGTAGGATCGTCTACAGTAAGAACTGATAGCGAATCTGTGCGTGATAATACAATTTGTTGCTTAGCATTTCTAGTAGGACATGGTTATATCTTATGGTGCAGTACTGTTCCTCATCTTCAATAACGGCTGCTCCATCCACAACCTAGTAAGCAGATTGGTGAAGATAACTGAGCAAATCTAAGCGTACAATTCATTGATTCATCAGTCTGAAGAGAAGTCTGGTGTTCTTCTTTGAATACGGAAGGGTTAGCGATAGTTAATCGGAGGCTTAAGCGGCGGGCTTCCCCCGTTGAAAGAACTCTGTCGTTCCAACCTTGGCGGCGAGCCTGAAACTCGTCGGATTCTTGTTAGAGTAAATGAACAGACAATACCACTAGATTAGACTTAAAGGTATACCATTGGATAATGAACGCAAATGTAACTTTTATCTGTTGAAGAAAAGAGGGGAGAGGTCGGGAAGACTGATGTGCAGCAATGGGGAAACGATACGAGGGATTCATAGAGCCCGGCTAACGGAGAGTTGTGGTTCACTAAAAGATGAGTGGTGCATATACAAGATTGTACTGCGACTTGTTGGCGCGAGATGTATGCCACATATGCAAAATGCTTAGAAATTTTCACGTTCCGGTCATTGGGACACTTTCAACTCTGACTTTGTGAGTACTGGGACCGGATACCCCGTTACAGCCTCACATCGCCGCAGAGATGACAGCCTAACCTGGTTGAAAATAGAAGCCACTGAATACTTCGGCTTTTGTGGTTCATCTTCGGCCTTCCGAATAATCTAATAAAATAGGTACACTGATCATTCTCCTGCTCGTATTCTCCATCAGAAGACTGTGAAGAGTTGAGTGCATATGTAATGTATGACTTGTTTTTATTCCCCACTCTGTGCTACTATATAAGTCGAGTCTGACTCAAATCATGTAATTCAGACGCAATTCTTGGTCCCGACTCCGTCATAAACCAAGATTGCCACGGCAGGTTAGAAGCGTAGGTTCTAATTTATCAGGGCTTCAGACAATGCTGATGACGCAGAAGGACACTTGTTCAGCATTTCTTTGTTACAGTGAGCTTGAGTCTCCCCTGTATCGTGGCACCTGAAAGCGTAGACTTCAACATGTTCACGTACCTCGATGTGGTAACGGAAGCGGCCTCGGTTATGGGACAAGATATGGCAGAGCACTTCCAGCTGTTATCCAAAGAAGAGTGCTATCTGAGATATTTACCAATCGTATGATACAACTTGATTGGCACCAACGGTACTGCACTATATCTTTCAAGGTCTTGTATCAACAAAAGCGTCCGCCTCTTTGATGCCAGTTGCAGCACCATTCTTGGTTGAACAACGCCATTGCACTATACAAGTCAAAAGAAGGTACGATGAAGCAGAGTGGGTGGCAGCAGGCACAGTCTGTATGTGCAAAGTGCACTCTAGCTGCAACCTTAAGGAAATCAGACACTATCACCAAAGAGTCCCAACTAGGAACTGTCAGGGCAGAAAAGCTTTAGGCAGCGTTCAAGACTGGAGCAAGAGCCTGCCAACTGCGTTATGAGGTTAGCGTCTATAAAGAGGATCAAACGAGTTCCGAAATTCTTAAAATCGGAAATTGCCAATAGCAATACGCCTTTTTCTTGCACGTACGACTTTGGCATTCTAGCAACACGCAAGTTTCTTATACAACACATCATGACTTAAGTTAACTGTGAACCACCAACATTCGTGGGCAAGTGTCAAGAGTCAAGAGAACATACCACCGCAACATGAGCAGTAAATCATTGAGCTTCTATGTTCATGTGTTGGCGCTGCCGTGTTCATGTCGGACGTTTGTTCCGAATCACTACTCTTGGCAATTCGCTACTGGTTGAAAATTGGGCTTCTTGCTACTTGCTCCTAGTGTGTCTCTGGGGCGTGAAAGAGCGTTCCGCAGCCCATTTCCAGTTACCGACTTTCTGATTCACTTAAGCACGAAGCTATTGATACAGTAAAGATCTCTCCGCTAGTAGAAAGCTGCCAACCCCACCAGCCCTACGTTGAAAGACTCCTCTCATTCGAGTTGGTCGAGAACTCAGAAGCCACTAAGTGGAACGCAACAGCGAACCGCGAGAGCTATGATGGTAGCGCCAATAAGTCTTGTTTTCTCAACAGAACAGGGCAAGAGACGTGTTTGGACCGCAACTGAACTTCGATGGTCCAGGGCTTGGCGAAGAAGATGTCATCTTGAGCCTCCTCTGAGATGGCGAACAGCTCCATTTTTGAGGGGCTTCTGTTTCGAATATTCACCATGAGAATTATAGGTGTCTCAGAGCTCTTTCACATAGACTACAGATGAGACGCTCAAACGGAAGTCCCCCTTCAATAATGTATGTAGAAATATCATTCTTTCCGTTTCTTTTGTGACTCGGTAACCAGCCTTCCCGCCGTGGCAGAGCACCATAGTTAGCAAAGTCGGACGAGGCAAGATTTCAGCTGAATCTACCCTGGACAGTCGAGAGGCTTTTATCGAGCCCTTTTGATTTCGTGGGAACTCCTCCCTTTTTGTCAGACACTACCAGCAATCACACCGCTCCGGAAAGAAGGGTGTTGCCTGCTCTCACATGAACCCCCGATACGATGAAACGCGCGCATGGGGCTGGAACACCAGTGTCTCGATCTGGCATTGAGTTACACGTCGTTCGAACGCGGCCCCAGATGAAAGCTCACTTTTCGGTTGACGGCTCGGCTTCTGCGGCACCGCTGCTTTAGAAATGAAATGAAGCACTAAAGTTGAGACGACAAGCACGCAGAGTGGCTTCCCGCCGGGTTGGCCGTTTATCCGCTCGCAGCTGCAACCGCCGAGAGGCCCACTATCAGATAATAGTCCAAGATTCGGATGAATTTGCCGATGGTTACGAATCGAAGTAACACCTCTCACATCACGTCTTGTGGTCGGAAAGCGGCTCGTTCCGTAGCCATGTGGCCAAAGACATAGGCCGGGTGAAGTTACCGATCGGACGCCAGTTTGAGATTCATATAAAGGCTTGTCGCAACCAGCACAGACAATTCATTAGCATAAGCAAGCTTTTTCAAACAAAATACATCCTGACATAACATGAGAAAACACGTATTACATTATTTCTTGATGGCCATACTGTCAGTATTCTTCAGTCGGAGTTTCACAGCACAGAGAGACCTCAAACTAACACACCATAGGTTGGCGCTGGCGCAAGCTCAGCAAGGCTACATCCAGTGTCGATGTATGGCACATATTACAAATTCGGTCGTCCAGACCGGTGGCCGGAAACTCTGCGGTCAAAAAGGCGGTGTTTTAAGCAGCAACAGCAAACTCTGCACAAATCTGTCGCAGAACTTTACTGATAGGGACTGTCGGGCGATTGGGGACTCGTTCTTCGCGACGTGTGCCACGGCGCGTTCTGCAGTCAAGAGAGGAATCTATAAACGCGAGATTACGCCAATTCAGCGAAGGCCGAGGGATTGGCATATTGGTCGGGGACCCATTAATTTTCAGACCGTCTCCCGGCGCTCGATCCCACACCGGCTTTCTCAGAACTAAGTTTTGCTGAGACTACCTAGGCTCTAGCTTTGAACAAGCATTGGTTTCCTTTGTACAAGTAATTGATAGGCTGATAATATCCTTGATTTCAATCTTCTATGGTCTTGTCCAGTTTCTCTTTCAGCCTCTTCAGGAGCACCTGTGCATCCCATTCGGGGTCTTCCAGAACGTGAACTTCCTCGCCATGCATCTCTATCAGTTCCTTCATGCCAATGTTGCTGATCACTAAATTCTGATGACCGATTTTCCACTGCGGGCCAGCCTCTCGACCCCACGCGACCGCGCGACTAATTACCAATTCCATCAGGACCTCCATGATGCCGGCTATGTTTGACCAATCGTCTCATGGAAGCTGGACGTTGTTGTCTTTGCAAAGCTTGCCGAACGACTTGCTCGCCTCTGTGGAAGGTCATAGAGTATACAAGTCTCCGTCAGCTAGAATGATACCGCCGTCTTCGACACTCTTGCGGTCAGCGAGAATGCAGAAAGACATGGAACCGGGCTCTTTCTCAGTTTCGCATTTTTTAGAGACTCGTAGCAGGTCTTTCTCGACGGAGCCTTCCTGGCCTAAACTCCATTGTGCAAGCCCGGGCTCGACATACTTCCTAGGCTTTCTATTAGAGTTTGAGATGGAATTTAAGAAGGTCTTCTCCATGTTCTCCGATAGCTTTGTAAGCATATAGGTCGGGACGACCTGATCTCCGATGTCCGATGCTGGTCAAGAACATCATCGTACCAAGACCTTCGCGATGTTGATAAACTTCAAAACTATACAATCGCGCCGAAAATGAGAGGAAATGTTCAGTGTTGATAAGAATCAAAGGTTGTACGAGAAGCCAAATTCGTTGTTTGATTATGATGTTTCTCAAGACCACAATGATGACCACTCTATTCATTACTGAAGGAACCAAGCTCAGTTTGAGTAGTGTGTGACTGTAGCTTACTGTCACGTGTAAAATGTCTGGGCTCGCCCTACAGTATGTCAGAACCCAGACTTTTTACACATGATTGGACATATGCGGCGGTCAGGTCAGTCGTGCGGGGTTTACGTGTTGCCTAGAATCCATCAATCCTTCGGGCCTGAGATGGTTCATTTCATAGGCAGTTCGATTACTATCCCTTACAGCCCGACGATTCGGACAAACGCTATGCGGATGGCAGGGCTTTTTATTCTTCTTCGAAATCGGTCAGACAGATTGAGTTTTCTCCTTATCGTTGACTTTCATGGGCCGTTGTTTCCGTCAGTTGTAGATGACCCATCATTTCACGCTACAGTCCATATCGTGCGGTGTTGTTCGATCTTACGCCGGACTGTTCCTGTAGAGGAAAAAGGGGACGTGTATTGTGCAGCTACCACAGACGCCCCCAATAGCCTCTGACTCTGTAGTAGACAGACCAATCACTTGGCTATGATAGGGACCATTTCCGCTGTACCATGCGTTAAAATTGCGTCTGAAAGTTATTATCTAACTGAAACAGGTTGCCTTGTGTTATAGCTGCCCATCAGTCCTCGTCCCAGCGGTTGTACAGACCACAACTTGACGATCTTCTATATGAGGTGACCTAACCCAGTTTAGGCTTATATTGCTCCATGTGTCTACATTTCCATAACCCTTGGTCGTTGGACAAGACAGAGTATTTGTGCTGTTCTAGATGTGGCTGGTTACGAGCACATGCTCACTGTGCTGAAGCAAAAGGGACTTCAATCACAGAATTGGTTGACTATTACGGCTTGGATCATGATGTAGATATAGCAACATAACCTTACTACACATAGAGTAGGGCTGTTAATGCACAAAACCCTCGGTCTTGTGATTGCCTCTTGCATGGAAGTAGCTAGATCCCTACCTTCCAGATCATCAAATATGGCGCTTCTCGTTCTTCCAACCACTGCTCTCTTTCAACCACGTCTCAAAGTTCTGCATGCGTGGCTCTTCTTTCTTCAATGCCTGGATGTCCGCTCCGTATCCCTCGCTCTTGAAGAATTCAAACATCTTGCCCATGTCCGGAATGGCCCATAACATGCCCTGGCCAATAAATGTGTAAGTCTGCGGCATGTCGCTTCCAGTGACATTCTCGAAGATCTCCCTTGCCTTGGCGTAGGTGATGTCATCGCCAGCCAGGGAGACGGCTCTCCGGTCCCATTCCTCCGGGTTTCCGATAGCTTTGGCCGCAAACAGCCCAATATCCCGCACCGATACGAGTTGCAGGCTCTGGTCGGCCGGGAGGGTGGACCACATGGCTGCGAACATCTTGCCAAACATGCCCGGGTTAGCGTTGTCCAAGAACGCCGTCGGGCGGAGGATTGTCCAGCGCAACTTTCGGCCGCTCTTCTCGAGCTCGTCGGCGCGGTCGCGGAGGTGCACTTCGATGGCGTGCTTCTGCAGGAAATGCGGCACGTCGGTGGGGTTCTCCCAGGACTTGTCCTCGCCGCCGCGGTCGACGGAGGTGAGGACGATCTGGGCGGCGTTCGCGGCGATGGCGGCGTCAACCCAGGCTTTCCCGACGACGTCCTCGTTGCCGATCGTGGTAACGATGAAGGCTGTGTCGATGTGCGGGTGGGCTTGGAAGACCTGGGCCTGGGAGTCCTTGAGGTCGCCTTGGACGGGGGTGACTGTGACGCCCTTGGCCTTCGCGGAGTCGATGAGGGACTGAACCTTTGCCGACTCGGGATTCCTCGTGAGGGCGAGGATCTCGAGGGGAGGAGAGCTGGTGGGGAGTTCGAGGAGAGCGTCAACGACAGCAGCGCCCTGTTTGCCGGTTGCGCCAAGGACAAGGACTTTCTTTGTTGATGCCATGATCGGAATTGGTCGCTCAATTAATTTTGTTCAGAGCAGTCTAATCACTTAATATTGATGCATTGTTACTCCGGTTCGCTGAAATAGTGATGTCTGTAGGGGCTTTCGCGAGGACGGGGCTGCCAAGTGATGTTGATGTGAGCGCTGGAAATAAGCTCCTCAAACAGATCAATTGCGAGTGAACTCGGATACGAACTATAGGGATGAGCTGTTGGCATGTAGTGTCTGAGATTTGGTGTTGCCATAACCCTGTCTGCAGCCGCCCGAGAACTTCCCCAACCGCATGTCCGAGCTAGTTGTCTATGACGAAGCGCCGATCCGGGGCTTTCGTCCTGTGTGCTCAAGGTACGTACGGTGTGTACGGAGTAACCAGCATGGAAAAGAAAGCAATGATTTTGTGAGACGTTTGATGTTCGTATTGGACTTTGAGGAATCATCCAGCCAACATTGTTATAAGCAGAGCCCGGACGCAGATAATATCTGGCCTTGTCAAGAAAAGCTCTACGTAACCATGAAGAAGCAGAACCCGGCAGAGTTGTGCATCACATGTTCGTCCTAGTTATTCACAGCGGCAGAGGATTCGGCGTCGAGAGCCAATCAGATATGCAACCGCAATCGATTTAGTTTACCCACAAACAATATTTTCATAGCCTCAAGATGAGCGCTAGGAAGGACTACGTTAGGAAGGAGAATATCGCTAACTTGGATCTTACAAAGACTGAGTCCAGAATGAAGGTTAAGGTTCGGCCGTGCCTTGACACACTGTCACACTTCTATGGGCATGCCAGGTTCTCTCGAGGGGCTACCATTGAACGAATCGCTGCTCATCACATACCGCATCGAGTTGTATCGTCAATAAATTAATCAGTCAAGACGGCAACTTCACAAAAAAGCTAAACCAAAACACTTGTAGTAGTAGTGTAGGCGTTTATGTCATCCCATCCTTGGATTGGAATTCATGACTCTCGGAACTGCACATGGCCCGGCCTAGGGCGTGCTAGGGCCACCGGGGATCCCCAACACTCGCAACGAGTACTCCGTACGTAGCTCGCAAATGTATGGCTAAAGAAATGGAAACGAATCGTATTGCAACAGTGACGGGAGTTTGAACTCAAAGAGAGGCGACGTTCCAGCGTCATCAAACCATTATACAACGGCAACATAAACATTGCTGTAAAAAGATCAGAAGTTAAAGACGCATCTACCTATAATGCAACGAGAGCATCGGCAAAGGCTTTAAAGGCTAGCGTTCCTGCCTCAGCACCGCCGTCCCATAACTCGGAAGTACATTCGAGCAATTATACCTGCAATCGCATATCTATCGTGATGGCGAATCAACCGGGACATATCGCATAGTCTAAGTCATGGCCGCAGACTTCACATCGCAAAGACTTACCCAACAACTTGTAATTATGCTCGGCCGCATCCTCCTCACGCTTGAGGATGTAATGCTGCTCTTCGGCGCATCAGCGGGTTGGAACGAGACACGCATCCACAATCCGCGCTGGCCTCCGCACGCCAGGCGAGTAAGTGTCTTTCCTCTGTCCCGCACCTCGTGGCGGCAAAGTCGTGATGTCAGCCCACATGCGCGGCGTCGCACCCCTCAGTACCTAGCCATCTGCCAAACTAACCTTGCCAAACACCTTCCCATATTTCGCAATGCGCAGATAATGACGCTCTCCATCATGCTGGGCATTGCGACGCTCTTTCTACCTGACGCAGCAACGCGCCGGCTCAAAGGCCCAAGGACTCGCTCCGCATCGCGGGCTTCCTTGAGTCAGTCTGGGCGGCCCACTGGGCGTCGCTGCTGTATCCTCGGACCTCCGGGCTGGATTTCGAGTTCGGCGGGCTGGGTTTTCCGCAGAAATACCTCTTCACGGCGGCCATCGGGCTCGCCGTGACGGGTCGTATCTCGAAACGTGATTCTGAATGCGTGGGCGTCGACACAGGCGCAGGAGTCTTATGCCGCGGTCCTGGTGGCACTCAACGAGAAGGGGACAGAGAGCGTAGAGGGACCGGAGCCCTTTCGAGACTAGAAACAGGGGGCTGCTTCGTCAGATTCCAGGCAACGTAAACATTGGGCTGAGTTGTCCTAGCATCATTCCTCTAGTCAATGCAATGAAGGGGTGACGAATGCATGCCAAGCTTAGCCTCTTCGAGCTGCTCCTCGCAACCGCGCGGCGTCGACGATTCTGCTATCGTACGGAGTACTCTGCCATCCTTTTAATCTTAATGCCGGGAGGCGGGCGCACGGCTAAAACGGCAGGCAGAGGATGACGAGACTTCGGACGAGACTGGGGTGAGGGGTCAATGATCAGATTCAGATTGAGAAATTGAGAAAACTACGCCCGTTCTTGTACAATCTCAACGCTTTTTTCAGTCTTACTCGACCAACCTGTTCCGAAAGTCTCAGGACGATGCGGGCTTAGGCAACGAACACCAACCCGCCTTGATGTTTCCACCAAATGCATCTCACGTTATCGGAATGGTCTTGGACAACGTCCGGAATGACGTGGGCCAAGGGCTTGTTGGAGAAAGGGTGGTGAGGACGGCAGCCGGCACAGAGCCCAAACCACAGCATCGTGACCTAATAGATGGAGGAGTCACTAACTTGAATTGGTTTGGGTCGGCAAGACGACGCGCGCAGTCAGATTTCACTCCAAAGACCTCTCGGCAACGGCTATCCGGTTAGCTCGGGACAGGCTTGGAGGAGGGCGCACTGCTGAACACACACATTTTAACAATATTTCTCCCTGCAAGAACACGGCAAGACTCCGAGAACCCGCCATCAGAACCCCCCGGTTCTGGGACTGCGGAAGCCGGCGTGATGTGCTACCTGGCAGAGCGATTAAGTGCCATGATCTATGCATGTCTTCCCACAGCATTAAGATAGCATTTTCTTCGTCTTTTTAAGATTCTAGGTCTCGGCGTTACTGAGCTGTCAGGTATCCAGTCGGACCCCTCCTCGAAACATGCAGATGTAACGACAAGACATTGACTGAGGTAAGACAAAAAACGACTAGACAAGATCAGGGAAGAGGATTGGCGCCCCGCAGGGCCCGGCGGAACGCCCAGAAAGAAAAGCAATGGACGGAAGAAGATGCGACGCGGGCGCGGCTGCAAATACAACAGGCTCAAACATGCCAACGCGGAAGCCCCCCATGTAATTCGTCCGACCTCTTCGCAGGACTCGGCGGACGGGTGGATGTTTCTCAGCTACCTACTCTTCTGCAAGCCCCTAGAAGCCACATCGTGACACCAATGATATCGCAGAACCCTGCCGCTACGCTTCCCCCGCCGTCGCAGGGTCCCGAACCGGAGAGATGCCAGAGGAGTGGAAGCGCAGCCCCTCGTTCAGATGACAGTCCCCACCAGAGCTTACGACGACTGCACATCAAAGCAAGGATGGCACAAGACCCAGCAACAAGTCCAGTCGGTCTAGTCCAGCGAACCAATGCAACATTGCAAGCGCAGGCGCTCCTTCCTAATCTGATCGCGTGTTCTAAGGAAGAGGGCGTAAGAGGGAGGGGGAGAGGGAGAGGGAGAGGGAGAGGCGGGAAGTATCGACAAGTACACAAGAGCAAGGTATGAGAAATCCCACTGCCTGTCGTCTGAAGGAGAGGTGAATGCTGGGATAAACCGGGTATGATGGGTGATGGGGGTATCTGGAGGCGGCGGACGTCTCTTTACGTATGTAGCGGATCATCCATTGCCATGCTCCAAGTCAAAGTAGTGGCATCATATCACCGCATACGGGTATTGGGATACGCCCAGATCGCCCAAGGCTGGGCCACATCTCGAATACCCTGGAAACCCGGAAAGAGAGGGCCCCCTTGTTTCCCCCCCAGGTCATTGTTCATCGGCAGTCATCCTACAACAGGTAAGGGTCTGTGAGGTGCTTTTGAAAGACGCGTACTGCCCTTCCCATTCTCCGACCCATGGCTCGCTCTTTTCCCCCATCCCCTTAACCATTTGGTCCCTTTTTGTGCATGGTCATCCCATTGACTGTCCATTTCCTTCGTACGCCTTTGTTCCCTCGGTTTGTTGAAAGAAGACGCCTTTGAGAAAATCAACAACGGCTATCTGCCCAGCTCGCCACCACCGACATATAGTCTTCTCTGCGACGTACCCCCATTCCAGCCGCCCGGCGAACAAAGAGTCTTGGCGTTGACGGGACAATTAATTGCCTTCCTCCTTTTTCCCCTGTCCCGCGCCCCTCGACTGCCGGCTTGGCAACAGTCCAACAACACCAAAAAAAGATCCGTTGGTGGCATCGGGCATACGACCAACTACCCTTTTTGGAAACAATCGCATTTCACACTGAGACAATCGCGGACTTACACCAAAGTAATAACCAACAACGAATCGAGATTTCATATCGCTGCGCTCATTACAAATCTAGCAACTGGGGAAAACGGGTGAGAGGGAAGCGAGAATCGGGCACACAGACAGCCAAACATCATTTCATTGGTCGGACCTTAAACGACTGAATCGCACAAGAAACGTGGCACGTCTGCTTAATCTAATTACCAAAGGATCATCGTCTCCTTTGAAGGAGACGACGACGATCGCGACCGCGACTCCCACCACCGCTATTTCTCGAGACACACATCACGCAGAATGTCCAATGAACTTCCTCGCCACGAGAGGCGACCGTCGTCACCGACACAGTATAGCAGCAGCTCTAAAAGCACTTTCGGCCCCTGCGACATGAGTATCAAGACGCTACTGGGCTTCATCTCGACCCGCGTCCTCCGCGGAGGCCCGCGCTTCATCATCCAGCTCATCCTCGCCGCCTTTGGGCTGCTACTTCTCGGCAAGTTTCTTGCCTCCCCGACATCGACAGACACCCTCTTCAGTTCTGGGTCACGATGGAGCTGGTCGCCGTTCAGCGAGAGCAAGGGGCAACAGGGCGTCGGCGTGAGAGTCGTGGTCTTCGGGTCACCGGACATTGCGACACCCTCGACGGATAAGGGTGTGGAGGGCAAGGGCTGGACTGAGATGCTCTGCGACGAGGTGCGTCTGGCCTTTACTTCTCCTCAGGTTCAACATATCCAACTAACCCTTGTTCCATAGCTCCGCTGCTCTTCTCATCAATCTTTCATCCCATCAACCAGCCTCCCCGCCCAGGCAATGACGACTACGAAGCATTACAGAGACACACTAGAAAATCTCACCTCGAAAGTCGACCATTCCAAACCGTTCGGCTACAACTACAGTTTCCTGGTCGATCAGTTCCCTCTCTCCGACGCCATCGCCAACCTCACGTCCCAGATCGACGCGTTCCTCGCCCTGCCCAAGCCCCATGACGTCCCCCGCGAGACCGTCTGGGTCTTCACCTTCGGCACCTGGGACGTCTGGACCCTCGCCTCGCTACCGCGCGACGTGGGCGGGAAAATCCTCGACGCCGCCGTCGAGGCCCTCTTCGCCCAGGTTGAGCGCATCTACCAGGCCTCCCTCGACGCCGATTCCGTCGCCTTCTCCGACTTTTGGGCCCACCAGGATACCATCTCGCCCCTCGCGGAGCTCAACGCCATGGAACAGGGCAGGGACGTGGTCGACCCGCGCGAGATCGAGAACTTCCGCGTCATCGTGCCGGAGCTGTTCGACGTCTCCATGACACCCGGGTGGCAAGCCCAGCGACCCGCGCCACCGCAACCACACAACAAGGCCGAGCAGATGACCAACGCCGCGTACCTCACGACCAAGTGGAATTCCGAGGTCAAGAGCTGCATGGACGAGTGGATGCGGACGCCGGACCCCGAACCCGAGGACGGCGATGAGGATGACTTCGGCTACGTCGCGACGCGTGTCCGCCGCTCCTTCAACGAGGGTGACGCGCCCCTGGTCGTGCCATTCCCCCGCCGTGTCGGCGCGCAGGTCGACGCTGCGAGCTTCATCCGTGAGGCCATCGTCGAGCGGCAGATGCGGAACCAGGGGCTGACGGACGCGACGGGGCGCGGCAACCGGACGGGTGGCGAGCAGGGTAACGTCTTCTTCTCCGAGACCTGGGTTCCGTGCATCTGGGCCAGCACGTCCAACGCGTCCGAGACGGCCGAGGCCGCCGACAAGTACGCCGCGTGCGGCGCGCGGGACGACTACCTTTTCCACTCGCCCTTCACCCTGAGCCAACGCGCGATCCGGGAGACTGCACGAATCGCGGCCGCCGAAGCGCGACGCACGCTCGCGTTCGTGGACCGCACGGAGGGGGGCGAGGGCGAAGGACGAAAGCAGGGGGAGACGAAAGAGCCGGCGGCGGCGGCGATGTCGAAGAGACGCGAGAGGAGGGGTCAGTTGAGCGGGTTCCAACGCATCACTCTTCCGGATCACTCGGTGCGGCCCGTGAACGTCGTGTGCCCGTCGGCGGACGTCTGCTGAGTCTCGAGTTTTCTGCATTTATGATGGGAGTTTGCAATAACGAATCGCCAGGCATCCGGCGAATCGGGTTTCATTTTATGGCATTGGCGTTGGTGGGCATCTTGGCATGAGGCATATGCTATATCATCTGCTCCCGGAACCAACCGGGTGAGCGCAGAGGACGGAAGTTTGGAGTTTGGATCATCACAGATACCGGGGACAATGCTTCCCCCAAAAGGGTCATAGCTTATGACATTTTCATTGCGTACATATTCAAAACCGAGGTTTCTACACGTTATAATCCTGCCCTCGCTTCTCTTTCGTCGGATTGATACTGAGGGCCGCGTCTCTTCCGGCGCTCTCCCGCCGTGGAGTTCCGAGTCGCAAGTAGTGTCCCGTGTAGGTGATATGGGGTCCAACGCTTGTGGAGCCTCTACAGCCTTGAGTGTTTGCCCTAGATGCTTAACCATCGTTGGTCGGACGTTTCTTATGGATGGCGGAATCCATTCGTGGCAAGCTTATTGGGTGGGTACGTCGAAACCTCGGACTATGCATCTGTATCTTTGACAGGGAGATCGACGTGACGTCACTGAGCCATACGGCATATTGACTTCATCCTTTACACCTTGTAAGCTATTGTGTCTCTCTATTCAACGACCACCTAGCACCCTACCCCATTCCAAGGCCCCCCATTGGCGAGCTGTATGCCAATATCAACGGTGAAGGCTAGATGCTGTATTCGAAAGGTCCTGTCTCACCAGCAGTTGCGTCACAGACGGGACCGTTGATCCACAGCTCACATTTATCTCTCAACCCAATCGCTTCTAAGCGAGACCCTCTAACGATTGACCACCATCAGCTAGCAGAATGCTTCATATTCGGACGCTTATGTCCTAGCAGAAACCTTAACGTTAGGAATCGAAATTATACGAATTGCAGTCTCGTGACTGTGAGTTGAACGTTCCATATATGGCAAGCGCGCGTCATTCTCAATATGTTAGTGACAGGGTCGCATCCTCTAGATGAACTCTGACAACTAATGCAAAGCCATCAGAAGCTATATCTGGGAGGGATGTATGTTCCGTCCTGTAAATTCAACCGATAGATGCGCCGTGCTTAATAAGGGTTTTGAAGTATCACTCTGGCTAGTTCCAGTTACACCAGTCACGGGTATTAAAGCGTTGAAATCATTAAGGACGTTGTGTGAGACTCTTATCTTGAAAGGCCTTGGCGTATAACTAGGACAATATCAAGCAGCTAAATCAGACAAGTATGTTGGTTTCACCCGCATAATCGATCAGAGACTGTATTGTCTTTCTGTGAGGCATAATACGTACGTTGCAACGAGTTATGTGAGTGGCCAGGCCTGTCCTGTGTATGCTCTTAACGTTGCAAGCACATGTTACCAATTCGAATAGTAATCGCCACCCCTGTCACAATGGCACAGCGAATCAACACTCGGCCATGCAAGACATTGATGTTCGTTGTACGGAGCCCACGGTGTGTCTGATAAAGGTCAACAAAGCAGACATGCAAGTGACAAACCTTCAGGTTTGTTGATGACCACAAAGCGATCCCGGTGTGAGATTTGTGTTTCCCACATTACAGCAGCCGGCCTGAACTTATCTTCTGTTGTCGATGCCACCACTTGCTCAAGTACCTGAATCATGCCATGGGGACGGGCGGGGGCGTGCCTGGTTTTTTTGGCCTTGTATAATGAGACGAATTTCACGACCGTGACCTCTTGCTAATAACCTAGCTGTTCATCATTGCCAAGTTCAAATTAGAACGAGTTTGAGTCCAACATGGGATATGTGTGGCGAACTTGAGAGGGTTTGAATTGGAAGTATTACCACCCAAGTTCCGCAGCCACTTTGCTTGCCACAACAATAGTGTGTGAAAGAAAGCCCGCCAATAACACAAGTGATTGAAGTCAAGCCAAGGTTGGAAGAGCCTCATCGGACTGTCCCGTGGTTCCTGGATCAGATCTCAGTGCTTGCAGAAGACTCGGCTGTCTCCCACGCACCCTGCAGTGAACCAAGTCAACCAGCGTCTGCGCCACTGCGGCCGCGCGGTTTTCCATCTGGAGAGCCAAGACGATGGACGTAACCACAATGCTGATTGGTTCCCATCGGGTGCACGGCGCAAATTAAATTAAAAGGGAAAAAAATTGTTAATGCGCCTCACGCGTGCCGGTCAGCCCGAACCCGGCCGGCGAGGCAGTGAAGGAAGAGAAACTCAGGTGGCTTCTTCTTGCCTTGCCGTCGAAGCTGACTCTCCAAGAATTCCCAAGTAAGATGCCCAGCCACCCCGCCCAACATTTCCCCTCCCTCTCCCAACCAAGAAAAGCGACGTCCTCCGAGAAGCCTTAGCTGTCCACGTTTTAATCCTGTGCTGCTAAACCAAACCCCAAACGGGTCCGCATATCGGCGCTCAGTCACTGCCTCTTAATCCCCGCGACCTGACTTCTGCCCCTCCCTCCCATTTGCGCCGCGCCGTTCAAGTCGCAATGTCACAACCGGGATCCGACGAGGAAGCGAAGAGGAAGCGGGACAAAGTGGGAGAGTTTCTGTATGCGCGCCATTTGTTTACACTTTAAGCGCCTCGCACCCCTGCCAGCCCTATGATGCTGCTCTCACCCCTTCCCTTTGCCACGCCACCATCTCGCAACGACGGCACGTCTAGCACCATACCGGCCACATGCTAACTCCGGGAATAGGAAGAAGAATATCACCAAAGGCGAGCTCGCGGTCAAGCATGCCATCGGCCTGGGCGCCACGCCTAATGTAATCCCCGTGACGCAACCTATCCTCGACGGCCCGCCTCGTGTGGTCGAGGTCGGTTGGCACCCCGTCGGGGGGCTCGCCGGCAAGTGGTTCGCCGAGGAGACCGGCCTGGGCAAGATGATCACGGAGAAGATCAACAAATATCCCGATCCCACGCAGCACTGGGCCGTACTCGTCGGCGACTTCGCCCATCAGTTATGGATGGTGAGTCAATCTGATCTCACGCACTCCCTCTATTTCGTCCTAGTTGATGGATATCTGACAATCGGACTAAAAGGACGAGAATTTTCACGTTATCTACACTAATGAGCGGTATAAGCGCGATGAGTGGAGGACATTCACGGTGGGTGAGACGCGCTTCAACGATGATGCAATCCGACGAGCGGGTGAGTCTACACTGACCCTCTTACATGCCCAATGTTCCCAACAGATAGCCTCTTTCAGGTTTACGGGCTGCTAATGAGACCCTAGGCGAGTACGTGATCCAAAGCATCAGATCTCGGCACCCGGCATACAACCTTATCAGCAACAACTGCCAAACCTACGTCCTGGAGCTCCTAGACGCCGTCAAAGTCGACGGACAAAAAGATTTCGGCACCACCCTCGCCGTCTATGAGAGACTGTTCAGTTCCGGAAAAGTCATCGATCTCTTCAACGGGCAACAAAGGCCAGAGCAACAACAGCAGCATCTGCTGGAAGCGCCTCCGCTGCAGTATCCCCCACTCCCACCGTCGCCCGCTTCGCCGCAAGGTGGAGTTGCACCGCCGCAGTACCAATACAACCTTCCCCCGCCGCCGCCGCCGCCGCCGCCCCCTCGCCCGTGTGGTGATCCGCTTGCTCACCACCCGGGTACGGTTTCGCACGCACAGAAAGTGATGAACGACAACACCACACAGCTAGATACACAGGAGGAGGCGAGCAAGCCGAGGGGCTTCAGTATGGGGACCAAGGAGATCAAGGAAGCCAAGCGTGGATTCCTTTCACGATTCACACGGAAGGGATCATCTAATTGAGCGCCGTCGGGCCGCTATTGCGCGATATGTCGTCAGATTTGTTGCTCGATTGTCTCGCGGTTCTTGTTTTTTCTTTTTCTCCCATATACCCTTTTACGGCCTCTTTCATGGAATAGCAGACGACCAGGGGAACGATGAATACAGATTCATCCGGGGACGGCGTTTAAAGGGGCTGGCTGGCATTAGCTAGTCTAGAGCAGTAGCCACCATTGTACATGGTGCATTTTAGGTAATGGCAGAGATCAATATTCTTCAACGCGTAATTTCTAGACCATCGCTTTTTGAATTCGAGACCTTGACTACCGATCATGTAGTCGGTCGCTGAGAGACGTCACACGCCAATGCTCGCGTAAATGTCTTCATCTGCTCGAGTAGGCACGTCAATTTCAATATAACTCGCAACAATACCCTGCCACCGTTCAAAGGCCCTGTAAGACTAAGCGCAGCCCGCGTCGCTTCAATCGAAGGAAATATGAGGACTCTCGGAATCTGGTCTCCTTGCCCATAGAGTGCGAAAGGGGGTCAACTTGGAAGACTTGGTGGCATAGAAAGCGCGGGCCGAACCATTCTTGGCCATGCCATACTCCCACGTCAAGCCAGCAACTATACACCTTATCACATCGCCAATAGATATGCACGCAGTTCTCGGATTACCTTGTAAAGCCATGCATCTGTCAGTCGTGGAGACCTTGATACTACCTCGGTGCATGATGGAACTTCAAATAAGCATAAGGCTTGTGTTCAAACAGGTCCAGACCTTGCAGGCGCCTATCAGTTGGTTGTGTACCGGGGACCCCTTGTGTGTTATGTCATGAAGCATGGAGGCCAAAGTTCTGTCACTATTGGTACTCATGAGTTACTGGTTTGGGGCTGCTTGTGCTTGGCTTCGGAGCATTACTGTGACTTGCCACCGTCATCACACATTGCCAGCTCGGAAAAACAGACCCTGAGCTTCCACGGCCTCAACGGGCATACATTCACGGTTTTATGATGTCTTGTAAGAATAATTACTGTTCTTCAGTGCTTCTTTGCCCTCTTCTCGGTACATTTCTCAGCCCACTGGCAAGCTAGTAGATGTTCTATTAGTGGGTGACATAGGTAACGCAGAGGAAATGTTGACCAGTGCGAGGCGTGTCGAGTGCCCATCCAAAAACTGCCTCAAAGTTGTCAAGGAAGCCTTAAAGCACAATTGGCTTCATTTCCATCATCCATTAGCCATCTTCCCCTGCTCAAACTGGATGTTAACTGTAGCCATACTTCACCAACCCTTCAAAAAGATTCGACATGCAGCTTCAAGATAGGGTTAAAGCTTTTCAGTTAGTATGGGGTGCTTCACGTAGTGAAAATCATTCTCTGTGTAATATTGGCAGCTCTGGAAATCTGTCTGTCCAACGTATATTAGTAAACAACCTTTTCTATCTTTCTGCAATGGGATAACCGTTACATCGAGTGGACATATCACAATACAGAGTCTGGAATACAATTGATCTACCACAGAAATCCTTAGTAAGTTTGAAGGGAAGATGCTTTGGCTGATATGTTCGCCTGCTTGGACGAGGCGCGACATCAAACCAATGTTGTTTAATACCAAGGCCTAAGCGTAATACAGAATATCTACTGTTGGTCGGGAATTTGGGTTTTCCGATGGCGAAGTTCAGACTCGAGCTGGAAACATGCTTTCGTCCGGGATTCCGGCAGTGGAAGCCTTTTTGGGGCTCCGGGGGAAAGTTACTGATAATGAAACCAACTACCTACGGTATGCCCACCGAGCGCTAGACCAGCATTCAAATCCCATACGCTCAGATGACACCGCTTAAGATTACTGCCCCCAATTTGCAAGTTCTAAGTAAGGAAGAAGATCATATTGTAAATCGTCGGTGGCTGGCGACAGGCTGCGCCTGTTTGCATGGCTCTTCAAGTCCCTTCCATTACATTTCGTACAGTTTATCAAACAGTTTAGTGTCCTGTCTTGTGTTCTATATTTCATTGAAAGAGCTTTATTCAGCCTCATAGCTTATTTAAACTGTTAATCTGATGATGTTTACCATGGACTTCAGACGTCCCATACAGCCAATTGAATAAACTAAGCACGCAGGCGGAAGTTGGTTTTAGGGATACCCATGAAGCCATGAAACCAGGCTATAGAGGTGGGTCATGTGGAAGGACGAATAAGATTTATAACATTTGACGATTACATATTGGTGCTACTCCGCCAATGTGCACAGTCTTCGCTATAATGATGGCCGCAATACATAAATGACCCGAGCAGCAGTTTGCTTTCCTTCGATGCCTCCCCAGCAGTACACACCAAGAGCTCATTATTTGTTTCTCCTCCCTCCCCTCAATCCAGTCCTGTACTCAAGATGGTTTCCTATATCATTCTCTTCAATCTCGTGGCTGTATCTACGGCTGCTGTCCTAGCTGTTATAAGAGAGAACCCTTCCGGCTCCCTCTTGATCGCTCGGGCCGAGGCCTCTGTCTTCATGTGTGAAGACAAGGACTACAAGGGCCAATGTCTAACGCAGAGAGTCGAAACATCATTTTGCTGTACGTCTTCACCCTCCATACTCATTATCGCCCTTTATCATGAGGTATAAAACTCTACTTACGCGTTATAGATAACGTGCCCGTCGACATGGTCGATCGCATCAGCTCAATCCGCAACAACGACAGGGACGACAACACCTGCACTTGGTACCGGTGAGTCATCCCTCTACTATTGACACCAATTTCTTCGATTGCGTTGTTTCTGACAAGTCAACTTCTTGGCGTGGGCAGTGAGCTCAACTGCCGTGGTGATTCATACCGCAATCAGGATGACGGTAACCTGGCCGATGGCAACGGACACTTCAATGACTCCATTCGTAGTCTCGAGTGCAGGAGAAAGGACTAGCCGGCATCACATAACATTCTTCGCCATGAGTTGCTTTTAACAAGACAGTCTGGACAGTCAGGGGATGATAGACTTCCCTATAATTAATGTAGTCACAAGGGAGGTAACCCAAGTAACTTTGGTGGCCGTAATGCAATTATAGGCTTGATCAATTAATCCCACGTAACCAAATAACCCAAAATTGCAGTGTGAAGAGTTAAAATTAGTTTGTGCGGTCATCACCGTACGCTACCTTATTATGCCACATTCCTGCTAAAACAGCTACCTCTATTTGACGGCGTCTTCTTTTCTAACTACAGGCATACCGGTCTTGTGACTGTGCCTTCTAGACTATAAAAGCTAGATCAACAGTTACTATGCCGGATAAAGTAGCGAGGAGTTACAGACTCAGTAGTGTCGAGCAGGCTAAGGTCGCCGCTGCAATGGAATAATTTTACCGGCAGAAGAATAAGATAGGCTGGGGATAAAACAATACGAACCTACATCTATCGAATCGCTCCTAATTTAACTCGAAGATTGGTTGATTAAATTGAAGCTGTGTAGGAAGCTGGCTAGTCTCCATTTAGCCACATTCTAGCCCATGGGTACATGGTCGTTGCAGCAGGGAGACAGGACTCGTCCAGCCGCCTCTAAACACTGGAGATATTACCGGAACCGCCTGGCGCGCCTGTGATCACTTGAGACGAGGATATGGGCCAACGTCGGAGCTCCCACCACTGATGGCTGCGACTTTGCTATGGAAGGGCGTGAGTGGGCCCTGAGAGTAATAGCGTGACGGCATTAGATAGCCGTTGCTGAGAAAGGAAGGGGGTTCACAAATGGTTACGGATCTAACAGTAAGGCATTAGCCAATTGTTCACTTCCTCATTCAAGAGCGGCAAATCGCAGCCTTCCATTCACGCTGTGAAGACCCAAATATTAATATGTGCATTTATTACTATAGGCATCGTATTTGCATACCCCTTCTCATAAGGCCATCAGAACCCTAGAGAGATTAAGCTTCTCGTCGAATACGTTAGTTGAACCCCTTGTACCACCATAGTTATTGCCACACGAATTGAAACCCCAAAGATCAACATAATATCATCTCCGCTAAATACCGCTCCAAAGACCCCTGAATACGTTGCGTGCTGGTCGCACACGCTTAGCCGGTGGTGCAGCCGCCAAGACGGACGCTCTCGGCGTACATCTCATAGGTGTCCGCGTTGGCAGCGGCCTGGGCGGCCGACAGAGCCTGGGCGGCGGAGGGGCCGTACGCATAGTCGTCGGTGCCGAACAGGTGGGTCATCTCGTGGAGCATGCTGCCCGCCTTGTCGTAGTCGTCACCCGCGCACCGAGGAGCGAGCTCAGGGAAGTCCCAAAAGCCGTTGTTGGGGCACGGGACGATGACGTTGGCAGAGGGGACGGTGTACAGAAGGGCAGAGCCATCGCTGCAGTCGCTGTAGGTGTCGGTGCACGAGACCTTGGGCGACTTGCTCTGGACGTTGGCCACGTCGTTGTAGATGGTCTGCACCTTGGACTTGACGGAGGTGGATTTGAACCTGGAGTGGGGGAAGCGAGTCAGCAAAAAAAAAGTCAAGTAAGGGTGCATCGGGAGCCGAGAGTTACTCACCATGTGGTGAAGTAGGCAGTTCCGGCACCAGCGGCGGTGTAAGCCTTGCTGGCCATGGAGATGGCGTCAGACACGGATGTCTTCAGAGAGGACGTTTGCGACGAGGAGCACGAAGAGTACGTGACGGCACGCTTCTGGATGCGAGACGAGAAAGATGGCTCGGCTCTGCGAGAGATGTGCTGCCTAAAAGAGTTGGAGTCAGCACCTGTATAGTCAATCTCAACATATAAAAGTACATACTCGGCAACGGTAGCTTGGTCAGGGGTAACCTCGACCTGGCCGGACGTGACATCCTCACACGCGGCCAAATCTCTGAAGGAAGAAGGCGTGTCGGGGCCCGTCGCGTAGCGGAAGCCCTGGATAGCGGTGACCTTGGCCTGGTTGACACCGTCGAGTCTGTAACTCTTGGCCGCGTTGACCGGCACGGTGATTGTCTGTCCAGCCTCAATCTTCTGGAAGGCATCGGCCGAGAGGCCGGTGCGCTTATAGTTGACAAACATGCCGTCGAACGGAAGCGCCTTGCCCTCTGCTATGTTGTTAGCCACTATCTCGAGTGCCTCCTTTCGGTTGTTTCGCAACAGAAGGCTCTACCCACCTGCATCGGTTACCAAGAGGTCCTTGGTGGCGTGGTCACTGAAGACCGTGTTGCCCTTGAAGATGGAGACGGGCTCACTGCCCGTGTTGGTGACTGCGACATTGACCACATGGTTCTGCGCGTTGGTGATCTCGACGGAGAGAGGGCAAGTGGCCGAGGCAGCACCAGCAAGGAGGGCGATGGGAAGGACTTTGGCAATCATTGTGACCGGTCGACTTGAGTGAAGGATGCTGGCTGGAGAGACAAGTGCAAGAGAAGCCTACACTGAGATCGAGAACTTCTTTGCCATATATATACTCGGCCTGCCACAACGCATCTCCTTTGGGCGTTCGTCGGACGGCAAGGGCAAAGATAAGCAACACCGGAAGAATTCCCACGTCGAGGAGGTGAAGAGGGAATCACCTATGATACCACAAAGCATTGTCCCACTTATTTAGACTGAAAGAGCTTAGATTCTATAATGTCTAGCCTCCTTTCGGAAGGAGGTAAAAGGAACTGCATTATAGACATCGTGGGAAGGCGCGGCTCTTTCCAACAATAGGCTCAGGGGAGCCGCGCCAAGAAGATGCTCGGTCAGTGCAAGTGGGTAAGGTGGTAGTATGCATGCTGTGGATAATTTGCCAAATCATACAGAGTGGATAACAGGATGCCATTGGTCACCTCGGCCTGTGAGCAACAAGGAGCTAATCGGACAACTGAGATGTCCGGCAATTGGGCACATAAATCCACCATTCAACGCTCTCCGCTAAGCAATTTAGGAAGGCTCTTGGCAAACGTGGTAGGTGTCATGGTTAGAGACCAGGGGTAGAGACCCATGGTTACTCAGCTATACCGAGGAATCTGGCGGTATTGTTGATGCTGTGGTTATATCCGTTATCGGCGGTCTACGTCCTCCGCTCCACTCCCTCTCAATATTTCCCCTTCCGGCCGATTAAGAATGCTCCCGAGTGCTTATCGAGAATAAACACACAAAGTTAATGAGTCAAGCAGGGGGTGGAGCTTATCTGGTTCGATTGGTGCGGCTCTTGGAGGTAATATCGACATGATACATGGTGTCAGCGTGCACTTGCCACTGGACATGTCTATTTGGTAAAAGCAAAGCAAAATCTATTAACCTATGATCTGGCTCTTCGATTCCTTCAGGCATATGGGTCTCGGGATGATGCTATCGGAAGTGAGTTCGGCGAAGGAGTCCGTGGTGTGGATTGGAGCCACCACACACGTAAACATGCGAACAGCTGGAAGATGGTGGGGTAAGAGTTAAGCCGAGCAAGGACAACCTTACAACACACTACTCTTCATGGTCAGGTGAGAGGGAGCCGCCGTATGACGGCATGGCTGTGCTTCTGTCCCGATGTGACATAATGCGTTAATCGTTGCCCGGAATCAACGGCGTCGCTTTGCGATTACTTCACATCGGCGATGTCGCGGCTCGTAAGACACACAGGCTTGAAGATGAGGAATTCATGCATCGCTGTGCCCACACTTGTCTACCAGGAGTCACCATGCGAAATACCAATGTCAACCAAATGCTCCATCCAAAGGTCGCATGTTAAAGCCACTTAGACGTGCTCTTTGTCTAGGATTATTTCGCTGATGTTCAATCTAGGTTGGCATATGCAGAGTGGTTCGGTAGATGTTATATCGCCAAGCGAAGCCAAGAACAAGCCAAGAGCCTTGGCCGATGGTAGTGCCTTGGCCGATTGGTTACCCACTACCCTGTTGAATTTGTGGGTTTACGAAATCACAATCTGTTCTGTATGTTGGAGTACTGGTAGCGTTTAATCTCTGATATGAGGAAGCACAACGTCCTTGGGTCAAGTATGATTCGCATGATATCAGCGAAATGTGACTGACTTAAGTCCCAATACACAACTACCTACTATAAGCCACTATAGTACTAAATATTCCAAAGCGCGTCGCAGAGGAGGAATTGATAGAAAGAAGAGAAATATATTCACTTACTGGCACACCTATGCTCCTGATATGTGGGTTTTGTGGATGCTATGATAAACACTCCAACCGACGATCTGAAACTTGTGCTCAAGTTGCGCTTCAAGACAGCTGGTGCAATCACTTTCTCGCCAATCACCTGATACGAAGACGGACGTTTCCAGATACGGGAATCACGGTCAAATCGATTAGAAGTCTAGAACGACGGTGGTTCTCGGAATGTTGTACAGATTGACTCTATCGATCAGTACCCTGTCTAAAAGCTTAGAATTCGGCGCGCTGGCATATTGAACGCGGCCTTTGCAGTCAGGATATCTTTACGGGAAGCCTCAAGGTACTTTGGCCGTCGTTGTTCTTTGCCCGTCCTTTGAGTAAAACATAACCCGGAAACCGATGACCTGGGTGCTCCTTTGGGTCGAGGAGCGAGGACAGTGCGATAAATGTCTCTGTACGATTGATTCCCCGACAACAGGGCGACTTTATCTCATATTAATGTTCAATCGGAACGTTTATGGCAATTTTCAAGAGAAAGACTGCATGGCTTGTTCTCGACTGAGTCTGGTGACCCTAAGACTCTACAGCCCCGGATCAGCACTTCGGTCCTTAACGGGGAGAACTACAGCAATCGAATATTATCACCTCATGGATATCAAACCACGCTGTCATTATCATTATTTAGACACAAAAAGTACATCATTCGAGGAAACTCCCTCCTCGCAAAGCAAGCTCGCCCACCTCTTCCTCCACGCCCCTCCTCACGACTCTCTTCCTCTCCACCCGTCTCTCTTCTCTCGCCGCCTCAACCGCCCTCTGAAGCTCTGCCCTCCTGTCCTCCCTCTCCCGCCTCTCGTTCGCCTCCCTCTCCTCCTCCCTCCTCCGCCTCTCCGCCAGCACCAGCTCCCTCTCGCGCGCCTCCTCCTCTGCCTCCCTACTCTTGTTCTCCGCCCTCCGCGCCTGGATCTCCCTCTGCACCCTCTCCTCCGCCACCGTCGGCTTCCCACTCGCCCGCCGCGCCGCGTCCTGCGCCCGCCTCTGCCTCTTCAGCCGCATCCGCGTCTCCCGCGACTGCGGCACCGCCAGAAAGTCCAGCCGCGCCGTCTTCCCCGTCGGCAGCTTCACGTTCCACGTCCTCCGCGCGTCATTCAGCCCTGCCTCCACCCTGCCCGTGTGCAGCTCGATCCGGTACCGGTCAGGCCCGTCTGCGCCGCAACCCAGGAACCGGTTCCGCACGATCGTGTCCAGGTGCACGCAGAAGTTGGTCGTGAAGTCTCGGTACAGCTCCTTGCACCAGGCCACGCCGCCAAAATCCGCCGCGCCGAGGTCCACCGACCGCGCCGCCCGCACGAACACCATCTCCCGCTGGACCGGCCCGCACGCACGGAGGGACCGACCGCTAGGCACGTGCGGGGCCTCGTCGTCCGTGTACTTGCCCATCCATGTCAGTTCGAGCCGCTCGAGCGCAGGGAGCCGCCGGCTCAGCGCCGCGAGGTCCGCGCTGTGACGCTGCACAACCTCGGGCTGAACGGCCAGCGTCCGGAGGCCCCGGCACTGATTCAGCACGCCCCAGAATTGCAGCCAGCGCGGGATTTTGTCGCTGGTCGAGATGATTGCGCCTGAGAAGAGGTTCCGCGTCGTCCAAAGGGGATTCTCCTCGCAGTCTGCCGAGGCGACGTAGACGTGCCGCAACAGCGGGCAGAACGCGGGGCGGAGCCGGGCGCCGACGCAGATGGTGAAGTCGTCCGAGTGGTCGAAGACGAAGGTGTTGGCGGACCAGAAGACGGGCGCGGCCTCACGGTGGACCTGGCGGCATGCCAGGAGGAAGTTCAGCGTCGCGCGCTTCGCGCAGCGGCACTGCGACAGCCGGTCATGTCTATAGGTATATTGGAGCGGAACGGGGTCGACGGCGACGTCGAGGACGACGCAGGCAGCAGGCTCGATGGAGGTGGCGTTGTGGTTGTAGCGGAAGTGGCAGTCATCGTCGTGGGTACGTGAGTGCTTTGGCGGCGCGACGAGGGTGTGATGGTAGATGTGGTTGCGCAGTTCGAGCGGCAGACCGAGAAGGCATTTACTCGAGGCCGGGTGTTGGTGAGCGGGGAGGGGGATTGTGAGTGTGAGGTTTGTCATTGTTGGTGCTGAAGTCGGTGTTGTCATTGTTGTCGTCTGGAGAATCCGGTGATTGATGCGATGGATGGATGCGGAGCGTGATAGACAAAAAGCTCAAGGCCAGAACGTTAGTCGCGTATCGCCAGTGCAGCAAGAACAGTAGGGGGGGGGGGAGGAAACGGCTCTATTAGGCAAAATGGGTGTGATAAGGCGACCAGAGTAAAGACTTTCAGGCAACCAACAAGGCTCATCACAGGTTTTGTATGGGTGTGTGTGTGTGTGCTGGTTTGGACTACCGTTGTAAGCCTCGTTGGAGCGGTTGGAGGTAGGCAGTCACCGAGTGAGTCATTTGACCGAATTGATCCAAAAGGCAGAATTCGTTCGGAGGGGACTTGTCAGCCTTGGAAAAGCACGGATAGCCATCTCACTGCAGTTCTGGGCATCTTGGTTGGATAAAGAAAGGTGAAGATTTGAGGCGTGTTACTGAGGCTGTGCTGCCGATTGCACCGCCGAAGACGACTTGCTGCGGATGGAGGACGGAGTACGTACGGGGACAATAGGCTGGCGGAGTGCAGCATCCGATGTCAGCCTGCATGCCCACGTCCCGCATGTGGAGGCTGCACACTCCTCCTGCAAAGAGAATAAGGTATATGTCAAATGGATGAATTGAGTTAGGCTCGCTACGCAATCATATGTTGATATGTGATTTCAAGGACGAGGCCGTGACAGGTCGTGTTAATTCGTTAATCCAATACAGATAAAGCCGTTGTTGTATGTTGCCCCTACTCCGAAACTCCCTTCATAAAAAAAATGTCGTGTCTGATCTATCCTCTCTGATCTAACCCTGGGCAACGGTGTCGCGGATGATCTTGTTGCAGTCGACCGGGTTCTCAAACACAAACCAGTCGTCGCGGGGGATGTGCTTGAACGCTTTCTCGAAGCGCTCCGGCTCGTTCTTGGCCGAGATACCGATGGCCGCGATGTCGACAACCTTGCGGATCAGAATAAGCTTCACCCAGCCCTTGAACTCGCGGTAGCTGGAAAGCTGTCAGCGGGCGGAAAGGATAACCGGCACTCGTTCAAAGCCACTTACATGTCCCCGTAGGCCTCGGGGTCGGACTGCGTCGAGTCGCCGATGAGGATGAACTTGCGCTTCGGCAGCCACCCGTGCACCTTTCTCATGCGCTCTACCTTGTACTCTTCCGTGGCCATGGTCAGGGCCGACAGCAGGCCGGCAACCGTCTTCCAGCTCGAGTCGCGGAGGATGATGGTCCCCGGGGGGTAATACTTGTCGCGGAACTCGCGCAGGAACGGGTACAAGTTGTAGGGAGAGGCCGAGAGGTAGAACCACGGCGACTCCTGCGGCAGGAGCGCCTTGATGTTCCTGTACAGCTCCGGCATTCCCTCGATTGGCGTCGGCTCGTTGACGAACGTCTCGCGGAGGATTCCCACAGGGTCGCTCGTCTGCGTCAGCTTAATCGTATCGTCGATATCTACCGAAACCACTCGGTTAGCTGCGAACGGTTCGCCGAACCTAATTCAACCCCACGTACCTGAGATGATGGCCCATCCATCTGGGGCAGCAAAGAAGGTCTTCATCTCCAGCAGGCCCGTCGCGCCGCGCGGCACAGCAGCGCTCGACGTTACCACCGTGCCGGAAGGCTGGTCGTTGACCTTGAGCGTGTCGGTGCTGATTCCGTTGGTCGCCGAGGGACCCAGCTTGAGCTCCTTCTTCTGGTTCACGATGCGGATTATTCGCGAGGGCTGCACGTCCCAAAGAAATGGTAGCAGCCTCTCCTCGATCGTCTTCCGCTCCTCGGCGTCGTCGGCCAGACCCAGCTTGTGTGCGACGCCCTGCACAATATCGACGATGGTGCACTTTGGTTCCTTCTCGAAGACGGCGGCGACAAATTCAGCCTGCCAGCTGCCTATGCGCGAGGGCTTGAAGGCCGTGTTGTCCAGGAGCCAAACAATGTCGTCGTCGGTGACGGGTCTTCCCCAAGGGTTGTAACTGCCGAGGTGCGAGAGCAGGCCGCTGGCTGTCATGAAGGCCGACTGGAGAGTCGGGACCCGGGGGTTGGGAAGCTGGGCTTCGAACTCGTCGAAGCCACGTTCTTTGCGCGTTCGTTTCTGCATCTCGTCGGCGTATGCGGCGGCAGTCTTGTCATCGTCTTGCCCAGCCATGTTTGCGGTTTGCGCGTGGCCTCGAGGTATTTATGCGGCTGTGTCGTCCTTGGTGTGTCTATTGCCTCTCAACAAAGGCCTGGGGGTCACTTGGATTGATTTTATGGGCAACGTGACTTGGGCACGATGTTACTGGTGCCTTGGCAGCGAGTTGGTTGGTAGGCTGACAGCTCGAGGCTGAAAGAGAGATGTCTCTGGAGAGAACTCGTTCGTTTTGTCGACTGGGAATTTGCGGGAAGGATGATATATCCCGTGGGCGGCAACGGACGGGGAATAAGTTGTGGCGATAGGTAGTGTCTCGGCTGAAGGAGGAGGTGGTGTCTGTGTCGGGGAAAGGACTAGTAGGTAGGCGGACGCATACAGACACGAGTTCAGCTTCCCAGGTCCAGCTCCCAGCGACAACGCCAAAACAAGGCCATCGATGCAATATGTCAGAGCTAGCCGGGTTTCGCTGCCTCGTCTGTATGTGGTAGGAGGATGGCGTTAGTGACATGGTTTAGAGCGGCGTGCGGCGATCTGTGATAGGGCGGTTCAATCAGATGCTCGCTGGCTAATGGTAAAGCCAGTCTCATAGAGTCTTGGCTGTAAATGCATACGCCCTAGAATCCTGTCCCTTGTGACCGCCATAGCACAAGTGACCGGGCAATGACGATGGACACATCTGTTGCAGGCGAAGGTGTGTCGGAGGCGTAGGAGAGGTGGAGGAGGCATGGGATTATGCGGGCGGGAGGGGGCCAGAGGCAGGGGAATGGATACGTACCATTTCAGTGACAGTGGAGTAGAGTAGGTAGGCAGAGGCAGGTAGGGTGGGACACGGGAGGCATCCCGTGCCCAACCTATTGCGTCCAGCCAGTCAGAGGGTAGTACGCAAAAACGCCCCGATCAGCCACTTTAATCACGTGGTCTGGTTCTGTGACCCTGGCAATCGTTGTGTACAACCGCTATTATTTAGAAAGATTAGGGGGGAGGACAGACTCTGAAATCAATAAAACTAATAGCACACGCATTCTACACTTACAGATGGAGTCAGCAAAAACGAATGTCCCTGGCAAGGCTCGAACTTGCGACCTTTGGATATCCCTGGCAACACACCCGAGTCATATTCATTGAAAATATGAGACCAACGCTCTACCAACTGAGCCACAGAGACCTAGATAGCCGTTGTGGCTTGACTTTCGAGAAAGCACACACCATACCTTCCATGCATGGCCATAATAATAATCACAATGCTGTACTATCACCATCTGTTAGCACTTTAGCTGTTTTTGTTTGGTCTGGATGGTCGCAGCCTGAAGTTTTAATAAGTTTCAGTGACAATGAATACTTTGGTGTGGCTTGTACATTGTACGTACGTCTGAGGTACGTCCGGCCACCTTAATCGGCTTGTGGATATCTACAACTGTCCGCTTCACTTTGTCGACGATACTTGTATAAACCTGACTTGTCTTCTTTAATCTTATCAATTTCATACTCAATGGTAGCCTCCTTCCTAATCTCTTGGATTCTAGAGCCGATTCACTTATAGAAGAAGAACCCCACCCTCCAGCTACTTCTAGTACTTCCGCGTGGTAGACTGTTGATCTCAAGGGCTTTGTGGAAATGTTAGCAAGAAGCCTTAATCGCTCAAGTATGTGCATCTCGTCATGCTCATCCATAATATAGCGCTCATACTCAGGGAGACACTGCTCAGGAAGACAGGAAATGAGGCCCTTTATTCCATTGTGCTACTCGAACTCTCTGGCTTACTGCATCAATCCCATTGTGACAATGATGCACGTTGTGACCTTGATGTCTCTAGCTGGTCCAAGCAGCAACCACCTTTTCGGCCCTCGAGCTATCCTCCAAAATGGCTCTCTTCCTATCCTCGCTTCTGGGCACGATATCCACCTTGAAGGGCGCAGTCCCCAGTATCAGCCCATCGTGATACCCAGTCTCGATGCTGGTATCCAAGTTCCCCTTGGCGACTACATCAAACTCCCACATGAGCTTCGCTATGGTAATCATGATTTGGTTCTCCGCATAGTTGGAACCGGGACACATGCGCCGGCCAGCACCAAAGCCGTAGGTCGGGTGGCGGTTCTGCGCCTCGGCGGCGTCCCGCATCAAAGGCTTGACGCCCCACTCGTTTTCCAAGTATCGCTCGGGTCTGAACTCTTCGGGCTTGTCGTACCATTCGTCGTCCATGTGGATGGACCACGCGTTTAGTATGAAGCTGGTACCTTTGGGAAATTTGAAGCCACAGTAGGTGTCATCTCGAGCAAGCACCCTCGGGAACCCTAAAGGGGTGACCGGGCGCCAGCGCATTACCTACAAGTGTCAATATCTATCTCCCATGCCATGAAAAGCAACGCGATATTGCTTACCTCCGTCAGGCAAGCGCTCAAATACTTGGCTTTGTGGAGACCGTCAGGCTCAGGTGCTTCACCTTGCCAAATGGAATCAACCTCGGCCTGTACTCGCTTCTGCGCTTCGGGGTATGCTCCCATGACCAGAATCATGATCCCGACTGTAGAAAAGACGGTATCGACGGCACCATCTACCGCTGTAGAACATAACGAAGCAATCTCATTGTCTCGGAATTCCAAGTCCTTGGACTCTTCCCCGAGAAGCTGCACCATGAGGGACATGTTCTCGGTGCTCTTCGTCCCCTGAATGATTTTTGCATGCTGGATCTTAGCACCATCAAGCATGTGGTACATAATTTTCATCGTGGCTGAGTGAAGAGTAGCTGCCTCTCGCTTCCAGCTTGCAAGAAAAGTGGGAATATACTTCATGGCGGGGAAGATATCAACAGGAGGTGCTCGGGCGGGCGTGAGGAACTTGACCCAGGTTTCCTGCACCTCGAAGTAGTACTCCGTTGAGCCTACTCCACTCTCAGCTACTCCCTGTCCGCCGATGATGGAACGGGGCGTGGCCAGGGCCCAGCCACGCAGGTGACTCTGTAAGTTCTCTGGGTCGTTAAGGATATCTCTCATTAAAAGTGCCGCCTGCGCCGCCTGCACCGTGAGGATGCGCCGCAGATCAACGGGTTTGAACAAATGGCGCAAACCAGTCCGCATCTTCTTGATTCTGTGGTCGTTGTTCATGAACAGGAGGCTCTCTGGGTTGACGAGCTTGGCGGTGATGTACGGCTGCTGGCGGTCCGAGTACAGGGCGCCTCGTTTCTCGAAAAGTTCCCGTACGTGTTCCGCGTCTGAAATGACAACGTAGTTGTTCGCCCCGACCTTGAAGCCCATGATATTGCCGTACGTCTTTTCCCACTCCCGAAACCCGAGGAAGGCCTTCTCTGTCGGAAGCTGTAGCGCGTTACCCATGATCATGACGGGCGGGGGGCCTGGTGGGAAGTCTCTTGGCCTTCTAGTGGAGAGAGCCCAAGCCGTAAGGAAGTAAACGACGGCTACTACTGCCGCGGCACCGGCAGCGACAGCCAACAGACCGGGATGCCACATCAATGAGACGAGCTGCATTGCATCTATGGGTTTCGTAACAGCGTAATAGATTCAAGAATGACAAAACACAGAAGTCTGGCAAGTGTTAAAGTCTTTGGAATGGTTAAACGGGTCATGGTCCTCTATCTATTCTTAATACCTGTGTATTCCTCACGGGCCTAGGTTTTCTTTTTTTCTCGCGGTTGCCCACCTCTAATGCAGCTTACTGTAAGACCACTGTACCACTGCAGATCTTTACAGAGTCGGTTGAATCAGACTGGTCAGCTTTGCTTTCCCCGCCAATTTGTGAGATTAACAGGCCTTGTGTGACTCTGCAACGCAGCAGGTTGATAGGTGCGTTTGCTGTCAGCGGAACATATGACTCTGCAAGGTTGCTCATTGGCGGTACACCTTGTCTGCATTGGGGCTCCAATTACGGCACATCGAGTTACTCGTCTAGGCCGTTCGGACCAACCGTGTAGCCTTTTAGCAGACCAAATTATGCACTTGAGAACTGCCAAGGGAAGCTATTGGATTCTGCAGTCTGCCTAAACATAAGCAGGAGTGCCTGATGCTTGGCTTTGCTATCACGCCCGCCCAAATATAACGCCAAGCTGGTTAGAATCCGTTCCGTTGCACAAAATGAAGGAACCCAATAAAAACATGGTATGAGTTTAGACACAATATTGACAAGAGATGATATCAATTGCGCTTGGTATATGATGTGCTCCAGTATCAACATCGTCTTGGAGAGATGTCAAAGACATCACGGTGTCTGCGAAGAATGCTTCATAGCAGCTAAGGGGAAAGGTGAGAACGCTCTGAGGCTAGATATAGGTCTCCGTAACCGCTGATTGGGCGGATTGATACAAATATCTCCTACAGATAGAAGGGCATCATGTTGGCTTCCATATCATTGCGAATTGAACGTTATGGCTGCCCTGTTCGCTGTTGTCCCCCGTTTGAGGAGTAGCAGACTTAACGTTCGCTAGCCAGTTGCAAACCCATGTTTATCTTATTTGTGCTTCATCAGGATGTCCAATCTCGTCAAATATTCGGAAGAATTCACATTAGATAGAGTAGGTTATGGCCAAACCGCGATGTAGCTCACCTTGGTGCTCCAATATGTCGGAATTGCCACGACTATTGAATACATAAGTGTATCTATAAACCATAACGCAGTTCTATCCTGCTTTTTACGTGTCTCAAAGCGGCCGTATCATTATGTAGATGTAACAGCCCCTGGGCAAGGACTGAGACCCATGTCAATAGGCAGTGATGGTCAAAGATGAGCGAGAGCGGATTCTATTTAGACGGTCTGAAAGCAACAATAAAGTGGACATAATCGTTTTCGATATAATTCCAGCAGCTGCTTTCCCAGCCCAGCTTATTAACGTTCGTCTCAAGGCCCGCGGTTTGCTTGAAAGGTGAGTAACAAACCCGGGAACAAGACAGGATTGATAAGTTAGTTAAAACATCCTACTAAATATATCAAGTAATGACTCATGTGAACCAAAGCAAGCAATAGTATAAACTGAGGAGGGTTTGGGATATATTAGATAAGATGGCCAGCTGCTGTCCTCATCATTCCATGTCCATGACTCCAACACCAAGTTTAATGCAGGTATTCTAGCACAGTTTGTTGAGCAACACATTGAGTCGATGCTGAATAGGTCTTGACGTGTCATTGTTTGGACTTTCATACCCCATATCCGCAGCCTATTACAATATATTATGGGACACGCTGCCCATTCAAGCATATCCCCAGATGGTGCGGGGATCAAAATTACAAATGTATCTATCTAATGTCAATAAACTAATGAACATTGCGTGGTTACCGCTAATCGCCCGCGTAGAATAAAGTCGCCAACGGGCCGAATGTGGCGGCCTATGTTATGCATGACGTGGTACCAGTATATGAAATCAAGTTGTTTCACGGCCATGAGCATAGCTATAGAACCAGGGCCAATGTCCGCTAATCCCTCACAATATCTCAGGGCTATTCATATCGACACGACCGATATATGCTTAGTCTAATCCTTGTTTCCATATCACACTTCCGCTGCCATCTCCAATTTATCCGACGTCAAACACCAATAGTACCCCGCCATCGAGGGCTGTGATCCCTGCGATTGCCGTCAAAGCTGCAGGTCACAACAACACACGGTTTTTATGGCCGAGGTACTAATTACATCGTACGTTTATAAGACGTATAAGCATGGTGATATACCCTCCAAACACGCACCCGACGACCGTACCACGACGTGTGCTGGTTCGCAACGTCCCAGAGCATATCACACCGTCACTCTGCAAGGAGGTGGCCACCCTAGTTTCCCTTCTTTTGCACGAACTGTCTAGCTGCATAATATAAGAAGGAGCTTTTCGGGTCTTCCAAGAGGATGCTCACCGGCAAGCCGCAAGTTGGCAGCGGGCTCTGAAACGCGAGCCTCATAGATCCTCGCTCAACATATGACCGGTGGAGTCTTTCTTCCCCAGCCGACAGCAACGGCTCTTCGCTTCCCTTTCCGGCTGACACAGTGCCATATGGTGTTCTATGGTATTCTCTTCCTGCATGCCGTGGGGAAGCGAGGGGACGGTGGGCTGCGGCTAGGGGTCGCCCGGGCTCTTTTTTTCACCGTCCGATCTTCGGCGAGGAACGCACAGGGTCGATCTCGAAATTCAACGTTGGATATGGCAGTGGAGTTAGGCCAAGGCCCTGCAATGCTGCGCTTAACGAGAGTATTGCGGTAGCCGGTAAAGTGACAGCCCTGTTTTGGTATCTTGACGGCCCTCTAAGCCTATCTCAGTAAGCCTACTGCCTATTCCAGTTAGTGTCAGCGGAAATACTATGTTCCATTCCATCACGCGAACATAACCAACTAACCCAGACCCTAACCATCCTACCCACTAACCCTACGCATCTTTGAAAGCATATAAAAGATGCGTAGGGTCAGTGGTTAGGGTCTGGGTTAGTTGGTTATGTTAGGGTGATAGAATGGGTTATTTGGGTGTGCTGTGGCGGTAGTGGCTAGAGGGCCGTCAAAATACCAAAAGGGGACCGTCAATTTACCGGCAACCAGTATCGCGACGGCGTCGGTCTTCTTACCGAAGCACTGCTCCCAGCTTTTAATTAAATCTCGTTCCAGACTGCTTTACCCCTCCTACCGGTACTTCTGGCACTAAATCCACCCCCCGTCGTTTCTACATAGTATGCATCACAACCTTGCTAGGGCTACGATACCGGCTCTTGACGCGACAGGCATATCGGCCAGGGACCATACAGGAACCGTCGGAGAACAAGGGTTGCGTGATCCTGAGCCCCAGACTGGCTGGAGGAGAGGCCAGTGCGGGAAGGATGAAAGGACAGCGGGCGAGGCACGCAACAGGCCACCCACCCATACACCATCTTTTCTCCCTTGAAGCAAGACTCGTCGCGCTAACTTCCTCGAGCGTGGCCGTACGCTTCCCCATACGTCAAGCAACACAAGAAGTTGCGAGGAGCTGAGTATGCCAGCAGATTTGGATATGGTTTCTTCTGTCTCGCCGATAGCAACTTTCCGCCTTGCCGCCTTTCGATATGAGACTGTCACTTATTCCTGTGTTTCCTTCAAAACGATGGGGGCAGGCATACAAGCAGGTCAAAACTAATGGATCATTGTCAGGATGTCAGCCGTCATTGAATCTTGTAATCCCTCCACACAGTTCCCCATCCTAGAAGAGACTGCAGTCCACCAAAGTTCACCAATAGGTACTAGGACAGCCCCCTTCGTTGGACGCTTCCGGGGGGGTGACTACAGCATCAAATGGGGGATCACATGGATCGGAGCGCCGATGACAAGAAGATGAAATGAAGGACGGCTCTTACACTTTTCTGTTTGTATTGACCGAGATGTGCCCATATGAACTGGGTTCAGGTGAGTAAGTGACCAAACCCGGCAGTTGATAGACCTGCCGGGTGGAGAACGGTTAGCCATGCTCCGGCGCCGCGTCCGCTCTGTCCCGGCACTAAGTAATTAGGTCTCCGTTATCATTTAGCCAAAGGTTGAACGGCCTAAAGGTGCCAACTGGGTTCTGCAACACATCTACGGGGTGTTCCACGAGCTGCAACATGCTCTGAGAGGGGAAAGCCAATCTCAGCTCAACTTCTTTTCTCGCTCGACTATTCCGATACTTCAGACACACACAGACCCTGGGCATCAAGCCCGTCCCGGCAACCCAACGGGCCCCATCCCCGAAGCATCCCTTCTTGCCGCAGTGCTCCACGTTTTCTAGAGGCTCAAGAGACAGTGTGTATGCGCTTAAACAGACGCAACCAGTCACTGGTTTGTTCCGGGCTGCGACCAAAGAACTGCCTACTGCCCGTTGTATCCTTTGCGCCCACGTCCCGTGCACCTCCTGCCACACTCGTGACTATGCCGTTAGGCAACTTGTAGGCAAAAAAAACAAAAAAAAAAAAAACAAAAAAAAAACAAAAAAAACAAGTCCGCTGACTGTGGCGGGGGAAATCAGACAAGCAGGCTTCTGGATCAACGGTGCGGTGATATGCAGGAGCTTTGATCCCATCGAGCTGTCTCCAAAGGATGCCCTCCTTTTCTTTACGCAGTATCCGTACAGATACACAGGTACTATCCCAAAAGCTGTGGTTCAACGACCCCCCTCCCCTGCTGGTCCACATCTCGTTAAATGCATGCCATGCGCCTTTCCCCTGTCTTTGCATATGTACTGCACGCCTCAGGTCAGCGTGAGAACCTTCTCTGCCACCTGGTCCTGGCAGTTTCTTGGTCCTTCATTCCGGATCGTCGATTGTCGCTGTCCCATGGCCCGAGACCATCCCGCATTTTCTATTGATCACAACGATGATGATGGCTCAATACCGGCATGCCTGAGCAACCCCCCGCGCTCAGTTCCTTAAAGCTGTCAGTCATCATACTCGAGAGGGAATCTTGTCGGTCTTCCTTGAGGAGACTCCGAGTCTAATGAGTAAGTTCTTGCGCAAGGAGCCCCAGCATGGGACAGGCATGTCATCGTCCCCCAGTACGGAGTACTCAGGGTCCAGAAGTTGTGGGGGCAACTGGAGCCGCCTAGTAGTAACAGCTATTGAGCGCCCTCAACGTTCGTCATGCTTCAGCATATGCCTGTGTATTCCCGTTTCACGACCTCCCAGCACGAGTTGCCACTGTATCCGATCCAAGACGGTGGTTCACTTGATAGGGGACTTACTCAAACAAGTACAGGTGGACTGAGGAGTAAGAACCCCCTGCAGGCGTTCCGCTGCCAGACACGGGAACCCCACATGGGACTTAGGTCGGACGGTATGCCAATGCCAGTCCGGACCTCGTGCTTCTACTTACGTTGGTCCGACATTCATGTGAGCCGAAATATCACTTGAGCCTAAATAGTACTTGAGCCTAAACAATCATTTTTCTGGAGGGAAGTTGGATGGATTTCGACAAAAAAACACAGGGTTATCCTTACCGAGAGACGAGACTCGTCTTTGCGCAGCTGTGTCACGCTATATGCACAGCGCCGCGTCACCTCAAGCTACATACCGTGACTTTACTGCTCCAAGAAGAGTATTGTTGAACGGAAACATTCGCGGATCTCGATGATCCTGGCGGTTCCCCATCGTGTCAGCGTCTTGTCAATGTAAGCGGCATCGGTCTTTCGCTTAGATCAGCATCACATAACCAGAAAAGAATACCCCTTAGTCAACTCTATTAGGACGGCACATGCGATCCCGTACGTCGTCCAACGGCATCTGGTGCCTCACAGGGTTTACAGGGACGTAACCAATTTCTCACCATGGGGAGCCTAACAATAGCAGCGATAAGCCTCTGGTTCCCACCCGCGACCATCGCGAAGTATAGCCACCATGTGCAGAGAGCGAACTTGCAAATCAAAGTCTCTCAGAAATCACAAAATTAATGTCGCCAAGCACACGAAGCTCGTTCAATTTCCTTCTGCCAATTCTCATGGAGGTGCTCAAAGACGCATCCTGAGACCCGGAGCTCAGCCTCCCGACTAATAGAGCCCGCCTGGCCGTCACTGATCAACGTCGGAGCCGTGCATCGATATTCCTAAACGAGCACCGAGTCAGGGCTCTCCCCCTCGTCTTCCCCAATCCCTCCTCCCCTCCCCAAGCCTTGCAGTTGAGCGCCCCAACCGTTGCTTCGCCTTCGAGTTACTGCGCAGTGCTGTGTATTACAGGGAACATTTTGCCTCCTTCTGATCATCGCGGCCACAGCACATAAACCGGGTGACGTCAGGGGAGTCGCAAGTAGACTACCGGTAGAGACGATGGGCTCTCCAAAGTCTGCGCCGCGGCGCACGCGAGCGCCCAGTCGCGACGAACCCAACGAAGACGACGCCGACGGTCGAAATGAGTCAGGAACGAACATGTGGTGGCGCACTTCGCCTAGCTCCAAACACCTGCGGAGGACAATGGTTCTTCGCTGTGGCTTCTGTCGTTCTCGTGGCCATGCCCTTTTTCGACCCCATGCGGCTAGACTACATCCATCTCCCAAGGGTCTAGCTCAAATTGGCGGTGCCCTGAATTTGGAGTTTCAGGGCTACGAGTTGGGCCTCCGAACACCCTACACTTCCCCCAACCCAGCTGCAGCGGCTGTTCGACAACTCTCGGTTAGAGATGGTTTCATTTGGCGTGAGGAGAGCGAACACGGAGGATGCTTAGGATCTCACCGTCGAAAATGGGCAATAAAGGGGCGGCGACATTGGCAACTTCGATAGCAAGGCAGTCCCCTATCTTCGCGTGAACGGGCGCCGGGGCCCGGGATTCCGGACCAAGGTACTGTATAACCAGGCGGTCCCTCTTAAGGTCGCACAGATGCACAATAATAGTCAGAAAAACATGGTATAAGTACTTTACCCAATGCTCAATATAAAAGTTAAAGTCCCTATGTAGATGTAAGCAAATCATCATGGGCTATCGTAACTGGATCTCCCTATCAACCAAGGCTACAGAGCTTTCGGTCAGAGATGGCTCCCTTAGTTGCTATACCTAGTGCCTCTTGCGGTGACCGTCTTGCCTTCTGTTCTTCACCATAACGAAATTCAACACTCAAGATAAGATGTCCTATCTTGAGAATCTTCTGCCCAATCGCGGTCCCAACCGTGCTCATGACCCTATCCCAATGACCCACACAGAGCCCCAAAGACTGATTCACCATATTCAAGGGATATTATCCCTATTATCTAAAAAGACACACAGCCTCGGCCACCTGTACAAGAAAAGAGTATATCGCGCTCGTTATATTGTCAATGGCCCGGGATTCAGGGTTGAGGTGGGGGAAGACCCTTCTCTCTTCCAGTTGTCTGGTCACCTTAATCATAGCGCCCATCGCCGGGCAGGGGCCACCTCGGAAATCGAGGAGGAAGACGGCCAACGTCCGGTGCCGCCCATGAGAATACTCCGCCAAGTTGTCGCAGCCGGCCCGAGACTTTTTTGTTCCCCATGAGCCAGCGGGTACCTGCCAGGTTTTGTCACAAAATCTAGGTGAGAGAAAAAAAAGGCCTTGTACCCTTGGCCTCAGTCAGACTCGGATGGGGCTCCTTTTCATCATGTCACAACCCTAAACATGCCATCTCCAGTTGCGAGATATCTCCCCGTCTATCCGAGAAGAGAAGGGGAAGAATCAAGGGCGTTCATTCTTAGTTGAGACGATTCAACAACGCCCCTTGTTGTTGGACAGCTTGGCACGCAGGAAAGCAGGTCGGAGTCATGATAGAAAAATACAATCAACAAGCAGTCGCTGGCCCTACGTGTCGCATTGAACGGATGATGAACCACGTGAGATCATCCTACCTTCCTGTATGGGGTCCCAGCCGCACAAGTACGATAGACTCTGCAAGGAAATCCCTTTCGCGGTCGAATCTCAGTGCCAAAGACCCTCCACGTGGGTTCCGCAACCAAGATCGACCTGCCGAAAGAGGAACAAGGAAAGGAAAGGAAATGAGAGAAATGGTTGGGTAGTAAATAGGCTTACTTGGTATTGACTTATGCGGTGGTATTGTGCTGACGTCTCTACGTCGTGTTCAAACTACAGGATTGCCCAATTAGGCTCGCGACCTCTGCTTGTTCGCCTAACTGATATTATTCCCAAACTCATCCCCGCCTCTTACGACCCCACACATGAACAAGAAGCACAATAGTCATGAGCATGTTCTTCCGCTATCACAATGAGTGCGAACATCGCCCCGCCCAAGTGGCAGACTCCTCCATTCCACGAGAGAAAGCACTGCGTTTTGCCCCGCACCCTCCTGAGCCGCCCAAGAGCCCGTGGCTGAAGCGTTGCATTGCCAAGTCGAAAAGACTAGGGTCGGATATCCAAATGCCCAATTCGGAGCACATGGCCGTAGTAGCGAGGGGGGTTCGGCGGTCTGTGTTATGCGAGCAGGAGATGAAGTCCGATAAACTACAACACGTTCCACCCATCACGAGGGGCAACCCCATCACGTTGTCACCATGACCGCCCCTTGCCACCTTCTCAATTCAAAGAAGTTGCTATCTTGGAATCCTGATTTCGCCTGGGCTACGCGTTCCATACGTTATTGCCCGGGGTCAATCCGTTGGAGCAGACTCATCCTCGTCATGGCGAGAGACAGAGAGAGCCCAACCCAAGAAGCTGTTTGCCCTTAAATACACTCTCGCCGGGTTCGCCCTCCATGATGATGTTCCCCCTTCCTTTTGGCAGCGCCGTTCTCCTGCTGCTCCTCATCGCCGCCAAACACTCGTTCCCGTCACTCTTTCTCGCCACTCATTCTCGTCCGCGCCGTCGTCAAAGGTAGCACCCTGCAGCAACAAAAGCACCCGCAAAGACGTCGACACCAAACCTAGCCCCGTTGAGAATCCTAGCCCGCCATGAAGCCTACCGGCCTCAAGATGCTCCTCGCCGGAGGCGCCTTGTCGTCCGGCGCGCTCGCACAGGCCACCAGCGGCGACCTCACCATCCTCTCCATGAACGTCGCCGGCCTGCCACAGTTCCTCCAGAACAACGAGGTGCCCGGTGACAAGACGACAAACTCCAAGACCATAGGCACGCTATTCAGTGCGTACAATTACGACATCATCAACGTACAGGAGGTAAGTCCAGAGAGAGCTGCCATATTCCAGACACAATAGCCCGCCGATCCCCTTGGGTTGCGGGGGTGGGAGGCCATGCGGCTCACGCATGAGCCACCCGCTGTCCCGTTCCGTTCAACTCAACTCTAAACGCATGAGAAAGGCCACGCGCTACAGGCTCAGCTCTGCTCCATATTCCCACATGTCAATGTTTCATGAACGCTTAACTCTAAATCATCATGTACATCGCGTCATGTCGCGTGAACAATACCTATGAATAGATCATGCACACCCACTTGCGCAGTAAAAAAAAATAGCATACTGACGTATACCCTCCTCCGGCAAAATAGGACTTCAACTATCATGCCTACATCTACCAGACAGACAGACACGCGTACCGTACCGCCACATCGGGCGGCGTCCCGTTCGGTTCCGGCCTCAACACCCTCTCCAACTATAACTGGGTCGACTTCGAGCGCGTCAAGTGGAACACGTGCTCCGATGCCTCGAGCAACGACTGCTTGACCCCCAAGGGCTTCACTTTTATGCGTGTGCGCCTCGACGAGGGCGTCTACGTCGACGTCATCAACTTGCACACCGACGCCGGCACCGAGGCCGGCGACAGCGTGGCCCGGAACAGCAACCTGAAGCAGGTCGCCGACTACATCGACGCCAACAGCGCCGGCAACGCCGTCCTCATCTTCGGCGACACCAACAGCCGCTACACCCGCCTCACGCCCGATGACATCGGCATCTTTGGCACCCAGAACGGCATGACGGACTCCTGGGTCCAGCTCGTCCGCGACGGCGTCGTGCCCACCGCCGAGACCTTGTGCGACAACCCCAGCACCACGAGCTACTGCGAGACGGTCGACAAGAACTTCTACCGCGGCAGCCCAGTCCTCAACCTCGAGGCCACCGCCTGGAACTACGCGAGCGAGAAGTTCCTCCAGCCCGACGGCAACATCCTCTCGGACCACAACCCCATCGCCGTGAACTTCACCTGGTCGCTGTCCTCCACCCTCCGCCAGTCCGACTTCTCCGGCGGGCCCCACGGCACCTGGTTCTCCGACCTCCCCGCGCTGGCCGGCAAGTCCAAGCCCAAGGCCGCCACGCTCAACTTCAGCGGCGACGAGCGCCTCGACTCCGTCGGCCTCACCCTCACCGACGGCACCGCCTTCAAGCACGGCGGCTCCGGCGGCACGGCCGCGACGCTCGCCCTCGACGCCTCCGAGTTCTGGACCGCCGCGACGCTCTGCACGGGTCAGAAGAACAACCGCACCCGCAACTTCTACATCCAGGCGACGACCAGCACCGGCAGGACGCTCCAGTCGGGCACGCAGACCTCGGACTGCACGAAGTACACGGCGCCGGCCGGGTGGCAGATTGTCGGCTTCTTGGGTCGCGACGGCGACGAGGTGGACAGACTAGCCTTTGCTTATGCGCCACAGTAGGCGGTTTTCTCAAGCATGGGGATCGTCAGGTAGATCGATAGTCGGGGCGGATCCCATTTTAACCAATTTTGTTCCATCAATGTCACTTGTGCGGCAGCTCGCCGATCGCGTCTTTAACTGCCATGTCGGATACCCTGTCATCCGGGAGGGGGTGAATTGAGGGTCTGCTTGGGATCTACGGTATTAGTGGTAAAACCCGGGAAAAAGAATGAGGGTTTGCGCCGACGGCTTTGGAGCCGAGCAACGGGACTATCTCTGCCGTCACCCCCAACGATGACGCGATTCATGATGCAGGGCTAGTCCCCGACATCCGTCGCAGATGTATGGGTTGGCGCGTCTGATGTCTGGACAAGGGGGGCCTACTAAGGTGCTAAGCTACTAAGTAAGTGCAAGAGGGGGGCCAAAGAGGAAAGCCTCGTGTCGTGTCCAACGGCACGAACGGCTGCTCTGTCCTCAGAATGCGATTCCGCATTCGTTTCCCATGTCGATCAGTTGCCCTTCCTTTGTCAAGTTCTTAGTTTTTCTCGGCGTCCTTCTTCACCGTTAGGGCGGGTTCCGCGGAACTGCTCCGGGCCTAATCAGGGTGCAATAAAGACGAGACTGAGACATTTCGCCAGCAGGGACAGATGCTGCTGTCAGAGTTCATCTCAAAGTCCGGTCGAGTGGGGGCGATCAGCTCCTCCGAAGAGCGAGGCGAGCTTGCAAATACTAGAATCGGGAGATTGACAGTCCGATCCTTAGCAAGACGATCAACCAATAAGCCCATGCCATTCGCCTCCCGCACCAAACCTTGCCTACATGGAGTCAGAGAGCGTGATAATGATGATGATCTCCAAGCACTTGGCGCGGGGCTTGGTAAGGTAAGCCAACAGAGCACGCAAGGCGTGGGTAGGCAGGTTGTCTGCGCGCTCTGGCCCTGCTTTGGGCCGGCGACGCCCACACACGTTCGCCGCCCCAGTCTTGGTACCGAGGAAGACCTTGTCTCATTTCCATGCGACGGCCGCAACTTCGGCTTTGAGGCTGTAACAGAGGCTCGGCCTAAGTCTCGATAGAGTGTGGGCTCTTGAAAGAAGACGGTTTTGTCGGTTGAGCCCAAAAGAGCGCCGGATGGACGCCGAACTCGTTGATTGCCGGCGTTGATAGGGTAACGGGGCAGTGGCCGCACGGTATCGATTCCGATCTACCGACCGCCACTTGACACCGGTCGTTCGTGACTAGGCTCAAGCGGTCGCTTTAGTGGCGGAACTACAGCCAAAGGGGAGGCGTACGAATAAATATGGCAGTAAGCCTCTAAGCCACCCACTCCTGTTGCTACAGAATGGGATTTGAGGTCCGACTTCGAAGGCAGCTAGCCAGGAGCTGCCGAAGTTCCTCAAGTGGCTGCTTACACGTCCGTGAGTTCATACAGGTTCCCACAGTGTTGGTCATTCCGATCGTTCCTAAGCTGGCGTTAAAAGCGAGCCAAGACGCTATCATGGCTGCTGGGGGAAGACTTGTGAAGGATATCAAGCTCTGCTTTGGTGCCATAGCTCCCTGCAATGCTCTCCTGTATTGGGGAGAGGCCCAAGCCGCCAGCTGCAGCACGGTTGAGAAGCATTCGCCGGGAGGTTGACAACCTTGTGCCACTAGTTCGATGAGCTTGCTCCTGTGGCCTACAGGAACCGAATCTCGTCGGCAAGACGGGCGATAATGATTGATACTCAATCTCTGACAGCCCCAGACTTGGTGAGATGAGCTGCGTATCTGTGCGTCGCGGTTCCGTATAGTAGCTGCTGTCGATACTGGCATCATTCCCCACACCGAGGTAGGAGTTGTGATGGGGATGTCATAGCGTATGGTTGCCCGGGTGTGAGCATTTGGGGCTCTCACGATACTGTGAGCGCCGACAAGTGCTTCAGTTTCCCCGCTGCCGGCATGCGCGGTAGCATGATCTTAGTACTGTTGAATATCCCGCGGTGGTAGTAGGATCCTGGATCAATCCGCAAAAGAAGATGAAAAAATATTACAAATTGGGTAACGGAATGTACTCCGGGCGACGAGACGCAGCTCGCGAACGAAGAGCCCCTCCCTGCTGTGCCCATATCTCGTACGCCGGTCTGATCCTCGGAATTTCTGCCAAAACGGGTACCGGGTTGCGCTCCGGGCGACGAAGAGTCGCAGTCCGCGAACCAAGGGCCCTCTAGCTGTGCCTGTAGCACACGTTAGTCTCGAAGCCCGCCCAACCTTCAAGCATGGGTGTCGAAGAAGAAAGTTCAGCCAACTTTGTGGAACATGAGGCGGTGCGGCTGCTAATATGAGACGGCGTCGAAGATGGCTGTTAGAGATTAGATGGGGGGGGGAGTGGAGAAATGACGGGACAAGCTCGCCCGCTACCCAGGGTCCAGCGGTGCCGGGGAAGCAGGTCGATCTCCGCCGAGTACACACCGGCTTGGCCGTCCGCCCTGTTCTGATGCTTGATTGGGGAAGGATTTCGTTGAGCGCCAGCAAGACTCTAGTCGTCGTAGCCATGTAAATGCAGCTTTGTATTGGCCAGAGTTGCCAAACAGACGAAGACGACCGAGCCGCCGACCACTGCCGTGAGGGTCCAATTCAGGCTCTTCATGCCCAAAGCTCCTGGATCGGCTCTATGGGCTTTCTGGTTTTGTCCATTGGGCTGTCCGTTTCTGTCCATCGCGTATAGTATACGAATACGTGGACCAAGTTCGGCAATGCCGTCCAAAATGCTTCATCATGATGCTCCTCTTGCAGGCATTTGCATGAGCGACACGGGCCGGAAGCCAGGATGAACGCCGCGGTGCCATGATCCTCACGCCAAGAGGACACACAGCATACATAGCACGACCAACCAACCGTCTCTCCGGGTATTCCGCAGCCCCAACTCCATCACGAGGCAGTAGCAGAAACGAGAGGGGAAGGCCGGGAGCAACGGCCAGAGTTGACGGACAGGCGAACAGGGTTGTTGCTGGTCGCGAACCCCTCCACCCCGAACGCCACAATCAGCCTGTTGGTAACTGCTGTGGTGAAGCACATTCCTCTCCGGGCGACGTGTTTGCCTCATGTTTGGGACTGTCACTGCATCTGCGAGGTGACGACCGAGTGTTCCCTGTCCAATACAGGCACTTGCTCCGGGTTCCCGGGATGGTCGAAGCAGGGCCAGAACCGAAGGCAAAAGTGCAAAGGCTTCTGACATGTCATTTTCCAGGTCTGGTGTATGCGATAAAGCGTTATGGTAGGTAGCTGAAGCCAATTACTCCCGGATTGAAGAGGGCCAACCGGTGACACCCTTGGCTTAATTTGGCCGTGGAGTAGGCAATCAGCCGCGGGTCCTGTTTAAGACGATTACCCACGTAATCACAGGAAGTATGTAGGCAACAAAGATGAGTGTCGGGAAGAGACGGAGAAGACAAATGAACTTTGCTGTTGGGCTCATTTATCCGTCGAGCCAGCAGGGGTCGAACGGATGGCGCCCCCCCCCCCATACCACCGCACCACTTGTATTCACTTAGACAGTACGAATTGGTTGTGGGCGTTGATTGACACTGGGGAGTAAGTCTTCCGTCTCCAATTGCCGCTCGTATAATGCATGGGACTCAGCGGTTTCGGACTGCTCTCATAGAAGACCATCTGTCGGTCGGTCGGTCGGTAAGGACAATAATTGCCGTAATACGAGGCTGCCGCTGCACATCCCAACGCGGGCGCGTGGGGGGCGAGCACCGGACGCCAGCGCTGTCCTTGATTGACCTTCATTCCCCAGGCCCAACTGGTGGAATGCGTAATCAGACAACAACAGTATTAATGTTCTTCTCATGGAGAAGGATGGGGGGGTATGCCGATGAGCAACTGGGTGCCGAGAAGATTCATTTGATCGTCCTAGAGGCCGACGAAACCCCTGTGTAACGTTTCTGTGCAGCCAGCGAGTCGGGAAACTTTCATTCCATCACGCCCTCTCTGGGGTCCTGGTCAGGATAAGGTGGAAAAGTCGGACGACATCCATATGTGCGGTGGACCTCCCATCCCATGCAAGGGGATTATCAACTAGATGGAAAATGTTGCTTGTATGAATAAATGTATTTGTACAGCGGGGGTCTGGGGCTGGCGGAAAACAAGAGGAAAAGATGCTCTTTTGCAAAAACAAAAAGACTGCAGGGCTTTCCAATATCTCTCATCGATGGTGTGTGATGGACTGCGGACCAGTACATGATAGGGCATGCCTGCAGCTATGTAGTTGCATTGGACATGCCACGGGTGCTCATCAACGAAGATGCCCACGCGGGAGATGCAGGAGGAGGGCACAATGTAAGCGTGTTGGTTTATTGAGGGCAGCGAAAGACGAAGAAATAGACAGCATTCAGGCTTCTATTCACAAGCCACCGAGGACTCGGGAGTATCCGTACACGGCCTTGTCGCCGTGAAGCCCTTGGCGCGCGAGGAAAATGATGATAGATTCCTCAATGGCCGATTTTGTGGGCCACGTTGCGGATCGTTCAAGCTAGCCAAGGGCAGAATTCTGCCTCGGGTCGAGCAAAGGCAAATGAGGGCCATCTTTTATCCCGGTTGCAGATGTGTGACCCAACGTGCCGGTGAGGCCAGGAGGGGTGGATGGTGAACCCGCCTCCCCCGGTCAAGGCCTGGCGGGCAAGACCCAGCCCTCGAGGGCGACGATGATTCCTGGCAACAAGACCAATCGACACACGGTAAAATACAGCTTTGTCATTCAACTTGGTAGAAGTTCTGTGTGACCCGCAATCGGCCGCTGAACGCTATTTCGTTAGTTCAACTAGGAGAAGCTTGGCAATGATTAATCTCCCTAGCGTATTGGTGCGTGCATGATTGGAGGCAAGATTTGCTGCCCATTGCTCGAAGCTATATCGGCGATTCAGAGGGAGGGGGCAGAGACACCCCCCCGTGGACAAGATGCCATGTCGGTTGAAGTGAGCAGACTCGCGTACAAGCAAGCACATGGATTCCGTCTCGGTGTCATGTCATAACTTCCTTGTGAA